GAATTACTTGGATGCTGTTGAAAACTTAATAATAGGACTTCTTTTAACGTCAGAGTCTCTCCGCACACTTCTGAATCATTATATATTTAGGCCATACCAATTTGATTAATAGTTCTTTGGATTTTCCCGCTCCTGTTTTGGAGAAATTGACTTTTCAATAAAAAAGATAATTACTGCTTCCTCCAATTTTTGGTCCGCATGTCGCTCCAAAATTTTGTTTTCACATAGACGCTTTTCTGTTGCATATAATGCTCTTATCGTTTAAACGCACGTGTGATAAATCGATTTGTAAATAAAAGGTCAAAAATCGGGATGCCAACATGCAGTGCCGTGGACAAGTAGTTATTGAACACACAGTTATCCGAAATGTTTCTCGTTTTACCTTTAAAGATCTGTTCTAGGATGCAAAAAATAAAAATCTTTCGATGACCACAAACACATCAATATTTTTTAGAACCATCGTCACCCCCGATCCTTGTTTCAACAGACATAGACCTATCTATCTTTTGGAAGAAATGAATTGTAAATTCCTATGAACTTTTTATAAAATCACAGAAGTATTTGAAGTTGATGAAACCCCATATCCCCTTGTTAGTCTTTGGGCATGCAAGTAGAACTCTTCTGTTCACGGTTGTGGGGAATTTAAAGAGTTCCAACGAGACTAAGGTGATGTCGTATTGTGATTGGCATGCTCATAATAATTAGGGTTGTATAATTGGTTCAACCACTTCTAGTCAAGCTAAAGAGTTTTAAATGCATTACAGCTTCTAGGAGCAAAAGAAATGAGTATGTTGCTCAGTAAGAAAATTGCATGTGAATGGGGTGACAGTTATTTTAAGGGAATATTTTAATACATTTGGATCTACATGTATAGCAATATAACTATCTTACTCAGGATGTTGTTTTAGCACAAAGCAAGAAATATTCACCTCACTCAATATTTTGATCCTAAATATGCATAAATAGTTCCAACTGGATGTCAAGCAACAAATAAATAAAGGCAACAGTAGTATACCGCTGTTCAATAGTCATAATTCGATTAAGCAAAAACAAATCCAGGTAACAAACTAAAACCGAGGGAAACACATCAACTATAAGAGGAAAACAACGGAAAAACAGAAACACTGAACTACAACAATAAACAATCCTTACCATACAATGAAAACAACTATCAAATATCTTTCAGGGGCATTTTTTTGGATACATATACATATTTTAATTTTATTCAACATGTGTCATTTACCTTACTAACATACTTCCCCTTGTAAAACTGCATCTGCTATGCTTCCTGAATATATATATGGATTTAAATGAAAATTCACACAGACAAAGCTTACTTGAAGAAAATAACCAAAATTAACTAAACCACAGTGAGACAAGAAAGTCTGATATGGTACAGGCACCAATAAATCAATTTATATGCATTAGAGTATCTGTTGCTCCTCGGTTTTCTATGAAATAACCCAGTTATAACATGTACATAAATTGTACAACTTCTAAATCACATAATTTTATAAAAAAAATTGTTCCGCTCGCTTCAATTGTAGACCACTCGCCTAAAAAAAAACTCATTTTCAAGAAATATATAAAAACAAAAAAATTTCGCTCGCTCGCCCCATATTTTTTGGAGCTTTTGTCCGAAGAATTATTAATCAAATTGATGCCTTAGTGCATTTTTAGGTAGAAATATTTTTATTGCATCTAGCTTACGAGTTATGTCTTACATTTAAAATTATCGCCATTAGAAATATTACTGTTCGCAATTGTATACGGATCTTTAAAAATCGTCCTAAATATGCATGAAATATTTGCCGCTGGATGTTAAAAAAAAGGCAACAATCAATCTGTCAATTCATTGTTAAGGATGTAGTCATTTCAGGTTTAGGGATTTTTGTCAGACTCCTTGGGTTTTTTCCTTTGATATAGGGTAATATATTTTGCATAATATCACAATTTTTTCTATTCATAGAGGACTTCAATAGCTCATAAAAGGTCTTTTCCAAAATTAAAGCAGATTCTAGATTTATTTCTTACGATTTGAGACCCAAATAATGCCAATGCTTAATATAAGGTAAAAGCCCGAGTCAGCCTTTTCCCGCCATTTTAAAAAAATCAAATCTCTCGAAAAGGAGTTCCATAACTTATCAATATTTTTAGCTTATTTTGTTCCTTAACTAATGCTTTGATTTATACATGTAGTATCAATTTTAAATTCCAGATATTTTTAATTTCACTTGACTACATTCTTAAGTACACTCACATCAAGTTGATTTGGTGCAAGTATGTGTTATTTTTAACAAACATTTTCATTTGCATTACGTTTAACATGTATAAGATATATTATGCAATACGAAATGGATATATACATATATATAGACTTATATCAAACAACAATACAATGACAGTAAGGTATTTAATTGCCTTTAAATAACTGGAAATCAGAACCGAATTCTGTGTAATGTTGTAGGCCTATATTAAAAACGTAATTTTTGTGTTGCTATTATAGAGAGCATATAAATACTACGACAGTCGTGATTTAGCTTTTGATTTGAGGGTAAATTTGTACACGATTTCGCCTCTAAAACTGTACACCATCGCGATATTTAACAAATAAATTATCCTACATGGATTTAAGGGAACTTGATGTTAGAAATATACCACATCAAAGTGTGGGTATATGTCACGATCTACTCGAACTACAAGCAAATTCGTTCATTATTAACAACATTTTGTGAAGATCGTAGACCATCGTATGGTGTTAAGAACTGGATGACCAGTTTGATGTTAAATTAATGTAAATTTTTAGTAGTTTAAAGGTGGCATTGAATTGACATTCTTCTTCATACCAACGACAGTAAATACCATTTCTACTTCTGTGATCATAAAACTACAATACTACTGAACAAAGTTAAAATTTTAATTGACGGTTTGATTGCTTTTTCTGACAAGGGAGCATTCAGGTTATTCTTAAAATTCAGCAAGGTGTCATTAATTTGTGTCATCAATAATTTTAGATTCAATGTTAATATGGACGTACTAGTAAATTGGCAGGCTGTGTATTTCAAAAGAAGCATATAATACACTTAAGATTTCACTAAGCAATTATTCGGGCATTTTAATTATATTATTAACATTGTACTTAAACTGAATTGAAACATCTGAAAACCAACAATTGTCGGATCTCGTTATAAAGTACTACAATAATTTTTTTCTATAAATAGTACATGAAATGGAAGTACAAGTAAATTGGCAAGCTATGTATTTCAAAAGAAGCATCTAATACACTTAAGATTTCACTAAGCAATTATTCGGGCATTTTAATTATATTATTAGCATTGCATCTAAACTGAATTGAAACATCTGAAAACCAACAATTGTCGGGTCTCGCTATAAAGTACTATTTTTCTATAAATAGTACATGAAACGGCAATTGCCGAAAGTATGTACCAGTTAAAGCGCAGTCATCTGTTATAATTAGTGAATTAAGGGTACAAATATTTATTTTGACTCTGAGTGTTCTTCAAATTCTCCCATTTACTACTCTTTCGAACAACTGAATTAATTCTGCCAGAATCATTATGTACAGAAACAACTACATTATATAACTTGTTGCACTACGAGTACTTAAGGGAGAAACAAATCTTCAAATTAGAAGAAATTGATATGGCTCATCTAAAAGGTAGACATTATTGGAAATTACGTAATATCAGGTAGAAAAAAATACCTGATTTTTATGCTTTCACTTAGATTTTTGATAAAGCAGTGCAATTCGATCAAAATTTCAGTGTAGTTAAGTAAAGAGAAATTGATTTTTAATGCTGAAGGAATAGTATACATGTATGCATAGAACCAGAAGCCAAATTAAATATTTTCAACTGTCACTTGGATACATCTATTAGTGGGGAATGAAATGCTATTTGTTGAAGCATCGGCTACAGTAACTATCAAAGCATATAGAATTCAATTTGGCTGTCTGTTCTCTAATCTCTTTTTAACACTAAACCCAGCAAACCAAAAGCGTTTCAAGATTGACTCTTTTGAAAAGAAAAGAACCAATTGTATAGGGTGGTGTGTAAAATACATGCTTATAATTATTACATTATTTACCAAAATCAATTTTACTGTATTATACTTGGGGGAGCTGGGGTCGTTTTAATTTGTTTAGCCTCTCATATATATCGTTAACTGAATATCACTGACTCATGGCCAATGGATTGAGGTAAAACAAATGAAACAATGATTATCATTGAAATATGACCAAATAATTAGTCCAATGTAAATAATTTAAATGGTTCTGATTTGATACATATATAGTGTCTAATGAGAGAGGTTGAAAACAAGTATATTTACGTTACGTTTACACTTCAACTCCACTCCAACTCTTAATATTTCAGGAGGTATCCAACAAAAGTGCCAGGGAAGGCGGATTGTTAGTTGCAAAAATTGTATTGCCTTAAATCTTTTGTTAGAATCTGTTAGCAAGAGCACCTTTGTATATTAAACTTTGATTTATGTGCTACAAAGGGAAGATTTTAAATAAAACCGCATCACATTTTATGCCTGTACACAGCAGACTATCTAGCCGGCTATATAGCTGGCAGTTGTAGTTGTCTGCGTGCTTTCTTTCCAAGACGCGTTGGTGTGCGATGTAGTCAGTGGGGTTCTAATATGTTTGGGAAATCATTTAATATGTTACCATTTTTTCATACAGATCTTGCACTGTTAATACGTCACTTTGCTCAGCTAATGTTGTTACTTTTATAAAGACTTGTATTTTTTTCTATTTTGTATAGAAAAAGATACTCAGTAAATTTGGAACCTCTATTTGTCAGAGTTACATTTTTAATATTTGACGACATGGCTTTTTGAATAACGAGTCATGATTTTTTACTTTTTATTCTTAAATATCATTTTCTTATGTTATGTATATTAAACTCTCTACGGGGAATCTCCTGAGTTCCATTTAGTAATACACAACTTACGTTTATTATATTTTTCAGGTATAGTTTTATGTTAGTTTATATTGGATGCATATCTCTTCTTTATGTGGATCATACAGAAGCAAGGAGAAAGGTAGGATCTGACGTATAAATATCTTAAACTTTACTTGGGTGGATTAATGCTACATGTAGTTATTATTTTGTTGTTGCTCACTCAATTTTGTCATTATAACGGAACTATAAACAACTTTCATACAAGTGGGAGGTTTCGCCTAGCTATAAAACCATGTTCACTCCACCATTTTCTTCGGGAAACACCTGTACCAAGTCAGGAATATAACAGTTTTCTTTCAATCGTTCCGATAGTTAATAACATTTAATCAGTTTTTTATGGACTTCCCCTTTCTTATCTTGAGTCCGGTATATTTGTTATACTTTTTTAATCTTAAGTTTCATTACATGTTCCTATTTTTTCTGAACGACGTTTTTATCAATGGTCCGATGGTGGCCCATATCACGATATAGTCTCAATTACTATCTAATATGCCTCCCATGATTAACCCAAAAAATGTTTCTGGTACACAGAACACAAAGTTAAGGACTTACAAATTGGTTAAAGTGTTCTAGTTGTTTTTCCTGCATATCGGTCAAAGTAAGACTCCTATAATCCATTATGTAATAAAATAATTTTATAATATAAGCCTGATTGGTATCGTTGATGAGTTTATTTTTATACCAATTCTTGCTGACAGATTTTATTTTTTGTCATTTACATTTTCTTTGGGCTCTGTGTTCATGTATCAAAGTACACATATTAATTTTTCCTTTAGTCTTTACTCGAAAATGGTCTGAATTTTAATGTTTAACAAGATAGTAAAAACAAAAAGATTTAATTGCAGATTTTCAGTTACGGACTAAAACTTTATCGTTTATTTTTATATTCTTAATCATATCTTATCAAAGTGTATGTAATTGTGATATCCATTCGTATTTAGATTTGCTTGTTCGTCTTTATAGCAAGGATTTCAATGACTATTTAAACTATCTTGAATGACATTGCATATCCCATAGCCCACTTTGTGTGACTGTTTATTACATGTATTTGTTTCCGTTGAACTAAATGTATAACATGTATGTAATATATTTTAACACATTATGAAAAATCTTTACATGACTGAAAGATATACATCCTTATTACTATTACTAAAGGGGTTGACGTTCAGCAAACATATATTATATTTGATACATACCAGTTATTCCATTCTATTCATTAATTCGTCTTGGCAGAGTTCGTACACTTTTAAAATTTATTGGTTCTAAATTTATATGAATGCAAAAAAAAAAAAGGAAAATTAGCATACAATTATCATATGGACTCCTAAAAGTGTAAAACAATCTAAATATAAGTCTTAAATCCGAATACAACTCCTATAAAGACAATTCAGGCGCTTCATTGCAAATACATGTAGGCTGGCTGACGTGTTAAAATGCTTAACACGTATTGCTTTGCACTCAATTTGACAAGTTCATGAACACTTTGTTATGTAAAGTTTCACGTTATGTATACAAGCAGGGTCGTCAAACCATATAGAATTCACTTATATCATCGTTATTTATACCATTATAAAGGTAATTGAATATGTATTTTTTGATAATCTGATAGGATTCAAGATTTCGTTTTGTAGTTCGAGGTTGGTGACAAATTTATGGGCACCTTTCTTAAAGATATTCAATAGATACACATCACACTATCATGATATTACATATTAACATAATAATAAAACAATCCGTCAAACCATTTGTATACATAGTTCAGACGATGAGTTTATCTTAAAATGTAAATAAAGTCTTCTGTTTAGAAACATTTTCAATTTAATATTTTTATAAGTTTTTACCGATCGCCTGTTCAAATAGATTATCATGAACTACATTGAGGTTACATATTTCGGTGGTAAAATATCTGATACGCCGATTGCATCTTTTCATCGAACCATGTAACAGAAAGGACCAAAAGTTTAAGTTATTGAGAAATGATTGAACAATTTATCTATTTCAACGTTGCAGAGAGATAATCATCAATTGTTTCTTCAGGAGAGATCGTTATGTTTGATAATTAAGGCTATAACAATGCCAATCTATCTCTTATTCTTTACATGTGCTCGCCAGTTGTTGATATATCTGTTCTTGATCTTCATAATTCCATGTTAGAAAATCCTAAACATAATAATAAAATGCATATTGTTGAACAGATAAGATTCGTATTTCCGGGATAATTTACTTTGTTTAATGTTATTGTAGCTGGAAGTTATAAAATTTATGTCTTTGCTTGTTGATTTGTAAACTATTTGGATTTGAAATTAACGCCCGTAATTCCTCATGTTCTCTACCTCTATGAAATGATCATAGTTTTATATTATTCAAAACAAGATATCTTTTGGTTTCAGTCGTTGGTCATGATGTTTTATCCTATATCTCCTTTGATTCAGTTGACCAGGGGCTTACTGTTTCAATACTTGTTACAACAGGCTTTGCTAAATTTTGAAACTTTACAAAATGTACATACTTCTCACTACTAAATCGATTTTGAATTGAAACGGCCGTTTTGATCAGAACCGATCTTAAAAAGACTTCAAAATAAATTGGGATGTTCAACCATTCATTCGTTTTTTATTTGAATATATTCACGGGGGTAAATCAAGCTCTGTTCAGACAATTCGCTTGCAGGCAATAAAGATATGGCCAGTCTATTTGCTGACCGTTCAGTAGATGGCATTAACCTGTGCAAACTATACTCTTCAGTGATACTAAAGACCACTTGGTATTATATTTTCTCCATGGGCTATTGTGCCTTGAAAAACGACGTTTGACAGGAATTTTCATCAGTATCATGCCAACAATTTCACGAAATTGTCTTGTTTTTTATTTCAATTTTCAAGATTTCAAAAATAATCAATTTCCCCCAAAGTCTCCATTCTTTCAATGTCAATAGATATAAGAAGATGTGGTATGAGTGCCAATGAGACAACTCTCCATCCAAGTCACAATTTGTAAAAGTAAACTGTTATGGTCAAAGTACGGCCTTCAACACGGATGATTGGCTCACACCGAACAGCAAGCTATAAAGGGCCCCAAAAATGACTAGTGTAAAACCATTCAAACAGGAAAACCAACGGTCTAATCTATATAAAAAAAACGAGAAACACTTATGAACCACATCAACAAACGACAACCACTGAACATCAGGTTCCTGACTTAGGACAGGTGCAAACAAATGCAACGGATTTTAACGTTTTAATAGGTGCCAACCTTCACCCTACCTGAAACAATAGTGTAATATCACAACATAGAAAGACACACTATAAAATATCAATTTTAATGGCTTAACTCAATCAAAAGACATATTAACAAAAACAAGTAAACATACACTGAACGAATAAATTTGATCTATGACACAATGTAAATACAAAATTGATAAAACAAGGGGGTTAGATGTAAAACAATATCAGAAAGACAACCATAACCATCGACAAAATGTTGCCAAATAAAATAACGTGCACTGGTAAATAAAAAAAAAAAATTGTTGTAAGGTATACATGGAGTACGGAAATAATTTTTACAAAATAAATAATTTTGTTGTTCCTAGTACGAGAACAAAAGTGAAAATTTATCGTCATACTAAACACTTATCAAAGGTGGTATATATTAAAAATAGTGAGACGAGATATAACACTAAATAAGTAAACATTAAATAACAAAAATACATTGACTTCTTTTGATAACCCATGCAGATTCATTAGAAAAATGAAAGAAATTATGATTGGTTCGCTTAAGTAGCAATTTTCTTTTGTAGAATATCAACACGATTTGTCAGTCGGTTTTAGTAAATGACACGGTCATGATTTAAATTTGCACATTTCATTGCAATTTTATAGCGTTAAGCATTGACAGTAAAATAATGAGTTCAAATGCAATAACTCTTTGGTGACTGGATCAGTCTAAATTTAGCACGTTTCTATACAAGGTTTCATTTCAGGGGCATAATCATAACTTTTGATATCTCTATCACCAACTTCACAATCTTGTTTTACGAGTTAGTATCTGTCGTCAATAATCAGTTACAAACTGTTTCTCAGTGCTATTCTCAAGCCATATTGATAAAACTCCTATCAGTGTCGTGTTCCAATGAACAGTAGATCTCAGCAAGTATATAATAGCAATAATTCAAATAAAAATGGTCCTTAATATTTTAGTATGTTTTTCACTGGTTGGTGACATCTACTAAACGAACTGCAAACAGACTGGACAGATCTTAATTTTTCACAAGCGTAATATCATCTTTTTTCAATATAACGTAAATGTAATCAACTGTCATACAAGTGAGAGGTTTAGCTAGCTATAAAACCAGGTTTGACCCACCAGTTTCTTCGGAAAATGAATCTACCACGTCAGCAAATTTGAAAGTTGTTTTCCATTCGTTCCATTGGTTGAAATAGTCTAACAATTGATTTTGTCAGGTTTTATGGACTCCCCCTTTTTAAATTTACCTTGGAGTTTGGTATTTTTGTTACTACTTTTTTTCTGAGAGCCACATTTACTCTTGCATTTGTCTGCTACTTCTCTTAACTGAATATTTTTGTTCTATTTCAAATACTTTGAATTATTGTGATGTATATTCCAAAGAAGTGGAGAACTTTTTTCATATCTTGTATCACAGTTAATATGTCAATACAACATCACACGTTTATGTTTCTATAGCAAGCATTTGTTTGTGGTCCTGTTATTGCAAGAAACATTATAACAATAAATATGAATAAGCCGACGTTGTCTGATCGTGATAAAAAAGAATAGATCAGAAGCATTATCATATAAACTGAATATGTTGAAAGTTGCAAGAAGGCTATTCTATTGTTAACATTTTTATAGACGCTAACAATCAGTTATTCTTTCAAGTAGCTTCATAATTAATTTTCCGTAGACAATTAATGTGTGGGTTTTTTGGTTTTTCTATTTCGTCAGCGTATGTATGTATAAAATCTCGAATCACAATAAAGCTTTTAGTATCCTCGATCGATCCTTAAATTATCGTAAAGGCTTAGGAAAAAGTCAATATTTATGTTTCTGTTATTGTTTTTTACATGTTACCTTGCATTCTTGCCATAACTTCTATTAAAAACAACTTTGAGATCGTTCAATGCGTGTTCAAAGGTATTTTTCTTTGGCTCTTTGTCTATTTGTCAAGTAACTTCGTCTATCGCGGTGCTGACATAATGACAAAATATGCAAATGTGTTTAACAGTTTATTTTGGTAATTAATTTGCTGGAACGTGGCCATCTACTGAAATGTACTTTAAACAAAGTCATTTGTTGTAATGTTCAAACCTATCTGCACTAGAGTTCCTGCAGGTTTAGGCGTCTGAAAAATTGGAATTATTATGTTATTATATTCAAATAATTGCTAATAACATCCTAAGAGGATAATAAAAGTGTACAAAGTCTAAACTATTCGTTTTAAGAAGATATATAGCTCTAGACATTGGTTAAGGTGACATTTAGCATGTGGATAAGATGTTTAACGTAATAAATTGATTTTTTTATTTTTCATAACTTTTCTTTACATTGTACATGTAGTAGTCATCCGAGCTTGTAGTACGACACTTGTAAATCAAAATTTCTCAATCGTGCACATTTATAAAGTCTAGACCGCAAATCAAAACAGGTTTGTCACATTTTGTCTGGCTATTTTATTTTATTTGCCTAATCGTCTAGTTTTTTAAGCTCTCTTGAATCTGACTTTCCAAATATTTCAAGGCATTATGCATAGGAGTATGGCTACATATGTTCTTACGAAACATAGACTCATTTTCATGTCGGCGATCAGTAAGGCGGTCGCCTTTTCAAGAAAATTGTTAAATCCTTTTTATCTAGGGACATTCAAAATTCCTTGAATATTTTCACATTCCCTCCATTTTCAAATATTTTTCTTTTTTTCTTTTGGTGTCCTTAAAATGGACGACACAATAATAAGAAAATCGTTATATCTACTACACGCCACAGTACGCAAAGTAACTATCATCCTAGTCCAGCTTCGTTGACTAATTTTCAGCTGTCTGTGACTAAAAGTAAAACTGTCATGACAACAGAAAAGAGGAAAACTGAAAGAAAAAAAAAACGTTTTTTTTTATATTTTGCAACACAAAATGCTCCTTTGACAAGAAAACATATAAAGATACATATATGTTTAATTAACAGTCGAGGTGCGCATTAAAGGACAGATAAATTACCATGCAATTATCCATAACATTATAACAAATTAAACAACTAACTAATAAGACAATAATGATTCATTAGAATGATAATTGTATTGATTACATACAAACATTTAACTTTATACATGTACTGTATATTTGTATTTCACACATGCTATATTCAATATTTGTTATCATCTTACCTGTAACATGTATGATTTATGAGAATGAAGACCATACATTCCTTCAAATAAAAACTTGTTACATGTACATGTACATGTAGTCTGATTTTAAAGTGGTCCTATATATATCGTTTGTTACAGAAGCTTTATTTAAGAAATGATTGATGACTACGATTACATGTCAGAGGAAACATCATTGTTGTCATCTTAGTTTATTATGTAATAAAAAGATTCTATGCGAACATGATTAGACAATTATTACCTTACTGTTAGATGGTTAAAGGAAAATAAAAAATAAAACTGTATTAAAGAACTTATTTGAATAATTTACATACGGTGTCAGTTAACATACGATGACGATCGTATGTTGTCCCTTCAAAAATTATGTACTACATTCTGTCCTTTCAATTAAAACTGACAGGAAATATATCTTTATTATTCTCGAACATCTTCGAGTTACCAATCATTGTAAACCGCAGAGTTTTACACAGAGACTTCTTTTAAAATCACCTGCCAAAAAAATGGCCAGTCAAAAAGTTACAGTTTTCACTTTTTCAATTTATTTTTAAGCAAAGATTTAAAAAAATAACCCGTTGGAGACTCATTTACCTTAGGGACTTGGCTCATTCATATAAGTAGACCTATAGTTGCTGACCTTCTTCGTCATTTTTCTCAGGTTGAGAGTTGTTTTATTGGCAATCATACACATCTACGTATTTTTTTATATTAGCACAATTTCATTTTGTTTTGTCTGGTTTTATACATGCATGACGGGTGATACACGCATAGCAGGAGACGTTTACCACGTCGACGCTGGTCTTGTTCCTTTTGGAGTTCATGCAATTCATCAGTTTTGTTTGTAACTTTGATTTGACTCTTCTTACCTCAGCTGTATTTGGCAAAACAATTTTCAGTACTCTTCAACTTCGTACTTTATTTGGTCTACTTATTTTTTTTTTATTTGGGAACGACCATTTAACTTCAAGGGGGGTTATGGCTTTTTCCAAAAATAAAATGTTCTTTTCCCCAATTGATAAAAAAAATATTGTGATCAATGAGATGACAAAACTAAATATTCTGAATCCAGATTTTCCCCATACCTTGAAGTGTTAACTTTTGAAAAATATAATTTGATAAATAGCGTCGAAAAAATAAAAAAACAATTTCTGAATCAGACAAAAAAACCATAACCCCCCCCCCCCCCCCTTTTTTAAGTTAAATGGTTGCTCCCTTAGAGCTTCACTGGCGAGTCTTTTGTAGACGAAATGCGCGTCTGGCGTATAAAATTTAAATCCTGGTATCTATAATGAGTTTATTTATGATGAGTTATTTACAACGACTGAGTCTATACAACTGTTGGTGGAATTTTTCTCCCCAAGTAGATCGCTATCCCAGTAGTCAGCACTCCTCAGTGGCGTAGCATTGCCATTTTCAAGTGTACGCACGAACCTCGGCTAGTGGTCTGAATAGCGGCCCCAGGGCAGAAGACCTCCGGATAGGGGGCGAAACCCCCGGAAGCTCACGCGTTATCGTGAAAAAGATACCATTTCTGTCATTCAAAATTCATCAATAGCAACATACTTGGTCGGTTGAGAACAATACTTTACTACATAAGAGATGATTTTAGCTTCCCAGTTGTGAACTTTCCATTTCTATGTAGCAAAATTCCAGTAGAACCTGCATATGGAGTATATATCTCCCAGTTGATATGATATTTCAGAACTTGCATTTCCCATCATGATTTCCTTGAATGAGATTCCTACTAACAAGGAAGCTATTAAACCAAGAGTTCCAAGTGGTGAAGTTGAAAGCATCCCTTCGAAAATTTTAAGATCGCTATCACGAGCTGGTTGACTGTTTCACAGATAACGACGGACATGTTCCATTGTTGTCACCACAATTTCGTCCTCTTTTCCTCGCATTTGACCTACCGAATTAGACTTATCACCAAGTTTTTACTTACATGAGCAACACGACGGGTGCCACATGTGGAACAGGATATGCTTACCCTTCTGGAGCACCTGAGATCAGCCCCGGTTTTAGGTGGGGTTCGTTTTGCCTAGTCTTTAGTTTTCTATGTTGTCTTTTATGTACTGTTGTCTGTCTTTTCATCGTTTTTCGTCTTTTGAAATGGCATTGTCGGTTTGTTTTCAACTGAGATTGAATATCCCTTTGGTATCTTTCGCCTCTCTTTTAAAGTTTGATTTGGGTTTTTTCATGTTGATTTCATTGTGTTGATTTGGAATTTAATGGTCCTTTGTTTTAGAGAAAAATCTCCAAACCAGTTACTTTAGAATATGTTTAAAAGGAGATGTTGGGTTAACCAATCAATCGACAAAACAATCAAAACTTTATAAAAATAGAAAAAACAGCAAGTTCTATTAATTATTTTAACTTCATATAATTTTCACACCTTTTTACGGGAAAATTTCGTTAATGGACGCATGAAATAATTAATTTTCATAGATGGTCAGGTGTAACATAAAATTGCAAGACATACATATTGTATCCCAGCAGATACTAAATTGCTTTAAACAATAGTAATCTGAGTAGAATTTTCACAATAGATTCAAAGTTTGACAGAAAATGAACAAATATATAATATGATACCATTTGATTAAAAAGTAAATTTCGTCACTTTGATCTTCAATTACAAGTCATCGAAGAAAGCATTACAATTGCTCGTGTGCTTTAAACGGTTCCTTTAATCTATTTGGATCAAAATATTTTTCCCTCCAAAATTCATGTGCACGCCCGGGCGTTTTGACGTAAACGTAGCTACGCGCCTGCTTCTGAGTTGACATGAATTATCATTGATATGGTCATGATTATAAAGTAACTGTTTAAAAAACTTTAATTATTCGAAATACTAAAGATTGTGAAACCAAGGAATAGATAACATGAGGTGTATTTGTCAAAACCTTTCTGAAAGTTTGGTCGTCAGTGCTTTTAAACTTCTTATTTTATTTGGTCTATTTAATTTTTTTTTATTAGAGCGCCACTGATGAGTTTTTTGTAGACGAAACACGCATCTAGCTTACAAAATTTTAATCCTGGTATCTATGATGAGTTTACCTTATCGATCTACGAGATTTGACAGTCTAGTTTTGCTATAAGGACCATGATGCAAACATACACATAAGCAAGCATGGAGGACTGGCGGCATCGATCGGAATCTTACAATTTCTTGTGATTGGTTTTAATTCATGTGCGGATACTTCGGATACTGTTTAACAGCCGCCCGTCGTAGATTGTTATCACTTTTTATTGTCTTTTGATGTCCGGTTTTCACAGGTTTTCTATGTTATTGTAGGGAGCAATTCCGAAGCGTGAGTTTTCCGCTAGTTTTGATTTAAAGGGGTTTGTGATTGTTTCGCTTTAGATTTTAGAACTTGACTTTGTGATATTTTATTTGTCAATCTGTTTTGTTTCTACCGGTAGTAGGTATCTATCCTTTGTCCTGGAAAACAATATTTTAATTTTTAACCATCACATTTGGTCAAGTTTAAGAATAAGGGAATTTATGTGCCCGATCGTTTATAAATTAGGTGATATCTTAGGATAAGACAAACTACTTTGACCAATCAAATGTTGTAGGATTATGACTCATAAACGTAATTTAACAGGCGTAACTTGGCTGATGTCACTAGTGATGCAAGAACTGTTGAAACTTCCGGAGAAACTGAATTCACCGCCTATGTTGTGAGATCGTGTTGCACGGTCATTAGTATTATGTGTTGGTGTTTTGTGAACTGTTGTTCGTCTTTTTGTTTCACGTAATGTTATTGTGATTTTCCTCGACGGTTTTGATTGCGTCTTGGTATCTTCTCTCCCTTTTTACAACGTCAAATTTTAAGGAGCTCTATCGCACTTTCAAAATAGATTGACAATCAAGTTTGCCTAACAATTGATTGAGAAGTAATGGTTCACCTACATTGACTAAGATATTAAAACTGACGATAACTGAAATATTCATTGATGATTAAAACTTTTAGTAATTCAACAGTGGTAAAACTAAGAATACACACCACCGTCGCCGGTTGTCTTCGGAGTTTATTCATATCAGTGATCGTCGTAGATTGTTATCACTTTTTATTGTCTTTTGATGTTCGGTTTTCACAGGTTTTCTATGTTATTTAGTGTTTCATAACGTTTGAATGTGACAAGTCGCTCATCATACCTCGATCCAGTTTCTCCCGTGGATAAGGAATGGTACAGGGTTAACTTTTCAGTTCAATTCTTAACCGGATTTTCGAAGGAAAAATCGGTTATTGATTTGGGGATGTACGGCAGGCCGGCGGGCGGCTGCCAAACAGTAGTAGACGCACATGGATTAAAACCAATCACAAGAAATCGTCAGCTTCTGACCTACAAAATCATCATACGTTGTCAGCATAAATTCGCTCTTACAAATATATGCTGAGTTAAGCTCGATACTAAATTATACAAAAGTATACAATTATTTATCATAAACCATTGCAATTAAATTATTTATACCTGTTGATATTTTATGTTATACAGAGTTTTACTTTATAAAGGTCTCATATCCTACTATAACCTAAATTATACAGGCTTTATTTTTATGGACAATTGAATTAAAAACGAATAAAATTAATACTTAACAACAAAAATATTTAATAAGCAAATCGTACAGTATTATTTTAATTTTCTGATAAAGAGAAATCTAGACTTATAATTAGATATATTGTAACAAATTCTAGAAACTTAAACATTTTCCCATGTCGATATGATTGTGAGTCAGTATTGTATACCTTTAATTGTTAACCACAGGGGACTTCTCTCTTTACGTGTTTACAAATTACTACATAATTACACCTTCATCAATCTTTCTCAAATGACCTGTGAATATTACTACATCTTGTAAGCTACAGAAGGTGAAATGATTAGTTGTAAATTCTGACAATTTAAAGGTCATTTCTTTGATATTGTATTTTTTTCGTCGTCTATATGCTACAAGTCTTTACATATAATTTTAATTTAGACTACATCATTAACTGTCAAATGCATATTCAGTTATCCACGTATGACTACATGTAACTTAGTTTTCAACCCTTTATTTTTTGTTACATGTAGCATAGGTCGTGGGAAAGAAAATGTATAGAAATGACTAAGTGTTTTTAACAGAACGCCTTTGAAGAAAATATTTCCAAACCTAATATGTTTGCACTTATTTTGTCGTTGTCAAGCATTTTCATAGGTCAGTGTTTAATCCGAAATGCCACTTGAACGACACAATAAACCTGTTCGATATATTTAGCTATTTTTCAATCATCTTCATTGGTTTTTTTTATAAAAACGTGAGGTGCCAACAAAGAAGCAAGTAAGTACTTTTTGGCCAACCAATTTTGTCGAAAGTTGTAAAAGAAAGGCGAAAGATTTCAAAGGGAGATCAAACTCATAAATTGAAAACAAACTGACAATGCCATTGCAAAAACGAATCAAAAAACAAAAACAAATAAGATATATAAAACACAACATATATTTGAAAGCTAACATTGTTATAGATGGAAATCTTTACTGCATATATTTACTTACTAAAGTACTTGTTCGGTTTAACAATTGTGTAATATGTTCCTATACTTATTTTTGAAAGAAAGTGAAATTCTTAAATATCACTGTGTCTTGATTGTGAATGTTTCTCTCCACTTTGTGAACAGTTTAATTTAAAGAAACAAATTGAAATTTAATCAGAATTTTGAACGAACTGCAATTGGTGGAGAGAAACACTTACAATCAAGTCACTGTAACAAATGAATACACATATAAAAGTATTGTGAAGTTTATGTACTTGTTGTTCAGCTTTTCGCTACTTTATAACTATGTATTTTAAGACAAAGGTCCAATGAACATTCGTTTTAAATTTAAAGTCATAAAAGGTAAAATAAAATAGAAAATGTGTACATTTGCATCTTACATTTTGAAGAAAGGCAACGTAATAAATGATATTAGAGCAAAGTGCATAATCACATAATGCCTATAATTGTACAATACATCTGGTATAAAAATTCACACTTTTTTATTACGTAACTTTACCATCATAAAGATGAACGACCCTAATGTTTCTCACGCTTTTGTAATATGAATAAAATACTAATGAGTGTTCATCAGGTAATGCCTTTGAGATAATTCCAGACATTCAAGGGTAGATATTTATTTTTTGCGACTTTCTATTCAACATAATAGAAAAACAAAGGATATGGGGTATCCACCCATGACACAAAATCAGTACATGCACAGCAAAAACACACAAAAAGCAAATGAACAGCACTTGTATTGCTGTTCTTCGTCTCAATGTATGTTCAATGATTTCTTATATGTGATAAGTACATAATTATTCCTGATGCAGAATCTTTGTCGTCTTTACCCAGTTGATTTATATGAACGGTAAAAATTGTGTGGTATACATGCATGTACGTCAATGTGACGAATAAATAATCAAACGATATTTAGAGGGCAAGATAAAGTCTTCAACAGTAGACTTTTACACATGTGAACTTCTTATAATATATGCCAAATTCTGGTTTTCACTCTGATATCGCGATGAATACAAATATGTGAAAAGTGAGCATATTTGGTTGGTTCTTATGTTTGTCGGACTATACAATATTCCAAGCTCTAAATTTTCCCAAGTCTATACAAATTTAGGCATTCACATGTCCTTGCATTTTTTCATTCTAAAAGGGGTATAGGTCAACTGGTCATTGAGACATAAACTTAACAATATCATAAACAAAATATTTAGTAAAGATTAACATGAACAAAGACAATAGTCCATGCTTCACATCTCCAATATGTTATACGATCACCCTGCTGGTCAGTCATGTCAATTGATTGGTTGATTGATAGTCTTTTTTGTTTGCTTGCTTCAGTGACAAACATTTTCTGCATATTCATGACAAAATATATCCATGGAAGATAGTCTTGGAATTATAAAATGTGGTCAGTGAGCTCGATTCGAATGTGTGGCGTTTATTTACATAGGTTAAAACTATATGTTATGGCGTGTTTTCTTTCGGAGGCTTGGTCAATTTTAAAAACATGTGTACTCTTAACGCAACAAAATTCCAACATTGTTATAAGACAGAATTATTGAAATGAACAATTCCCAATTTCTACGGGCGCAATCACGAACAACTTTCAAACAACGTTCCAATTTACCCGTGTTCCAAAATTTTTTTTAATTTATTTTCAACTTATTATTGCGACTGTTGTCTTCTGTACATCAACCGCTCATCCTGTTTTGAGAAAGTAATTTCGGGTTTATACATGTTCTTTCTTTTCACATTTGTTTCTTAACACGAGTGATATATTGCATGTCATGCATCTGATAAATGAATATGCTTACTCTGTTTACAAACACGGTCTCACTGCATGTGGAGTTCATCCAAATATATTCTACTTTCATGTATGTACCTTCTCGTATGAAATTACAAATGACATCGGTAAATAATATTCTATTATGAATTTTTCTTCAGGTCTATTCTAATAGATAGTCTAATAGTGTCTAGTTTTTCAATTTGTAGTAACATTATATTTTGCATGTTTTGCTTAGGTATTTTAAAAAGGAACCATTTAACCAAAAATTGAAGGATTTCAAAATCAATAAATGTGCCAAATTTCGTCAGTGCCCTTTCCTGTTGCAGTATGATTTTTTCTTCTTTAGATTATAAACAAATTCAAACAAAAATCCATTTGCCCATATCAAAGATATTGGTAGGATGCCAAATGAATAAAACTATAGAAACTCTTAGTACAAAATGTTTGTATTTTGTGTGTATTTTTTAGAGAAATGCTCATCGGCGGCATAATAACCATTTAGACTGGAGTGGGTGGACGGAATGGTCGTCTTGTACGGCTCAATGTGGAACTGGTGCAGCATATAGAGAAAGACACTGCATAGACCGACGAATGAGGTAGGTTATATTTCAGTATTTTTTCTTAATATTCAAATTCAATGCGTTTAACCTAAATCTGCAAAACACAAATGGAAATTTGAAAAGTACAAATGTGCATCTGAATAATTCATTCAATATTATTATAATTTTAAGACATCATTAAATTTACTACAAAAGACAGTCGATATAGCAGGGATATTAAAAGTAGTGATATTTAAACTATTTGACAGTTATATTGCAGTGACAATAACCCTTCGATTTGATAGATCAACCAACTGTGTGACCTTATGTAGGAATAATAAACTGTGGAACTATATGTAGCTTCTGTGGGTTTTAGGTGATAACAGATCAATCTCACTACATGAATACTAAAAGCAAGATGCCTGCAAAACCAAAAATCATGGGCACATGATTGAATAACGTATTGGGTCTATTTTCAAAATGTAATAGTTCAAACAGATAAAATAATTATTAACATGAAGGGACTAGATGAACGCATTTAGTCAAATCATAGTCGGTTCTATTCAAAATAGTCTCAATCAGTCATTCTATTACCACCGCATGCTTTTAGACTATTATTGCGAGTTATCCGACGGACCTTTGAGTAGAAGAAGTTGTTATTTCTGGTTTTAGCCGGTTCGATTTTGATTAATTATCAGTTTTTTGTGTCGCGTTTGTTATGCCCTACATAACAAATGATAGAATAAGGGCAACATGTTCCGGCCTGTGTCTCCATCCATCCGATTGTCCGACCGTCAAATATCAGGTTAAAAATTTTGTTTACTGTAATTTACCATGAAGTTGTGGTCCTATTAACTTGAAACTTAGTACACGTCTTCGTTATGAAGTGAAATTCTTAAAGTTTCTGCCAATAAGGGTTCTGGGTCAGATTTCGCGTCTTACTGAACTTGGAAATGTAATAGTTTGAGCGATGGACGGTGTCTTGTTAACACTTATGATTGTTTTGAATTAACCTTTCAGAAAAAAGAGCATATTTTGTAACGTGTTAGTTCATTTGTCTGTTGGTCTGTCAATATTTCTTTGTACAAACAAAATGCAAAATATAACAAATATGATTACAGTGTATTGTGCATAATGATAACTATTCTTATGGTTGTTTATAGTGGTTTATTGCTTTTTTACTTTCCATTGTGTTTGTTATGTCTAATCTTACTAGCTTTATTTCGATTAGTTTCGTTGTAGTGTCTTCCTTGGTTTTGTTTTGCTAGTTGAGCAGGAACTATTTCTCTGAATTGATATTAATTGTCGAAATGCGCATCTGGTGTAGTAGCGTTTATGAATACCGAGTTTGTTCTCATGTGATTCTTGTTGATTTTGCTTTATTCTAAAGTGTTGTTTTTCGTGCTGTTTTATTTTTCAATGTCTGTATTTTTATCTGACGATTATCGTATCTAAATTCCTGAATTCCTGAAAATCCAGTTTATATTTCAAACTCTTACAATAGGTCATGTTGACGGTTTGTATGCGTGATGATTCCATGTGATTCCTTGTGATTAGACAAGAGATATTCGCCAATCCGCTATTGTAAGATACTTTATCACTTAATTTTACCTGTCAACGTATTTCCAATAACACGGCTTGTGTCACTATAGGTGCAGCAATTGTTGACCATTCTTGTGCATTTGGGTAACCCTAAACCCCAGGTTTTGTGTGTGATTTATGTTGTTCAATCTTTAGTTTTCTGAGTAATCTTTCGACTTATGGTACATGTGGTAATTGATCGCTCTCTTGGTATCTCTCTTTTTCTATGTTATGACGCAGTATTGTTTGGAACCTTTTGTTTTGTTTATATTCAATCAACTTTATTTTGTTTATGTTCATACATTGTGTTACATAATTTGGAACTTTCACAACTGGCAAATATTTCATGCATTTTCACGATCTTATCGATAAAAGATTAATTAAAAAGATTGTCGATCAAAGTGAGAAATTTTCCTCTTCTTAATATATAACGAGCATGTCTAGCTTTCTCCGCCTTTAATGTGCATAAAATATTGGCCACTTAAACTTAAGCAACATTAATCATCTCTAAGTTTGATACAATGCGTTTAACCTTCGGGTATAACAAAAATTAACATTTAAAGATACTTCACTTGTGTTCATAATGAAAATCGATTCAGGTCCTCCACAAACAGAGCTAACCTCAATAATAATCTATATTCATGTTGCCAAATAATAAAGCATTTGTTTAAAAATACTTGGACACGAACTACTACGCCTAAAGTGAAAACTGTAGCCTTTTGTTTTTAAAATAGAACAGTAGCTTTATTACATAATGTTTGAAGGGGAAATATGACAAAGCCAATTGTACGAATTGTTGATAATTTACATACGGTATTATTTTAAAACGTTTGCACCTGCAAATAAAAACATCTAGAATCATTAAATGATTGAAAATTAATGATTTAAAGCTCTAGAAAATACACAGAACAATCTCATTACTGATAAGTTACGTAATAGATATATCAAGCATTTTGTTTTCTAATTAACAAAAGAGACAAAGAGCAGAGCTTCCGCTCTACTATCACAATGAATTTTACAGATGTGGATTGATAACTTTTCCGTCTTAATCACTTAATGAATACATTCCAAACTAAATGAAGTTTTCGTAATTTTAATCCGCCTCACCGGTTTTATTGCGTATTAAAGAGAAAATAACTCGAAATTTTAATAACGAAGTGTCAGTTGTCCAAGGAGAATAACAGGCACAGAAAAAAAACTACATGTAGTACTTATTCTTACTAATAGACGAATCTTTGAATTGGATTTGTTTTTAAACATCCATAGGACAATGCATTAAGTGTTACAGAGTAACAGTGAAGCCTTAATTGAATTGTAACTTATCCTCAACTAAGTATGTACCCTTGTTACACCTCTTTTAAGTTAAAAATTAATGTTTTGTATATTAAAAAAAAATACCGCTTTAATTATAAATAAATAGGACATTAGTGTAAACTCATTTGCATGCATGTGCTCTTGTGATACCAAGTTATAAAATAATATCTTCCTTTTGGTGTCTAGTGAACTAGTTTGCCAGCCAGATACAGTTTGTAATGTAGTTGTTCAGGCGTATAAGTTGCCGATTATGTCAATATCGCGATGTTTTAGTTGCATAACTATTGCTTCAAAAAGAATTTATATCCTTCAAGCACATAACGAATTACTTTAAACATGCATACCAATCTTCATTGTAGTGACGATTATTTCTCTTACATAAACCGACACAAAACGATTGCACATAAGTACTGGCTTATTTTTAGCTTACCTGGCCCAAAGGGTAAATGTGAGATATTGCGATCACTTGGCGTTCGTCGTCCATCGTTCGTTAACTTTTACAAAAAAAAAATCTTCTCTGAAACTACCGGGTCAAATAAAACCATCCTTGGCCATAATCACCATTGGGGTATTTACTTATAAAAAAATATTTCCGGTGATACGTCCTGCCACCCATCATGGCCCACAAGGCTAAAAATAGAACAACATTACAGAAATCGTCAGTCGACTCCATATAGGAACTCATCAAAGATCCTTGTAGGAGTCATTGCTCTTTAATGACGATTTTTTACCATTTTTGTCGATTACCTAGTAGGAAACTATAATAAATAGATAGACACTTTAGATCAACACGGCGTTTTGTGCAAAAACTATAGTAAAGAAAGAGAAACTTTAAACAGCAAGAATGACCTACAGATAAGTAACATAGCTGAAAATGTCAATTCACTCCTTATAGGAGTTATTGTCCTTACATCAATATGCTTTATTACCCATTTTTACATTGTTGGCGGAGACTTAAATAGGTCGAAACGGTAAACAACAAAAAATGATTAAAAAAAGAAAGATTTTAGTCATAAATTGTACAGTCATTTCAGCAACTTATATTTTAGCTATATGTTCCTATGAAGGTTATGATGCTTTGTTGCCAATGTTAGAAAATTTTCAGTCTGCATAAATTTTAAAGTTTACGATTTTACTGTATCGAGTGAGAACAATTATTGCGTCTTCAGTGATGCTTGATGTCAAACATAGAAAAGCTATTATAACCGAAAAGAACCAAAAGTATAGATGAAACCGGACAAGGCATCAAAGCTATGTACGTACATGTATGAGATACTTTCCTTAATTTCAATGATTACATGAGCTTAGTAACAGCAAATTTTACTTAAACTATATACGTATTTTCATGCTATTACCGTAGTTATTAGCTAGTGTTTATCATGATTATAGCCGCGGGGACTAATAGCAAGCAAGCAAAGGTATCGAACCAGTGGTAGTAATATCCTTAAACGATACCAAATTTACTTCGCCAGATGCGCGTTTTATCTATAATGAGTTAATTTTTTTTACAATTAATGTCTCCTCAGTGATTCTCGATCTGTAATATTAAAAAAATTATGATGGTAACAAAACAAAGATATCATAATAAGAGGATGATGTTGTTTATACAGCCCGTAAATTTACACACGATTCATGTAAACTCATTTATCCTATGAATAAACTTATTCTTATAAAGGTTATGAATTTAATAAAGTAGAAATTATATTCATATGTATATATATATATCCTGTCGATACTGTTAACTCATATTTTGACATTGCACATTGTCATGCGTTTCTCGAACAGTTTATGACGTCTTTACGCTAAATCCGTTGGATATGTACTGATTGATACTTTAGTCTGGGAAAACATAATTCATTTATTAGTTTTAATTGGCTTTGAACTAGCTTTCAGTAACTGCGACTACTTTTATATCGGTGTTTGTGTTGTACCGATCTATTGAGTTAAGCCAATTGCAACTGATTTTTACAGTTTGTTCTTATGGTGTGCTGTTACACCACTGTCACGAATATGTTTAGCACCGCCACATTCTTTATGTACCTATTCCAAATTAGGAGCCTGTAGTTCAGTGGTTGTCGTTGGTTCATGTCAGTTAAACTAGGCCGTTAGTTTTCTCGTTTGAATTGTTTAACATTTTTTTCATGTTGGGGCCTTTTATAGCTGACAATACGGTATATTTTTTTCTAATTGCTGAAGGCAATCGGTGTTCTTCAATTGCTTAAACCCACTAATTTGAACTCTGGTGGATAGTTGTCTCATTGGCAATCATACCACATCTCCTTTTTATAAAGAAACGGATTTCTAACAAATTTCTGTCAAAGTGAATATTTGTTGTTATGTAAACATTCAAACTGAATTACAGGGTGAATAAAAAGGAATATTTGGCATTAAATAGAATTATCCTAAGTGAAAAATGATAAAAATAGGTTAGAAAAATATTCCAGAACAAAAATGTATTGAAAAAATATGTAAGCTATTAAAAGTATGCATATTTTTTCGTCTTATCTTAAAAAGTGATATGACATTAATAAAAGTTAAATAGAATCAACGAAATAAACTGCATCTTTGTTGCAAAGTGTTATATCGCTAGAATGAATAGCTCAAAGTAAAATCATTGATCTCTAAGTGTTTACACCTGTACTGTAACACTACCAGATATAAATACAAATAAAAATGTACCTAAATCACAAAAGACATGTTTTCATAATGGATTTATTGTTTAACGTATATTTGTACAGTATGAAATTGTTATGCCTTAATTCATAGCATGTGATTGATCAGTTTGTTACGAAGACACAATTTCATTTGGATAAAAATAAATATTGGGAGCAAATGATACTGCAATCATGCAACACAAGTAGGTCAAATGTAGTATAATAGTAACACCACATGATACATGCATGCAACGATGGCCAAACTCGTTTCTCGAACACTAGTCTCCCTCGAATCTAGAAAAGTTGTAAATAAATCTTGTAAGGGTACGAACATTTGAATTTCTGAGGGGGAGAAGGATTTTGAAAATGAATATTCTGGTCTGGTAAGACCTAAAAATAAGTAACTATGCACAAGACAGTAAGAAAATGAATATCTGGCAACAAGAAATGCAGGATATAATTGTGTACAAAAGTGAAAGTAATGAACATGCAAAGCAACTGATGATAATAAAAAGTCAATCCCCAAAAAATCCTCCTGCCACCCCCACCCCCCCCCCCTTTCCGCCCCACCCCCTCCCCCCACATATCAAATGGTCGAAAAGCCAGCATCAACTAGACTAAAGTGTCAATGTTACTGACAGCATGCATGCATTTAACCGTTATTAAGATGAAAAAGTTGTGTTAGATCTACACTCGCCCTTCTTATCTCGATCAGAGGAAGCTAATACAATAGTGATATAAGTGCAGTAAAAGCTAACAACGAAAAAACTCTTAACTTGATTATGGATTATTTCAGACTGACTCATTCGAGATCTTTCTAAATTCACTCATTTTCTTGTATGATATTTGTTGTACTTGTTTATTTATGTTTTTTTTTTCATTTTGGTCATGGTTTTGTCGGTCCATCTTCGAGTTATTAATTTTGTTTACCGACTTGATGTCATCAAAATGCATGTATTATTTTAATATGGGATTAGTATTAGGTTTTAAGGATCTTTTCTACTCTTGTTTTTGACTTTATGTCAGATATTCGGAATCCTCTAGTTTTATTCATGTAATTCTAATAAACATTTTGCCCGCTAACCCCTACATTTCTTTTCATAATTTTATTGCATATAGTTTAAATATCAAATTTTAATAATCTTATTAAATCCTTATTTTTTCAAAGTTTTTGAAAGAAAAAGGTTTCAATGTTAAATGTATGAAATTGAGAGAATCATTTCCCGCCAAATTTTTAATTGATCTTTATATCTCAAAAACAAGGACACGAACCTTTATTTTTTTCTGCTTTTTAAGTTTAATTATATATATATACTATCCATTTATAACAGCCTTTTAAAAAGCTTATTATTTAAAAAACAGAGGAGCAATAAGACGGCAACTGGATTTAAAAAGATGTAATGATGACATCACCTGCATGTAGATGTCAAAATACATATGACACATTGAGCTTCGTCATTTACGATTATGTTTCAGATATAATCTAATTTTTTAAACGAAGTGTCATCTAAAATTACATGTATGATAATTTGGCAGATTGCGTAATTCTATTCTGTCATTTAATTTATACAAAGGGGAAATTTAAGGCTACAATGTATTATCGGAAATTACAAAAAATACAAAGTCGATCAATCCGTGTTGTTAAATTGATGCAGAAGACACCAATGAGACATTCAAAACTTATAAGTCTTATGCCCCTGTCACATCAAACTCGTTCTCACTACGTTCTGCAAAATGTGGTCGAACGAGCTTAAACTGTGTGCAAACGGAGTGGGCGTAGTTTACGAACTTCAAGGACAAGTTTGTTCGGGAGTGGTGCTCCAGAACTTTTAGACTGCTTAACATTTCTAGGCGACCATCCCGTTCTGCAATAAGACGAAGTGGCAACATACTTAAAATGAGATGGACGTACGAAGAACGGAATTGCCTTACTTGGAACGTGGTATGGACGGTCGTCAATTGAATGTACGTGTGCACACAGACCGAGTCCGTTAGTAGCACGTTCACACACAGACCCAATTCGACCTCATTAAGTCCTTAGTGCGTCTTTAATCTGTTTTAATACGATAACAAGACTTAGTTCTGAATAAGCTAGCAACACGTTTCTGCTTAGTCCAAACCGTTCGCAGCAGGTTCTTAGTACGCTCTACGTCTTTTTGAGTACGTTTATTGCGTTCTAGTACAGTTCTTATAAATCGTACACTATCCCGTACAATCAGACAAGGTTTGGTATAAAAATAGGCCGTTTTCTCGCTGGTTCATCATTTGGTTAGTTATATGTCCAGAAATATAGTTAACCTTGCAGCTCGAAAAGGAGGGGTGTTGGCAAATGGGAATATATTCAGTGAGCTTGATCACAGTTCTAGTTTGTATAGTGAGGAAATGAAATATATATTATATTAGCATATTTATTTTCATGTTGACCTTCAGCTTATAACAATGAAGACGAATATCAACATAGAATTATAGGTATCGAACGGAATTTCAGACGATCGTAAAGCATGTCGCTGTTTGCAGTAATGTCGTTTCGGAAATAAAAACAAAAACAAATGAAAAATATATAAAAGCGGCGAACGAGAATGGGGACTGGCAGACACGTGCTGGGTTTCTATAGCCGTCAGGCAAGGATGTGATGACAATTACGTTCAAAACGCAATAGGAACGAGATGGGGACGTGGTCAAAACAAGTTAAACTGTCTGTTAACGAGGTGATCAAATCAAGAACTAATAAGAACGGATTTCGACGCGTAAGGAACGAAGGAGAACTTGTTCCGAACCGGTTTAAATAGACTGCAGACGGGCTTGGACTGCTTGGAAACGGGGCCCCGTAAGAAGAACAGGCAATTTACCCGATCTAAACTGGATATACACGGACTGCAGACGGAATTAAGACGAGATAGACGTATTGAGAACTGTTTAAGAACTAACTAGGGTCATATTATAGACATCACTCGGCCAAAGCTATACGTTCTACCAAATAACAGTTCGTTTTACATTTCTCAAAGGACTTGTTCGGATGTTTTGAGAACTAGTTTGGTGTAACTGAAGCTGACAACGATATGGTCCACAAAACACTACATAGAAGACTTAGCTTATATATATGATAATGGAGAGAGAGAGAGAGAGAGAGAGAGAGAGAGAGAGAGAGAGAGAGGCTTATATGTTTGTTGTCCGGCTTAAAATACTTCTTATTTATCCATTTTTTAATAAAGGCTTTGTTAAAAGAAGTGATTAAAATATAAGGATCATTTCTACACAGAGATGTAGTTTATCAGCAAAGTTTTTTTTTCAAGTCAACGAACTTGTTGCATTGATAAACATTTCTTTTTTTTTCCTATTATCAGACCTTATTTTCCATTTAACCACTATGTTAAAATCATATAAACAGACTAAACAAATCATGGTTTAACCCAATGATGGTCATGACACCGTTTACTTTGTAAAATCATGCAAGAGAGCTCAGGCTTTTATTGTGATTATTTAGCCTAAGTAGGATTTCAAGTGATCCGACAGACAATGAAGGAACCGTTAAAGTCTACCGACTTCATCTTGTTTAATACGATTTCCACATCATTTCAAGAGAAATATTACAATGGGACACAAATATCTGAAAAATGAAAGGGATTTATAAAAATCAGACATAAATTATAATTATATGAATTTTAAATTTAAATTTTAGGGCCTATTCCAATAAATGCCACGGAAAGAGACATCAGTTTAAGATATGCAATACTCAGGTAATGTCTGCTATGTATATTTGTATAGTAAATTATGTATTTTAGTGGCAATTATTATGATTAATATGCAGATGCACCATTAGGTGCACTATCTTGTCTGTAGTAGTCAGTCTGAAATATGACAACCAGCTGATTACCATCAATATCAATGTTCAAGGTATTAAGAAAAGATCAGAAATTAATAGCATTGAAGTCTACGAGGCGAACAAAACTTACACTATAGTTACCTATCAATGAATCGTCTCTAATACTATAAACAGAAGATAAATTTCGCTAAAATGATTAAGACTTAAGATGGCTAAAATAAGAAATAGGTAAAAGCCAAAATTTGTATGAAAACAGGAGAGAAAAAAAAACAAGAAACAAGACCAGATCAGGTATTTGTCCTGCATGTCTTCTTGTCTTTTCTATAGGTACACGAGAAACAACAGTTTTGAACTTTTGGACATTTTAACTAGTAGAGTACCGATGAAACTTTAGAAGAAAAACAATTATGAAAATCATTTCGTTCTGTCTTCATACCACAAAATATTAGATCTTTTAAAAATAACTTTCTAAATAAAGGTTCTTTTCCTCGAATGTGACAATCCAAGTTAGAATTATCACCGAGTTTGTACTAACATGAGCAATATGAGCAACAAGACAGATGCCACGTGTGGAGCAGAATATGCTTACCCTTCCGGAGCACATGTGGTCACCCCGGTCTTTGGTGGTGTTCCTGTTTCTCAGTGTCTAGTTTTCTATGATGTGTATACTGTTGTTTGCCTTTAGATCATTTTTCTTTTTGTTTTTTGCCATGGCATTGTCAGTTCGTTTTCGACTTATGAGGTTGATTATCCCTTTGGTATATTTCTCCTCTCTTTTAGCTTATGTTGCAAATATTTGGTTTTTAAGTCCGACCCAATTTCAAATTCCCATTACGCCTTAGTAGACCAACAAATCAGCTACGAATATAAGATAACTTAGATGAAAGTTTTTGTCTGAAACAAAAATTAGGGAAATATTTACTTTCATCTTTTTCTTTTAGGATTGTACACAAGGACAAGAAACTCTGAGAGAACAATTATGTTCAAAGCACAATAATGACGTCATAGGCGGCAAACGATATCGATGGCTTCCTTATCTATTACGTAGGTAATTTAATTATATTTCTAAATTATTGTAACAATATCTTTTCAATTGCTTTATTTTCTTATTATCATTCAATTATGTAATAAACTTTTGAAACTGAAAATTTTATTACTGATAGAAACGCCGTAAAATTCACATCCAAACTTCTCGTGAAGTTTAAATCAATTTCATATCATTGACAGCATCTACATTTTGTTATTATAGCGGTGTAAAGTAAGGTTTTCTTTTGAGACCACACCAAAGAACATTGCAAAACAGCAAAAATTTCATTTTTCCTACGTCTTTCGAAAATACATTAGCTTAACTCAAAAATCTTCTACACCACAAAATGCATCTATGTTGATAACAGAAAACGTCAATCACTACTTGTTCCATAAACTTAAGATTCCAAAAATCTAATTACAATCAAATATATTCTAAATACAATCAAATGTATTCTAATTACAATCAAATATATTCTAAATACAATCAAATATATTCTAATTACAATCAAATATATTAGATTCCGCCAGGTGTGAGTTGACGTGTAAAGCAGGCGGTCACGGTTTCTATAACAGCTTTAAAGACCTTATAATTAATGGTACAACATGTTCAAACGATGGCTCATCAGTCTGTGTGGAGGGAGTTTGCCATGTACGTATAGGGTAACAATTATAATGGTCTCATACGTCATCAATCACTTTGCTACATGTATTTCTGTTTTTGACGTATCATTTACCAATACAAATTTAATTAAACAATGGAATTAAATAAAATTCTGTCACAATTTTCACGGTTTGACTGAACATTAATTTTGGTTATTGAATGACATGTACGTAACATTGTTAAAGGCGTTCTTATAATGCTTTTTCAATCGCCACAAATATTTTTTCGGATTCCATGTTTTCTTTGTTAATTTTTGATTCTTGAATTGGTCTTAATTGATAAACTATACGTCCAATCTTACAACATTATAAAAATCAGAAGATGTGTTACGATTGCCAATGAGACAACTATCTAACATAGTCCAAATGACGTGGATGAAAGCAACTATAGGTCACCGTACGGCTTTCAACAGGTTTATAAGTTTAGTTGACTTGCTAAATAGCGTTAATCATTATACACGTCTTCACGAGAGTAAATTAAATTACTATTAAAACTGAAGGGAGAATCATATTATGGCTATCATTCTTTTTAAAACAGATTGACTGTATTACAAGTTGACATTTAACCACAAGACAGGAAGAAAACTCCTAAATCAGAAAAAAACCAATAAAAATATAAAACGTATTCGTCAAGTTGTCAAAATGTTTCTGCATTGGTCATCATTTATTTCTTTGGTTCCATTCCTGATGAAGGTTTTTAAAAGATATACATTAAACATAGCAAAAAAATAAGACATCGCAGTTTTTACTATATGGAAAATGTTAAAAGTTGTTTCGTTATTAGCCGAGGGAAGCAGATAAAACATAGATTGATAGATGCACGCAAGCATTTCTATATCGAGATTTAACTCGTGCCATTGTCACACAGTTCCTCCCCTTCAAATGAAAAGAATTGAACTTCACGTTTATCTGGCAATTAATCAACAGCGTATATTAATCTTATGGTCGTATATTATTATTACTTTAAAAATACGTGTTCTTAAAACGTTTAAACCCGCTGCATTTGTTTGCACCTGTCCTAAGTCAGGAATCTGATGTTCAGTAGTTGTCGTTTGTTGATGTGGTTCATAAGTGTTTCTCGTTTAGATTTAGACCTAATCTCTTTAGATTAGACCGTTGGTTTTTCCGTTTGAATGGTTTTACACTAGTAATTTTTGGGGCCCTTTATAGCTTACTGTTCGGTGTGAGCCAAGGTTCCGTGTTGAAGACCGTACTTTGACCTATAATGGTTTACTTTTATAAATTTTGACTTGGATGGAGAGTTGTCTCATTGGCACTCATACCACATCTTCTTATATCTATCTAACTGTAATTTTCTTTCTAGAAATTTGGATGTGACGGAATAGTAGGATCAAAAGTCACCAAGGATATTTGTGGTGTCTGTGATGGTGATGGCTCTACGTGTAAAATGGTACAAGATGTTTATGAAGATGATAAATTGAAATACGGATATAATTTAGTAACCATTATTCCATCTGGGGCAACAGCAATAAACGTTACACAATTGCGAATCGGCAGAAATTACTTGGGTAATTGAATAAGAATTAATGTGTCTATATGTTAGGCGTTCAAGCGTACCTGATGATGAGATTTAAGAAACACATATCATGTGCACTAAAATCGGTGAGGGGAATGACACGCTTTTGTGAGGTGGAATATAGGGGGTTCAAAAAGTGGGGATGTAGGATATAGGGGGTTAAAAAAATTGGGGATGTGGGATATAGGGGGTAAAAAAAATTGGGGTTGCGGGATCTGGAAAAAAAGGGAAAAAGCGTGAAGTGGGGAAAAATTATAAAAAAAATGGGATTTCAGAAATAAGTACCCAGTGTCACCCCCTCATCAATGTCATACATTTTTATTTGCTTTTATAAGAATAGTATATGTAGGTATGTAATCCTTTTTTTCAAGTTAGGTTTGATCAAAAGGAGCATCTCTATTTTCATGCAACCAAACATTTATTATTATACATGTAATTGTTTAATTCTCTTTAAGATAATTAGGTTTTATCAGATGTGGTCAACATTTAAAGACGACATCTTCTTGAAAATTAATTTCAAATTAACTCAACTAATTTCACCTTAATAATAAACATGTCATTGTATTGTAAATATTTAATGGTCAGTTTTGAGCGTTCCTGTGGAAGGTAAATCCAAAAAAGCGCTTCGGACGCATGCGCATGACATTTATAAAGTGTTATTTTCATTTGTTTATCCTGGAATATTCTTTTATGTTTTATGTATCTAAAGGTGCTGATATTTTAATTCATTGGATAATCTTTTTCAGCCCTGAAATTAAAGAATGGAAAATACATTATTAATGGTCATCGTAGACTATCAGCACCTGGTCAGTACGAAGGCGCGGGAACCACATTTACATATAAAAACCGTGCTTCAAAACATTGTCCTGGTGAATGCCTATTTGCAGATGGTCCAACGAATGAAGACCTAGAAGTGATGGTAATTTATGGTCTTCTCAAATTTTACTGACCACTTAATAAGTAATAATAATTTTTATATGAGCAATAAATGTTCGTTTGGATAATATTTGAAACCATAGAACTCTGTAATATAGAGAAAATATTTGACATATTCAAATAGAAAGGTGAAACTTTCAGTGCATATTTTATATCTTTTTATATGTATTAAAAAGTAAATAATCTTTTAAAGAGTGACATATTTACCGTCCAGCTGTGGGGAGAAAAGACAGTTGAAAAGGTCACTGAAGTTAATATTTCGTTATCCATAATTTTCATTATTTATTATTACAGTTTTCGCAATGATTTCTGACTTCCAATATAAATGTTCAAGTTAACCATAGATGTATACATCTATGAGTTAACATAGTAACTTCTAAATATGCTCTTCACATCCGAAAGATTTAATTCTTATTTGAAATAACATATTTGTTTGGTTTTTTTTTTTTGGATTTTTTTAAAGATAAAGATCAGAAGTGACGATTGTTTTAAGTAACGAATGACCACTGTATGTACAAAAAAACATTGGTTGAGGACGGAACAAGTCAAATTTCACATTGAGCAGGAATTTTGAAAATGAACATATTTTGGCATTGCACACGGTCAAGTTTTTGTCTCTGACCGTTACTGACGTCTTTATACACTAAATCCATTGGATGTTCGGTGTGAACTGATTGATATTTAAGTCTTAGATACATGATTTTTTTATTAGTTGTTATTGGCTTTGAACTAGCTTTTAGTAACTGTGAGTACTCTCGAATCTGTTGTGTGTGTCTTTTGTTTGTTTTGTTGTTACTTTGTATCGATCTGATGAGTTAAGCCCTTTTCGACTGTTTTTTTTTTATAGTTTGTTCTTATGTTGTACTGTTACACCGTATTATGGTGAGGGTTTGATACCATCAAACATGTTTAACCCAACCATATTCTGTATGTGCCCGTCCCAAGTCAGGAGCCTTTAATTCAATGGTTGTCGTTTGTTGCTGTATATCATATTTGTTTATTGTTTGTTGTTTTGTACGTAAATCAGGCAGTTAGTTTACTCGTTTGTATCTCTGGTGGAGAGTTGTCTCATTGGTGATCATACCACATCTTCTTGTTTTTTATATATTAGGTGTTTTTTGGGCGTGTTTTAACATGCAGAGTCGACATTTTTACGGGTATAAATATACGTTGTCTTTACCAAAGCAGTGTTTTTTTTAGCGTTTTGAAACATCTACATCGAATAAAGACTTTAAAATTGTTATTTAATGATTTTCCGCTAAGCATACATACGGGGCGAAAGTCGAAAACGAACTGACAATGCCATGGCAAAAAACGAAAAACGACCAAAAGAACAAACAGTAAAAAACACAACATAGAAAACTAAAGACTGTGAAACACAAGCCCCTCCCAAAACTGGGATGATCTCAGGTGCTATATACGAAAGGGTAAGCAGATCCTGCTCCACATGTGTCATGTCCTTCATATTAATTTATCGTTATTTTCTATTAGTTTTCTGTGTATTAGATATACATTTAATATTCAAAAGTATGTGTCTTGAGAAATAAAAAGATTTATCTGAATAGACTTCTCATTCATGATACTATATTATTTTAGTTGTTATATTTTGGGAGGAATACTGGTGTATTGTACAAATTTGGATATCCCACTGACCGAAATGGAATGCTAAAATACCAAGATCTTTCACTCGAAAATGGAAAATCTGGGAATTCTATTCGCATTGATGGTGGAGAAGAAAGTCGGGCCTCTACTACAAACTATTTAAATAACGGGTTTAGAGATAGAAATAATAGGAATCACGATTACAACGGAAATAATGATTATTACAATGCTGTCTTAGGCAGTTCTGGAAATAGAAATACTCATTTAAATAGAAATCCAGATAGGAATAGAAATACTCATTCGAATAGAAATCAAGATAGAAATAGAAATACAGGTTCGAATAGAAATCAAGATAGAAATAGAAATACTGGTTCGAAAAGAAATCAAGATAGAAATAGAAATAGAAATACTGATTCGAACAGAAATTCAGATAGGAATAGAAACCGAGATAGACATACGAACAGAAATGACGGAAATCGGAATAGATATACTAACAACAGAAATCTTCCACAGACAGAAAGATATGATGCAACAGTTGTTATAGAGGAAAGTCAAAGAAAGCCTGATAGGAATCAACCTAAAGACAAAATGGAGAAAAGTTACTATATTTCATCCGTATCTGGTGGCAAAAATCTGCCGTTACCTGCTTACACACAAAGTTTTCCATTTATGGATAAAATGAAGGATAAAATGCACAAGAATGGAATTTTAGGAAATGGTCAAAATGATCCTATGTACCAAAAAACTGGAGCCCTTAATGATAATGGAAGAAAACCTATCATCGTTTCCGATCCTTTAGATCCAGAAACAGCTCCAGTTATCTATAACTGGAAAGTGATTGGTTACACAGATTGTAATAGGACTTGTGGATCAGGTACTTTTTATACTCGTAAAATATTTATGGTCGGATCGTAATCGGGTTTATCATTCTCCTAAAATTACATTAGTCCAATTTGTTTGATGTTCGTTTAAAAAAAAAAAAAGGAATCTCTATCGTTTGCTTCCTCTTTGTTTTTCTTTTGATTTTCTTCTTTGTTTTGCCTTTCTGCAAACCTGGCAAAGATTATTCTTTAAACACAGGTCATGCGTCTGCAATAGGTATCATTCCCTGTAAACACACAAAATGGATGGACTTTTACAATAGCAGCAAGAAATTAAACCGTTTAGAAATTGTTCATTTGCTATATTTTGAAAACCTGAATTTTAGGTTGAAATGTGACATAATGACTGATAAAGTACAATTGTAAAACAATCATAAAGAGTTGACCTTTGTAAATCATACTATAAAAAATGTACATATTTGTCCAACCGGTATTAACTGTGTTAGTTTTCAGCTTAAAGAAAAAATATACATGCATATTAACAGAAGTATGGAAAAAATTTGGCAGTAAGCTCTATATTTTTACAACGTAACATAACTTTCTACTTAGGGTTAGAACATGTATGAATTTGTTTCCATTCAACAATTTTAAGTTTACACAATGGAAAATAATTTATTGAAAAACGAAATGAATAGAACAAGAAGGCTATAATTATTTTAATGTTACTTTTAAAATGTCCATGCATTTTGTGAAATTTCTGACAAAGTTTATTATACATTCTGTGTACTTCCGTACTTAGTACTAAGCATACTATATATATATAAATACTATACTTGACAGGAATTCAGCATCCTATTGTTAAGTGTGTTCGTGCTTCAAAAGAAGTTCTCGAAACACATTGTAGGAGATTACCAAGACCTGATGAAACACCAAGAGAATGTAACACACAGGCTTGCCCCGCAAGGTTAGAAGTGAATAAGATGTTATCCTTTTAATGAACGTTTTAGCCTTCTTTATGCGTTAAATCAAATTTGATCTTAAATTTAGAATTTATATATAGTTACTTTAATGGCCACATAAAAGTTAATGACGGGAAAATCTACTTTACGATTATAATAGGTGTGATTGTGTATTTGATGTACTGAACTTAAATGTAAGTTCCAAATGTACCAGGTATACTGATCTTAAATGTAAAGACTTTTACCGTTCCAAATGTACCAGATGATGAAATGATAATAGGGGTAAAGATTTTGAACAATAATACACAATTTAGCGCATAGTAACGCAATTTCGATTTTTTTTAAACTTTTCTTTATTGTTATGGCTTACTTTCAGAAGAAAACACCATTGTATTGGTTTTCTAGATACAATGATTGTTTCATTTGCATTAATTGTTACTGGATTCTTTTCAAATCAAATATGCTATTTTTGTGTGTTCCTTTTAAGTCTTATTCCAGTTCTCTTGGAACACTGGTGTTAAATTAGCAACTGGAGATCAATTGAATGTTAATATTTGATTTGGAGGGGGGTGTCGATCTTACATTGGCAACTAGAAATCAATTGTTCGTTGATAAAAGAATGGGGAGATATTACATTTAGCAACTAGAAATCAATTTTTCGTTGATATTAGATTGGAGTGGGGGTTAAATTTAGCAACTAGAAATTAATTGTTCGTTTATTTTAGCTGGGAGGCATCACCATGGACCTCTTGTAGTACAACGTGTGATGATGGGATGCAAATAAGAAATATTTCCTGTTTAAAAGAAGTCGCAGATTCTCTTTTCCTTGAAAGTACATTAGACGAATGTTCACATCTAGATGCACCTGAAACATTTAGACATTGCAAAGTAGAAGATTGCTTCAAATGGTCCTCAGATCGTTGGAGCGAGGTAATTCTATTGTATTTGATGCGGAATTCGTATAGAAGCCCTCTTAAATCATGTTTTCTTTTTGAGTTATTTTTTTTTAAGGGGATACGATACAGTTACAGGGGAGGTAATGCCGTTGCTAACGTACAATGTTATTTTTCGCGACGTCAAACTGCGCCATATCGAGAAAAGATGCATTTTTCGAGTGCTTTTAATAATTAGCTTGAAAACGAGCACATGGACCCCTCTTTTCTTAAATGACATTTGACTCGATACTGTATGAAGATTGTTTGTTCCAATTTTTATGAAAAAATAACCGATGAATTTTTTTTTTAATTAGGTAAATATGCAGCCGGTTTTTTCTGCAATCTTGAAATTTAATTAAAATAAATCATTTACAAAGAATTGTTAAACAAATTACATATAAGAGCATAACTTTGTAAAGAAGGTATTCCTTATCTTTTTACAAAAATCCTCATGTGTTTGTCATTTGAAACAAAAAAGTAAAGTGTGTCTGTCCAAAGGATAGAAATGTCCAAGAAACCGAAATTTTAAGTAAATGTCTAAAATTTCAACCCCATTTATCTCTAAATTTAGCACATGAAGGTATATTTTTTATTACATATTTGAATTGACTAAGTAAAAAAAAGCTTGTTTGCAAATTTTCGTAAATAATCACCGTGGGATCAAAACTGTATCGTATACCCTTAAACCGGTCTGTCTTATCAAATATCAGTATACATTGTGTATTTAGAACAGTTCTCATGCATGCACTTTTTCTGTAGTTTGTAGTGGTCTTTTTCTCAAAAACATCCGATCTTTCCTTTGTTCGCATGAAACCTTCATCTACAAAATCTTATCCTCCTGCCTGCGAATTCATGTTGTATTTAAAGCTACGAACGGTCCATCTCACTTCAGCGTGACCACTGTGTCTAAACTACCCCGGCAAAAAATGTTTGGACTCGATAGTATCTAATGTCAGGTACGGTGACGGACAATCAACAGACAGAGAAAAGGTAGAATTTGTGTTTATTAATTTGTTTTTTTAATGACATTTAAGAATAAACATACACATATAACTATTTTCGATTGTGTGATGTTATATTTTCTACAACTGTTCTAGATTAATGGAGAAATAAGTAAAAAGGCACATGAAAATGGTGAATTGAGTGAACCTTGCTACGAATTTGTTTAATTTCTTTTTAAATTGTGCACATTGTACGGAAAGAAAAGTACTGAAAGAAAGATATTAACACAGATATTGCATGGCTAGTCACTACGAGCTCCTCAATATTTGCATTTCTGTGCATGGAACGAAAGAAATGGGTCATGTCAAAATGGAAGGACCCTGTTTCGTCAATGTTGTTTATTACATAAGGACCCGGTTTTGTCTCAGTATAGGACCCAGTTTTGTTTTGTTTTGAAACCACATATTTATGAAAAGCTACGTTAACACGGATCTGAACATTGCCCATCGGAAGAAATTAAATATGTGAGTCAAAAAGATGTTATAAAGATGTTATTGCAATACAAACATGTCGTGTTAAAATATATTTCAAACGGGAACTTTTCGAAATAGGGAGTAGACATTTTTGAATGCTATACGTATACCTTATTGAACTTATCTTCGAACTAAGTTTAAATGAAAATAAATACTTTATAGCATGTACTTACATTAATTCCTTATGATATAAAAAAGAAGATGTGGTGTGATTCGTTGCCAATGCGACAACTCTTCACAAGAGACCAAATGACACAGAAATTAACAACTATAGGTCACCGTAAGGCCTTCAACAATGATCAAAGCCCATACCGCATAAGTCAGCTATAAAAGGCCCCGAAATTGCGCCATATCGAGAAAAGATGCATTTTTCGAGTGCTTTTTATAATTAGCTTGAAAACGAGCACATGGACCCCTCTTTTCTTAAATGACATTTGACTCGATACTGTATGAAGATTGTTTGTTCCAATTTTTATGAAAAAATAACCGATGAATTTTTTTTTTAATTAGGTAAATATGCAGCCGGTTTTTTCTGCAATCTTGAAATTTAATTAAAATAAATCATTTACAAAGAATTGTTAAACAAATTACATATAAGAGCATAACTTTGTAAAGAAGGTATTCCTTATCTTTTTACAAAAATCCTCATGTGTTTGTCATTTGAAACAAAAAAGTAAAGTGTGTCTGTCCAAAGGATAGAAATGTCCAAGAAACCGAAATTTTAAGTAAATGTCTAAAATTTCAACCCCATTTATCTCTAAATTTAGCACATGAAGGTATATTTTTTATTACATATTTGAATTGACTAAGTAAAAAAAAGCTTGTTTGCAAATTTTCGTAAATAATCACCGTGGGATCAAAACTGTATCGTATACCCTTAAACCGGTCTGTCTTATCAAATATCAGTATACATTGTGTATTTAGAACAGTTCTCATGCATGCACTTTTTCTGTAGTTTGTAGTGGTCTTTTTCTCAAAAACATCCGATCTTTCCTTTGTTCGCATGAAACCTTCATCTACAAAATCTTATCCTCCTGCCTGCGAATTCATGTTGTATTTAAAGTTACGAACGGACCATCTCACTTCAGCGTGACCACTGTGTCTAAACTACCCCGGCAAAAAATGTTTGGACTCGATAGTATATAATGTCCGGTACGGTGACGGACAATCAACAGACAGAGAAAAGGTAGAATTTGTGTTTATTAATTTGTTTTTTTAATGACATTTAAGAATAAACATACACATATAACTATTTTCGATTGTGTGATGTTATATTTTCTACAACTGTTCTAGATTAATGGAGAAATAAGTAAAAAGGCACATGAAAATGGTGAATTGAGTGAACCTTGCTACGAATTTGTTTAATTTCTTTTTAAATTGTGCACATTGTACGGAAAGAAAAGTACTGAAAGAAAGATATTAACACAGATATTGCATGGCTAGTCACTACGAGCTCCTCAATATTTGCATTTCTGTGCATGGAGCGAAAGAAATGGGTCATGTCAAAATGGAAGGACCCTGTTTCGTCAATGTTGTTTATTACATAAGGACCCGGTTTTGTCTCAGTATAGGACCCAGTTTTGTTTTGTTTTGAAACCACATATTTATGAAAAGCTACGTTAACACGGATCTGAACATTGCCCATCGGAAGAAATTAAATATGTGAGTCAAAAAGATGTTATAAAGATGTTATTGCAATACAAACATGTCGTGTTAAAATATATTTCAAACGGGAACTTTTCGAAATAGGGAGTAGACATTTTTGAATGCTATACGTATACCTTATTGAACTTATCTTCGAACTAAGTTTAAATGAAAATAAATACTTTATAGCATGTACTTACATTAATTCCTTATGATATAAAAAAGAAGATGTGGTGTGATTCGTTGCCAATGAGACAACTCTTCACAAGAGACCAAATGACACAGAAATTAACAACTATAGGTCACCGTAAGGCCTTCAACAATGAGCAAAGCCCATACCGCATAAGTCAGCTATAAAAGGCCCCGAAATGACAAATGTAAAACAATTCAAACGAGGAAACTAACGGCCTAATTTATGTAGAAAAAAATGAACGAAAAACAAATATGTAACACAGCAACAAACGACAACCACTGAATTACAGGCTCCTGACTTGGGACAGGTACATATATACTGAATGTGGCGGGGTTAAACATGTTAGCGGGATCCCAACCCTCCCCCTACCCTGGGAAATTGGTGTAACAGTACAGTATAAGAACGAACTATAAAAATCAGTTGAAAAAGGCTTAATTCATCAGATGGATACATTAATTCTAACGCTTGGTTTAAAAATTTTAACAAATATAATGCCTACCTATGTTAAAATGAGCGTTGAGCATGGCATGAAAGAATTATTTCTTTTTATAAATAAAATTTGGTTTGCAACATTACAACGTCCAATATCTTCGTCTTCGTCTTCGTAGAACAACCTTAGTGGCAGTTTAGACCGTGAAAAATGACAATGTGACAGCTTTCCATCAAAGAACAAATGACGTAAAAGTTAACAAATATAGAACACCGTATCCAACAATGAGAAACGCCCATACGGCATAGCAAGCTAAAAAAAGGCCCCGAAATGAAAACTGTAAATAAAACTAAAGTGAAAACTAACGACCTGATTTATGTGCAAAATAAAAAACGAAAAACAAATACATGTATAATATACAGCAACAAAAGACAACCACCGATTTACAGGCTCCTGGATTCGGTACTGGCACATACAGAATGGCGGGGTTGAACGTGTAAGCGCTCCCTCCCAATCCCCCCCCCCCCCAAAAAAAAACAAAAAAAAAACAAGAAAAAACTGGGATAACAGCACAACATATGAACAAACTATAAAATTCAGTGAGTTGAAAAAGGCTGAACTCATTTGATTACAGAGCCCCTATAGTAAATATGCGATTGGCGACTGTCTCTGTTTTTTCGTCTTTTATTAAATTTTATGATGGTATACGATATAGTTACATTATATCAGTGGCGGATCCAGGGGGTAGAGGGAGTACGCCGACCCCCTCCCCCCTTTTTGGTGGCTAGAAATAATTATTTTATTATGTTTTTTTACGATTTATATATGATTTTTTATTTGACAAAAAATCGTAAAAAATAAGTTCCTATTGCTACGCTTGGCGGTATAAAATCCGTTTATGAATACGTCCCTTTCAAAAATCATGGCCTCGGTCCGCCCTTGCATATTGACAATTTTAAACTTGACCAACGTGCTTAAATTGTAGAACTTTTGTCAATGTACGATAATCATTATACAATGAAGAGATAAACCTATATATAATAGTTGTACTTGTTAACAATTAACTTGATACTAGTGCATTAATGAATTTGTTAATGTCAAAAAAGAGAAGAAATAAATAAGAGATAAAACATCGTTTATTTATAAAATTACTAATCAAATAATCATCATTGCAATTTCCGGATGGCCTAAGACTATTATACTAATTTATACTTAGTATTATTTTAATAAGGAGGGGTAAACAGATTTTTCACGCACTATTATTGTGATCCTTTGCGCCGCATGGAAATTCCCTTTCTTGGGCGATTCTGCATGCATATACATTTGTCTTATTCTCTTGCTTTATAATGAACGTTTAGTTTTAAAATATTTATTTTCAAACGATCATACTGTCTCCCCCTTTAAGTAGAGCGGAACTTTAAGATAATCACATATCAAATGTGCGTCCTTAAATTTTCAAGGCCGTACACTATTTAAGTTTGAACACTTAAATTTACATAGTTGATATAAAAAAATCCAATCGCGTTACAAAACCTTCGTTTCTTTTCAACTTTTCCTTTTTTTTTTTATACAAAACATTATTGAAATTTGCTTTCTTCTAAAATAGCAGGAATTCAAGTCTTTACGGATTCAAAAAGGTTATAAGTTATCCTCTGAAAGAAAATGTTTTTCAACGATCACTCAAACTGCTGTTGAACGCCATATTTTAATTTTCGTCATGCGATTATGCATTATTTTCTATGACAAAACCGGGTCTGCTTTGTTAAATTTAAGGACAAAACCGGGTCGTACACATTGACAAAACCGGGTGCTTCAATTTTGACATGACCCACTTCTTTCATTCCATGCACAGACATGCTAATATTCAGGTGATCATAGTGACAAGTCTTGAAATCTCCGTGTTAATATCTTTCTTTCCGTACCTTTCTTTCCGTACAGTGTGCACAATTTAAAGAGAAATTAAACAAATTCGTGGCAGGGTTCACTCAATTCACCATTTTGATGTGCCTTTTTACTTATATCTCCATTAATCTAGAACGGTGGTAGAAAATATTACATCACACTATCGAAAATAGTTATATGTGTATGTATAGTCTTCAATATAATTAAAACATCATATAAATAAACACAATTTCTACCTTTCTCTGTCTGTTGATTGTCCGTCACCGTACCGGACATTAGATACTATTGAGTCCAAACATTTTTCGCCGGGGTAGTTTAGACACAGTGGTGACCATCGCATCTCCGAGTCCTACAAATATATATGATGTACATTTTTGCAGGAAAATATATAATTGTAATAATCTTAATTTTAGAAAGTAAGAAGCGATGTTTTCTTTCTTTTTGGCAGCGAGTATAAGTAATTTTATATCTTGTGAATATCTTCTTAAATGACATTTCTTTTCGTCCTACCATTTTGCACTATAAAGAAATGGGACTTATTTTGACGCGGACGATTAAAGAGGACATCAACATATGAAGCGTAGTTTGTACATAGATATCCCGTTTACATTCTAATACATTCACCTTACCCCCAAGACCATCTTTATAGTGTAAGAATATTACCTCGATTTAATGTTAAAAACTGTTTATTTGAAGCCAAAATGTGTTATATATATTTGACTTTCAAACATGAACAAATTCAGTTCTTGTTTTCTAGTGCTCTACAAACTGTGGTGAGGGTTTAAGGACACGAACCGTAAATTGTACTTCAGCAGATGGCTATATCGTAAACGACATATATTGTAACAGTACAGATATGCCACCGGAAGAGGAAGGGTGTTATTCTACAACCTGCGAATATGGATACAGTGCCGCTTGGTATTCCACGAGTTGGCAGGAACAGGTATGTCATTTACGGTCAATTTGTTGTGTGCTTCTTGTTCTGTGGTGAATTCCTCATTTAGGTCATGAAGCATCATATGATGTTTCAAATTATTACAAAGTTAAGTATTTTGTTTTTAATTTACTTTGCATAGAGACAACATTAGTATGATTCAACGGCTCATGCTTATGTAGCCTCTAGTTTCTTTAACTTTGAATTGTCTAGATAATATGGATAGTCATATTAAACCAAATATATTAACATATATTAAATGACTAATGTTTAGTTATTTAAAAAGACAATTGACTGATTAATGTTGACTATCTGAACTGTATTATTATTTGAACTTTCACCCCTTCAGTGCCCAGTATCATGTGGAATAAGTAAGCAGAGACGCAGGGTTGTATGTGTCAGTGAAAATCCATCCGGTCCGGACTGTGAAGAGGACAGGAAACCAGAAGGTGAACGTGAATGCAGAGCACGGCAGAACTGTAATGGTTATTGGTTTAGTGGTCCTTGGCAACAGGTTTGTTTTGTTCCTACAGAATTGCAATAACTACAGGTTCGGTTATTTTCATCTATATTTGATGACAAGAATAAATGTTCATGTGCTGCTTTCTGGTCGAATCTTTAGCAAATACTCTTTTGTACTTGTATTTATTTTTCATTATCTTCCGTTCCGGTTTTCTATTACTTATGGTAATATGGAGTCTATCTAGAGTAGAACTTTTAATATTCAAATAAACATATATGGCATATTTTCAATGCATAAAGCATTTCTAGAATTACCATCACTTCCAAGACCAAACTTTTGGGAAGTCATAATATGTTTGTGAGCACTATAATCAGAATGGAAAACGCAGACCATTTGAAAACTTTGGTCTTTGGTGGATACTTGTCTCTTGACAATCATACCACACCACCTTAAAACTTTTATAGCTAGGTATACTTCGCCTTGGGTCTTGGGGAGTTGCAACCTTAGTTCAGTAACAACCAAAACGCATTTCATGTTTAATCTTTTTTATGTTCTGGCGTACATAGTCAAGTTATATTTGGTGTTTAACATCAAAAATGGTGTATATGACTTATTTCGGTATAAAAAAAAACTTCATCTGTTTTTTTTTTATATTTTAGTGTAATTCCACATGTGGTGAGGGAACTAGGAGCCGTCAGGTACTATGTTTACGAGAAAATGGAAATACAGCTTATGAAGTTATACCAAATGATTATTGCGATATGGAAGAGAGACCTGTCGAACATGAACTATGCAAATCTTCATCTTGTCCGCCAGAGTGGTTCATGACTGAATGGAGCCAGGTATATAATGTTCTAGTATAAATCCTGCATGCATATGCATGTGTTGTATTGATTTCACTTAATGGTAACACATTCCTATGAAGGGATTTTTCATGACTTAATACTTACGGACATATTTTTTTTCATAGTTTTAGCAATGATTACAGAGAAAAATATCAGATTTAATATAAAAAAAATGCTAAAATAATTTTTATATTTATCATGTTTATAGTAACAAATGAAATGGAAAAAAATCATTTTTGACTTTTATGTAAATAGGTATTTGTTTTAACACACAAAATGTATGACTATTTCGTCGTAATGATAAAAGAAAATTTACAGAATTAACATTAAAATTGACATTATTCTTTTGAAGTGTTCTGTAACCTGTGGCAAAGGAGAAAGATCGCGTGACGTGTTGTGTATTGACACAGATAACCGTGAGGTGAATGCCTGTGATATTACCAGCAAACCAAGAAGCTCAGAGGAATGTGGAGCTAATCCTTGTAATAGTTATACAGATCCTTCTGGTGAGTAACATATATTTAATTGAACGGATGCCACACGTGAAGCAGAAGATCTGCTTACCTTTCCGGGGCACATGAGATCACACCCGGTTTTTGGTGGGGTTCGTGTGCTTAGTCTTTAGTTTTCTATGTTGTGTTTTGTGTATTGATTTTCGTTTTTTGTCATGGCATTGTCATTTTGTTTTCGATTTATGAGTTTGAAAATCCCTTTGATATCTTTCGCTTCTCTTTCATACAATACAGACTAATAATTCTGATACAATTGGTGTACAAATAACACCAATCCCATCAATGAGTACCAAATAAAAGAAATGTCCCGTCCCGCTATAGAGATGATGTACTCTCCCTAAATGATTCATGTCGACTATGTTGATCGTATTTATCACATCGAACTTGAAAAAAGGATAACACAGTTACAGTTAAATATGCCTCGTATCTTGATAGACATCTAGAAATTGACAACGATGTTGGATACATCTAGAAATTGACAACGATGTTAGATACATCTAGAAATTGACTATGAGGGTAGATTGAGAACAAAACTTTACGACAAAACTTTAAGGATGAGTTCAGCTTTCCAATTGAAAAGTTCCCATATCTATGTAGCTACATTCCAGCAGCGCCTGCAAATTGAGTATGAATCTCCAAGTAGATACGATAATAAAGAGCTTATATTTCCTATTATGATTTTCTTGAAATGACGGGTGTCAATATTGCAGCATCATCTGATTGCCGTTCTCGGCTTTTTGAGATCATCGCAGTTTTGGTGGTGTTTGTGTTGATCGGTCTTAGTTTTCTAATTAGTGTTTTGTGAACATAGTCTTTTCGTTTTTTTTTTTGTTTTTTTTTTTTGGGGGGGGGGGTCTTTTGCGTTGTTACTTTCTCTAGATTTATAATTTTTGAATATCCCCTGGTATTTTCCGCCTCTTTCTTTTTTTTTCTAAATTTCTAAATTTTTCAACGAAAAATTTTCTAGTGACATTTTCAATTTTAAATGATTACACTGCACGATTTCATTGTGTAGGAATGTCAATGCACATTAAATAAATCCATTTTCAGTTGCCCGAATTAATACCAAAAAATAGATAAATACAAAAGTATTTTCCTGAGAAAAATTGAGAGACAATGTTTTGCAACAATTTAAACCTAATAAAACTTATATCACACTCTACAAAAGGATATATCATGATCCGGTGCATAGACACTATCCTTGTAGTACATTGTATATACCGTATAAAATCTATGCATTTCCTTTATTGGGAACTAATAAGACAATAATAGATAAATAACTGAGAATCTAATAAAGATTAATGCGGAAACTACTGGCTTTGGCTGTATTATATGTTATCGGTGACAGGAAACATTATTACAAAAGAACAATGGTAAAAAACCAATCAACAGATGATTTTACCATTTTTTCACCGAATTGAAAAATTGAAGATTTTAAATGGTAATCAGTACACAACATGGAAGTAAGACAAACTAAGGCAAAACAGGAAGTGAACACAAAACTATAGGTTCAGAAACGAGAAAAAAATCACTTGAACCGAGATACCCTGGAAATAGACAATTGATTAATAGATTGTTTTTTGTTTTGTTTTACGATCAGTGGCAAATAGATATATTTCTAACATATTAAGGACAATGAATATACATCCAATATGTGAATTCTGCAAAGAGGGTCGACTTGGTTAAAGGTTTGATTTGTTTACTGTTACTTTAAAATACGGGTATGTCGATAGGAAAAAATATTTTGATTTGTAATAGGCAACCTACGCACCCCTGAAAGAGAGAATGCAATGGGTTCTTTAACGTATAGAGAGTGTATCGCCGGATTCAATGTGTTTATTCAAGCCAGAGAAGGCTTATATCGGGTCCTCAATGCTCTCAAACTTCGTACTTTATTTGGCCTTTTTAACTCTTTTGATTCGAGCGTCACTGATGAGTCTTTTGTAGACGAAACGCGCTCTGGCGTACAAAATTTTAATCATGGTATCTATGATGAGTTTATTTGCAGAAAGGACGATTAAGTGAAATTTCAGTCAGTGTTTCTCCATTGACACCTTTATAACATACATTCTCAAATTTTCCGTAGAGTAATTAAACAAATTTCACATCTTCAAGTGTCAATTCCCTCGGGCATATTTTACCTTTGATGATTCTTTTACAGCCCCTTTTGGCCATATAAAACCTGAAGTATTATGAAATCATTGGCTTTCATTTTTTTAAATTTTTTTTGTGGTTTTGAGCATTCCTTGTGAAGGTAAATCCAGAAAATAAAGCAACAGGGTTTTTTTTATCTTTTGTTGTCATTCATAAACGTGAATACATATAAAATATATGCCGAATTATAAAACAGACAAACACATGAATAAATGTGCCAAAATCGCATGCATTTAAAACAAGTGAGACAAGGTGAGTTGCCAGGACAATGGTATATATACCTTGCTTTGATTACATCATTCGTCATGTAATTCCATAATTATACTATGTATCAAGTGTCACAGTCAGATATATGATAAAACATGTTTTATACTAGAAAAAAGTATTTTGTTTTACAGAAAGATGTGAAGATACATATCCAAACTGCCCATTAGTTATTCAAGCAGGAATGTGTAAGCATAAAGGTTACAGGGCAGTCTGCTGTCAATCGTGTCTGTCACAAGCTTGAATAGACATAATACTGCCTTGATTTAGATATGGTCACCTGAAATCTATAAACAATTGTTTAAAATATGAAAACGGGTAAAAGACTAAATGGAATTTATAATGATACAACATGTGTTGATCTATTGATTAGCTGAAATGGAACAGTTTTATTTGATATTTGTTTATTTAAATGTATTTAATGTTTAATATTATTGCCAAAAATAACTGACCGTTGGTCATTGATGAAATGTTGTATAAAATAATGATATGTGATGTAAGTATTAAATGATAGAAAGAGAGAAACGTTATATAGTGGAAGTGAACGTGACAAACTTTGCATTAAGAAAAAAGACACGAACACGTTCAAACACCCAAACATAATCATATTTAAATGCAAGCAGCATTCCTTATTTATGCTTCATTCAAATTTACTAAAGCGCCTATTATTTCAAATATCTTAAGAATTAGTTAAGTACCTGCCAATGCTCAACTCTCTTTGCAAACAAAATTAAGGGATTTCATATTTTATTGATTATATATATCTTTTTTTCTCTTTTACAATTCATTTGAAATGTATATCTATGAAATGATAAATTTTAATGTTATATTTTCATGCTGTAAAAGTTTATACCTTTATTTATGTCTCACAACGAAGTCTTAAAACATACATTTGATATTTGAGTTTCTTTAAAATTTAAATTACAGGACTTGAAACGTGCGGCTTTTTTAATCTAAAATTACTGTTCAATATTAAAAAAGAGGCGTTAGATACCAAGGGAACATTCAAAACTTTGAAGTCGAGATAGTCGGACAACGTAATGGCAAAAAACGACGAAACAAAAACAAACAATTCCGTTGGGCTGTTTTCTGCTCTTTTGTCGGGTTGTTGTCTCTTTGACACATTCCCCGTTTCCATTCTCAATTTTATGTTAAAAAAACACTTCATAAAAAACTAAAGAGTGAGCAACACGACCTACCAAAATTGGGGTGATCGCAGATGCTCAGATAGAGAAAGCAGATCATGCTCCACTAGTGGCGAACGTTGTTTCAATCATGGTAAGTACAAATTCTGCGAAAAATCTCTTTCGATGAGGAAAAAAAAGAACGGGATTGTGAATACAAAAATTTGAACATATCCGTGGTCATTTGTGACACCGATATTTCATAACGGTACTCAAACTCGTGATGGCTTTTGTATGTGTAATGTGTGTTAACTTTTTGGTATTACTTTTTTAAATGGGATTATCAACCTATGAGTCTCTTCACCGAATTAAAAAAATTATGTTAAAAAAGGGAACATCATCTTTGGTGTATGTAGATCAGATATGACAAAATATATTGTTCTATCGATTAAAATATGCCAGATCTGCAGATAAAATATTCTGTAATATGACTTTATGATGTCTGTTAGTAACTATATTTCACTTTTTGCTACTGATTTAAATATGCAAGATCTGCAGATAAAATATTCTGTAATATGACTTTATGCTGTCTGTTAGTAACTATATTTCATTTTTTGCTACTGATTGAAATATGCAAGATCTGCTGATAAAAGATTCTGTTATATGACTTTATGTTGTCTGTTAGTAAATATATTTCACATGTTGCTATTGAATATGAATATAACGGTGCCACATTTAGTTATGAAACTCATCCTTTGCCATTTGTATATGTTTTATTTGCATGTTAATGTCGTTAATGTATTGTACATAATGTAAGACATTGCTTTGTCATCAATAAACTTAACGTGTATATGTCTTTTTGGTTATTTTACTCATTTTAGGTCACGGTCTCATTCAGATATACCCGACATCTTCTTTTGTTCAGATTAAATTACAATAATTATATATATTATATCCAACGCAATCATAGGTTTGAATGTTGTTTTCAATTTAGACTTGTATATATATATATATATATATATATATTGATCATATGGGAAATACAATTCTCTGTATTCAGCAAGAGTTATTTCCCATTTGTCATGATAATATTGTTTGTGCAATTTGTATCGGATATGTAATATAAAATTTGATAAGTTAGTGGTAACAGTAGTTTACATATGTTCAAATCTCGCGAAACCACTAGAAATATACAAATCAAGATCAAAAGTTAATTTCTAACGGACCGGAACGTAGTGCATCTTTAGGATAAACGTCTCCTGCTTTACATGCAGATATACACGTAGTAGAAATATCATAATAGGGAATAGGACATAATCGACAATTTCACAGATCAGACGACTATTCTGGTATGTTGAGATCTAAGACCGCGAAAATATGTTGCTTGTGAGTTGAAACACAGACACATCGTATCGGTAAATAAATACGTGATAATGACCGCTATACGTATGTCAATTTAAGTCGTTCTTTCTCATAAACCAGCTAGAGTAGTTTTCTTGTCAGGACAAAACCCATGTTAAAAAAAACCTCTATTATGTGAACATACACGCCCCTAATTGTCAATTGAGATATGTGATACGATGGGGCAGAGGGTATATTACTGCTGAGAAATGGGAAGTTGACAATGGGAAAGCTAAAATCGCCATGTTTGTCATTGATCTTAGTTTAAATTCGTCCATCTGTGTCAATATCAAACAAAAGATCCAGATATGAAGCAGGACCCGTATGCATGAAGCTAAATTAGTTACGATTTTTAATAGTAAAATAATAACATTAACGGTACAAAACTTGCTGCACCAGATCCGCATTTCGACAATAAATGTCATTACAAATTTAGAAAAGGAAATACACAAGTGATATGCCTTAAACATCTTAAGCTTAGTATTTCTCAGTTCTTAGAAGAAAGGCTAATTTCCCCTGAATATGTTGAACTAACTGGGACCGTGCATTATCATAATTGGTAAGATATACTTCTATTTGACCCAGTGTCAAAACTTTATAAAATTATAAAGGAAATGCAATTCATTACATGCAATAGAATTTTGGTGTTTGCCCATCACGACAATTATTTGATAATTACTCAAAAATTGTCAAAATGTATTTAGTTGCAGTTTTGAGTCATCTGTAGGTATTTTCAACTTGGTAAAATCTTATGAATTACGCCGAAATGTTGTGAAAACAATAAGGTATACAGTGATTGGGGTACTTTTTGAAAATTGTCCTAGTGTGAATTAAATTTATGGACAATTGTTTCTACTATTTTTTTTTATTATTTAAGTAAACAGTTTGTTTATTAAGAGAAGTAAAAAGATGTTTGAAATAAATTATTTAAAAACGTTATTTTTTCCTGATTGTTATTGAAACAATGTTTTGTTTTTGAGGGTTTTAAAACTTGTGTCTGTCCGAGGTGAAAAAAAACCCACGCCCCTTCAACCCCAAACACTCACGAAAGAGGAACAGATAGTCCTTAGAGATAGAAAAACCCTGATTGATAGATACGGTGGAATTATTTTACGAAGTTAAAATTTTACTTACGTCTACATTCTTAAACTTGCTCATTTGCTTCATGTTCAAGATGATTAAGAGTATTCAATATATCACAATTTTGTGATTACTTCACAGGTAAAATGTGTGTTTGCTATCTAAAACTAGAGGCTCTAAAGAGCATGTGTGGCTCACCTGGATCCAAGTGCGTCTTCAACAATTGCAACTATTCATCATTGTTTTCTATAAAATAATTCATGAATAGAATGTCTTTTCTCATTGTCTTGTATTGCTGATCATTTTCTGTTTAGTTTTTTTGTCTGCTTTAGTTTTTCATAAGCTCAAAAATGGGTAAAAAATATCATTCAAAGGCAGATACTCCTATAAGAAGGGGACTTACAATTTTGGTTTTGTTGACTTTTTGATTATCGTGTGTTGCTGATCATTTGTACTTTACAGTTTTTCTATATATTCTATTCTTTGCCAAAACACAAAAAAAAAAGCGTTAGCAACCTGGAAATTGCAGTCTTAATCATTGAAATATTGAACATACGTAAGAATGCATGCTTACACTTAAGCCTTTCTTTTTTTATTAAAATGCAATTTTTCACGATAAATAGCTACGATTTCCACTAAATTCACACGAAAATAAAAAATGTTTCTTTCCATAGGGTGTTCAAATCTCGTTTACCAATTCATTAATATACAAACAGAAAAAAAAACAATTGACGGATTGATAAAGAGCGAGACTTGGTGCGTCAATAGGATCAGCGTCAAAACGTCACAATAGAGAAAAAGACACAATCATCAAGTTTACACATCAGACTACTATGGTAGTATCTAAAAGATCTAAGCAGCAGAATTTTGTCTTTCATGACTTGTGACACCGAAACATCGTATTAGTCAACCAAATAGTGATGGTACCCTTAATTTTGTGTAGTGTTAATTTTTACTCGTTTTTGCTCATTTTCCCGAATGAACACTCTTTGTAAAAGAGCACAACAATATTTATAAAGTCCGTGCAATGTGAATAAGGAAGCACGAAGCTATCAATTTAGATTCAACTTAACGTCAGAGGGTACTTGTCTACTGAAAAATGGGAAGTTGCCAATGAAGAAATCGTCACGTTTATCGTTGATCCATTTTTAAAGTTCAAAATTTTAGTTTGAGTCGAATATTGATACATACAAACATAGAAAAATAGAGAGCGTTTAGAGAATGTGTCCATACATGTCTATTTATAAAAAAAAAATCCAGATATACATAAGCCTAGTTTCAGTGGTACTCTAAATGTCAAGTTATATAGGATATATGAGATGCAAGCAATCGCTGAAAAGTGGATCATTGAAAAACGTATTATTCAAATTGCAATGAAATCAATTAAATCTCAAATGTCACATTTTTGGATAATAAAACATTCAAGTCTTAGAAAAACTCATCATTGATCCTGTAGTAATCTCAGTGGACAGTACGGATAGTTCAACCTTATACACAAAACAAAGACATAATCTGAACAAAACAAAACTTGGTAAACTATATGGCAGTGCTTCGGACTGACATAATTTGGAAGATACATTTGAAAATATCCCGATGAAAAATTTAGAAATTGTTTTTAAAAAACTTAGATTCCAACTTACTTAGGCTTATTTCATCTTTGGCTATTCGTTTAAGGCCAATTTCGGTCATATGGCTAATGTTGTATCCAAGGAGTTCACATTTGAGGTTTTCAACATTTGTGCCTGAGCGATCCTGGTGATAGAGCTGTGAATGGCTTAAAGACTTACTAACAATAACTGTCAGATTAGCGTGGCTTCAAATAACTTAATGCTTCGTGCAGAAGCTGTGGAACAAACGTCCAATATAGACCATTAGAATAGGAAGTCCCGAATTGGAAGAAATCACTTCCTGCTTAGAGACATGCTTCTCCTAAAGTTAAGAGCAGCTCTGAATTTCACTAAAAAGATAAATCCAGAAAAGCTGTTCGAATGCCCCAAATATATGAAATATTAGTTTCAAATTACAACCAATGGTTCGATGCCACTGCTTGTAAACGTTTCGTCCCGATGTAATCACTAGCCTAGAACTTAGCACTCATGTGCTGATATGAAGTATCCCTGATACGGTCATTTTCGTAAATGAAAATAACACTTTATATATAACTTGCGTCCGAAGCACTTTTCTGGATTTACCTTCATCGGGAACGGTAAAAGCAAAAATTTTAATGCTAAGGATGTATAAGTCCTTGAAAACTTGAGGAGCTGATTGACATAAAAGGACCACAAAATAATTTCCTTCCATCTAAGATCTACTTGGCCCGAGGGAACCTTAGTATCTTTATAATTTATATATTTTTAGTGGACAATTGAAAAAGTGGGTATGTTATAAATCATGTCAGCACCGAAGCACTGACTATTGATCCGATGATACCCTCGGAGACCTCCAACCCACCCGAAGATGTATCAAAACAGTCCAAATAAATGAAAATGACACTTTTAAACACTTTAAGCCCCAAACAACTTGTGTGTAAATCACATTACATAAACTGCTTGATAAATGAATTAGGTATTGACAATTCTTTTGGAAACTCAACATATACCCCATGACACTTATCAATGAGGAAATCCTGGATAATCATAGGTCTGGTCTATGTTCCTTCTGAATTTCAACCAAAGATGACGAACTGAATCTTCCATCACTGTATTGGATACCTGAACTACATAAGTGTCCTTACAAACAACTTTATAGTGCTGGGTCTTCCAAGTGCTCCACGAAACCTCTTTCTAAATAATTAACATCAATTTTATCAGCAATCAAAGCCGGGCTTCAAAGTTATTGCGAAACTATCTATTCTAGAGGTGGCGTGAATCACATGTGGATACTAAAAAATTCCAAAGATCGTTTAGAGAACATACAATCTAAGACTCTTTCATCTTGCAATAGTATTAAAATATTTGACTTTTCTACACTTTACACAAGTATTCCCCATTCTAAACTAAAAGATAAATGGAAAGAGTTGGTCCTGCTTTGTTTCATAAAAAAAATGACCAACGTTGATAAAAGTATTTTGTCTTAGAGAGGGATAAATCCTACTTTGTAAAAAATCACTCTGATTCAAACAAAAAATTCTCTGAAACTGACAATATGAAGATGCTTGTTTTCTTGATTGACAACATATTTGTTACGTTTGGAAGACGTGTTTTTCAACAAACAATCGGCATTCCCATGGAAACCAACTGTGTCCCTCTTCTTGCCGACTTGTTCCTTTATTCATACGAGGCTGACTTCATACAGGAACTTCTTAGAAAGAAAGAAAAGAAGTTAGCAGTATCCTTTAACTTTACTTTCCGCTATATAGATGATGTTCTCTCACTAAATAGTTCAAAATTGATTTCAGCTTCCCAATTGTAAACTTTTCATTTCTATGAAGCAACATTCCAGCAGCGCCTGCATACTGTAACGTTCCGGGGTTTTTCGAGTCAGGAGACCCGACATTACTTATGTGGGCCTCCGGTGAAGGAAGTAATAATAAAAATCATTTTTGGAGGTTTATATAAATTATATAATTTTCTGCGTCAGTATTTATATAGTATGCAATGCATGTACATCAAATACAATGGTTCATAAAACACATACAAAGAGATATATATTATAATCATGATAACAAATATAGGTGCATTTGTCCCTAAAGGCTTAATAGAAGTTCCTACTAGCGCTCGGTGCAGGAAAATCTAGTTGATGCACAGAGAATAACTTGGGACCCTGCTTTGTGTAACACATGTACAACAAATACAATGGTTCATAAAACACATACAAAGAGATATATATTATAATAGATATAGGTGCATGTGTCCCTAAAGGCTTGATAGAAGTTCCCACTAGCACTCGGTGCAGGAAAATCTAGTTGGTGCACAGAGAATAGTTTTGGACCCTGCTTTGTGTAATACATGTACAACAAATACAATGGTTCATAAAACACATACAAAGAGATATATATTATAATAGATATAGGTGCATGTATCCCTAAAGGTTTGATAGAAGTTCCTACTAGCACTCGGTGCAGGAAAATCTAGTTGGTGCACAGAGAATAAATTGGGACCCTGCTTTGGGTAATACATGTACAACAAATACAATGGTTCATAAAAACATACAAAGAGATATATATTATAATAGATATAGGTGCATGTGTCCCGAAAGGCTTAATAGAAGTTCATACTAGCACTCGGTGCAGTAAAATCTAGTTGGTGCACAGAGAATAATTTGGGATCCTGGTTGGTGCAAGTTAGTTGACCTCATAATTTAATAATTTGATAAGTTTAAAAAAAGGACTAATAAATAAATATTATTAGCTTTCTCTTGAATTTGAATACTTTTTCACCAAGTACTAGCCAAAATAAATACCGAATACGCAGCTTTGTGCGTTACGGCAGACGACGGAGTTTTAGGGTAGCCTCCGATTGATAATTTAAATATTTTTATAAAGTCTCGGAATAGACATTTACCAATTTCTGTCCAAAACTTATATGTTTTTATGTCATTATACAGCGTTTACAATCTTTTGATTGGTGCAATATTATTTGTTTTCTAATATTTAGAAACAGCGAACATTCTGCATTGAGATGATTAAAAGCCTACTCGGTGCATGCAAACTTGCTATTTATACTTTTTGCTCCGCCCACAAATGGCATAATACACAAGAAATACACAACATAAAGAATGGCGCCGAAAAATGAAAGTAGCGATGTACAGAGACGAATTTGGACAAATACACTTGTAAACCACTCCTTTCATAAAAATACCGTACGAGGTGTACCCGAAAACATTTGCATGGAGATGTGTGGAACGGAGGCTACAAAAAGAAAAACACACACAAATGTGCTTTTACGAGTTTTAGTTCATGACATTAGGCCAGTGACCAGAGCGTAACAATACGGAGTATATATTTCCCAGTTGATACGATATTCCAGGGCTTGTATTTCCTATCATGATTTCCTTGATAGAGGGTTGCTACTCACAAGGAAGCTATTAAACCAAGAGTTCCAAGTGGTGAAGTTGAAATCATCCCTTCTTAAATTTTACGGTCGCCATCACGAGTTGGTTGACCGTTATGGAATATCCGTTTCACAGATGATAGCGGATATGTTCCAAATGTCGTAACTACAATCCCGTCCCCTTTTCCCCGAATGTGACCTACCGAATTAGACTTATTACCGGGTTTGTACTAACACGACGGGTGCCACATGTGGAGCAGGATCTGCTTACCCTTCCGGGGCACCTGAGATCACCACCAGGTTTTGGTTGGATTCGTGTTGTTCAGTCTTTATTTTTCTATGTTGTGTTTTGTGTACTATTGTTTGTCTGTTGGTCTTTTTCTTTTTTAGCCATGGCGTTGTCAGTTTATTTTCGACTTATGATTTTGAATGTTCCTTTGGTATCTTTCGCCTCTCATTTACATTTTTGTAAATTAACTGTTTTTAAAACTGTAAAATCGTTCGAAACATTAAAGCAGTGTTCTCTCCAGACCAAGACCGCCATTGCCAAAAGAAATTTTTATTTTCATCATTCATCAACTTCCAAATAGGTTTTGCTTTCCAGTGGTTTGATTCTAACGCAAATGATGAGTATAATGAAGGCGAAATGCGTCGCTTGCGTACCAAACTATCTTTAACGAGTATTAACACCAGTTCAGTTTATTATGTAATATATCCACAGAATGCAAATTATCATTGGATGTGTGCTTGTCTTGGGCATAACGACGGTTACCCCTATAATGAAGCTGAAGCTGCTAACCGTTGTAGTGAACCTAGGTTCACCACCAAGTGTTTGGTTGGGTTGCTTAGCTCTTATTTTTATGTGTTTTCTAAACTTTTATTTGTCTTTTGGGTATTTTTTCTTTTGGCCATTTTATTTCCTTCTGTTTCTTCGACTGATTCTTTAAAGTTGACCTCTGTAAAATATGGATATTGTTTTGATTGAAACCTACTGTTATAGAATTTATTAAATCATTTTAAATTAAGGAATATATCTCCGTCATGCAAATTAAAGCTCTAATTCCTTGTCCGTTTTTAGATTTAGGTTCAGTTCTTTAACGTTTGTATTAGGTTTTGGATTTTCAAATATTTTGGCCTCGAGCATCACTGAAGAGACATCAATTGTCAACATGCACATATGGTGCAGTAAAATGGTACCGTTTATATTATTGTATTCTCTTTATATGCCTATATTCATGCTATTTGAAGACTTCATGGAAAATGTAGCCAATCAAGCAATATTTATTCTTGATAAGTGTTCAATACTTTTGTAAATCAACTGGTTGACCCAACTTGTGTATTATCTCTTGCATAAGTTGGTGGTCCGTGTTACAAAAATCTATGGCAAAGCCTAATCGAAGAAATGCTTTCATATTCCTTTGCTTAACACATCCACTTTCCATGATATCGTAGTTTATTATGGCGATTCGCTTGGATCTGTCATGTTTAAAATTATTCCAAATAAGTTTCCATTCGTGGTTCGCAAAATGATCTTCCAAATATTCCTCCGACAGTAGAACAATATAAGACTTGCATTTCAAAATTTTTCTTCGGATTTCTTCTTCTCGTATCATGCCTACACCAAAATCGCGACATGGTAAACAAAGTTTATAACCTTTGCTTTCTAAATATTTTATCAGATCCTCCACAACCCATTTCCGAATAATTTCGTTATTTTCATCAAAGGATAAATATGCGTCGTACGTTTCGTCGTCCGTTTCAACCAGTACATTGTTTAAACTTCTGTAGTGAAAAGATATGTCAATTTGTCTTTTAGATCTTAGATTCCTTAATAATAGCAATATTTCATATTTAAACTGAGAACACAGGAATGTCCCTGTTGCTACACTTATGATTGTAACCCCCAGTAAGATATAACTCATAAAGCTTCGTTCTATGTTTTGATCTTTGCACAAATCAGATTTTGATATAAGAGCAGCATTAATGAAGCTTTCATGAGTTTCACATGTTATTTGGCTGTATGAACAGTTAACTGCATGCTGCCTATCTAACCAATGCTTTATCCACATCATGTCGCACGTACATTTTACAGTAATTTTTCCGAATCCTATGGCACATGAATCTTTTAACAGGAGTTCTCTGTGCAGCGTTTGGATACGATTGTTTCTTAAATCAATAAAGAGTATATTTTGTATTCCATATATTGAAGGATCTATATTTACTATGACGTTGAATGATAAATCAATCCTTATTGTTCTTTCGAGGTATTCGTGTTTTTTGAAAAATGTTATTTTGTTGTGTCTAAGATCAATGTCTAGGCCGGACAGGTCAGGAACGACATGGGGCATGCTAACATAAAGTTGTGATGTGCAATTCACGACAACTCTATTTTTTGAAGGTTGATCAAAACAGTAACATCTTTGAGGACATTTTTCTTTGACTGTAATGTTGCAAATCAATAAGTCTGCAGTATGATTTTTAATCCTAAAATATCCTATGTTGTAGCCCTTTAAATGTGGTGGGTAAACACATTTGGGCGTACCTAATGTGTTGTACTGATCCATAGCCTGAGAAGCCATAACCAAGTATCCATCCCACATTTTACAATCACAAACCCATTTATTGTTTCGTATATCAATTGTGTATCTAAACGCAATTTTTAGTGCATCATCAGCAGAAAATCCCAAAGTATTATACATAGGAAGGTTTGTGAAAGAGTTATTCGTCATCTGAATTAGTCCACCTCCAATTGAACTATTTACGAAACCTGTATTATTCTTCAAATTTGTAATAGTTCTTAAATCGTTATTGAATATTTTTATAAAATCGAAGTAGTGTTTCAAAATTAAATCGCTTATATCAATACTCTTTATGTTGTTGTATTGTAAGTGTATTTTCAGAAGACTTTGTGGTCGGTATGAGAAACATCCGGGTTCTAAATACTCTATTCTGTTATACGAAAGGTCAATTTGCCTCAAATTAGACAGACTAGCGAGAGAGGAAGCGTCGATTCTTTTGATTTTGTTATCAGACAGTATCAAACTATCGAGAGACTGTAGACATTCAAGGCTTGGTAAAAACTGGATTCTATTCCATGACAAATCCATTCTAACTATCGTTGGAAAATTGCAGATATTGTCAGGAAATTTCTTCAAAAACCCATGATGATGCTCAAGATCGTATAACTGATATTTGCTTTTACTTACAATTTTTGCGAATCCAATTAAGGATTTGTATTCGATATACAAATCCCCCTTTAAGTTGGAATAGTTACTAAATTCCCAAAATGGTCTTGACTTGATAGTGGAACAACATGCAGCCCTATCTCTATTATTGTTCATATACATAACAGGAAAACAATTACCTTTTTCGAAAGGTAACTTTTTGCAGCAGTTCTTACAGAATAGAAATTTGCTAGCAATGGAAGGATGTTCCCATCTGAAGTATCCTTTAATATGTACACCCGTTTCATTTACAATTGTTGTTGTTGCGGCTTTTGAGACTAAACATCCGATCACAAAATACATCCACTGTTTATATCCTGTCTGAAATAATAAACCTAACACTTAATTTTCTAAAACTTATTAATACTATGTCTTTTTGATTTATACACGCCTTTAAACCAACTATTGATGCTGGACTTCCATATGTATTGGCTGAATGTATAATTTCAAAGATTCGTGAGATTTGGGGACTTGGTATACATGTAACACCAATTTGCAAAGTGTCTGTACCAATTATGACGACAGTGGTTTATCGATGTTCAAATCTTTTAAATCTACCAGAAAGAGAAAAATCAAGGCAACAAACCAAAATTAAGGTAATCAATCGCATGAACTCATAACGAGGAGCGAGACCGGATGAGTCGACAGGGTAAGCATCTCCTGCTATGCATGCATCAAGCGACAATTGCATTCACACTCAGTTAAATGTCAAAAATTAGGCATATCGTTTTCACTTACTGGTTGTACCAATGATAATCGTCCATTTATTAGATGGACATGTGGTTTTTTTATTTACCTTTAAAGTTCAGAACCTGTTGTTTTAGGGTAGTATATTCAATGTAAGACATGATAATTTACATATGACGTCGCAACAAATTGTACAAATCATCTTAAAGCAATATTAGAATAAGAAAAGTCAAAACTTATATAGATGTAATGCTCTAATACAATGTTTTAAATACTAGTAAAACATTTGCAAATGCTATCGCGTATTGATCATATTGTGATTCCAAATTCAAATTTTTGAGAAACTAGCTAAAGCTGGTTACAAATGGACAAGTATCATGAAAGATACTTTGATTGGATATTATTGGTGAAACGGTAGTATTTAATTTCCGGGAACTGGTTGCTCTTTTGTGTATCCTACTTAATTCAATGAATCTGTACACTGTGATTGGACAAGTATTACAGTATCTACTGTACATATTTTCCCAGGCTGAGGGATGGATCAGATGTAGAAAAACATGAAATAATATTACAAACTGGTGAAATGAATTTTTTAATATTTTTTTTTTCAAATTGTATTCACTGCATGATAAAAGGCCACAAAGCACTAGTAGGTTTAAAAAGATAGCAGAAAAAGTAAACGGTCGTCATACATATTCACATTTATTTCAGAATATTATAATGAAAGTACTTCAGTTAAATTTGTACGTAGGTTCTGGATCAGTGTTGGAAAGTGGTGATAATTCTAAAAAGGCTATCAATATCCCTTTGGCCCTGGAAATACTACCGTTCCATTGTGAAGAGTATTGTGTCATCATGTATTGAGCTTAGATCCGACTTATTCATTTATGGCATAATTTGTGTATGACTGTATATGAAACCTGTAAGTTTTGAAGAAAAAAAATTTTGGAATAAGAATAACAGATATAAGATATTTTTGCAATTTTTTTTTTGTATAAAAGGAAGTACTGTAAAATGTTCGAAATACGACCCCTTTTTTTGCCAATTCCATAACCGCCCCTGTTTCTGCGATTATGTTAAAGAACTACAATATATATGGGTTTTTTTAATGTACAAATTTGTGTCTGAGCCATATATCTTACATTTATGTGTTTTATTTGAACCATTAATTGTGCTCCAACATTTAACATTTACACAATTGTTTTAAAGAACGTAAAGCTGATTTTGGTTTACGCATGAAAATATTTCATTGGCGAACGAATGTAATGAATCAGTAACTGAAGGAACTGATTAATTCACTGGAACTCCTGATCAATGTAAAATATCGTTGATTTTAATTTATATTTTCCTCAGTCTGATTAAAATACATATCATGTGTCCAAGCTTTGCTTACAAGGATCTGAAAATGCTCCATTCAACTTTCTGTTTTAAAGACCTTTCGGAATACTCTGGTTTTGTCAGATTATTACACACCTTCAAAAATTGGAAGGCTGAAATTTCATTGGCTGATGTAATAATTATCCTTATGTAGTTGACGAAATTCTCTGATATAAAACTTGTTGTATACTTTCGTCACACATACTAGTATAAATTCGTTTAACTTATTTAAATTTATTTACATGATTGACCCCTAAACAACACTTTATTCCCCTGTAACATTAAATCCACTAAGTAAACTAGCATTCTTTACAATGGTAAGTTGAGATTCGTGTCGATCATTTTTTGCACAAGTCTAAACGTTCTTTCAAAACAAGTTAATCTATAAAAAGAATTGCCTCATATTTAAACATTCAAACATCAATACAAGTTATACAAATACAAATATTTCTAATTATTTAAAAATGATATGGCTTTTTAAAATAATTTAAATAGTTGGATTTGTAATAAAGGTATATCACCTATGTAAAGTTGGATGAAATCGATGAAAAAATCAAAAATGTTTCACTTAAATGTGTTATATAAGAATAATTTTAAATGGTTATGTAGGGGACTTAATAAAACAAGCGTTTGTTAGTTTGGTTTTCAAACGGTCCTTCCTCATTGAGCTCGGAGTTTAGTGTAAAAATTGCATTTTTAGTTCGCGCTTACTTTATGGTCCCAAGGTTACCGTTTTGAAAAATCTATTTTAAGTCATTTTGTTTTGTTTTTTTGTAAATTGAAAGACTATTCGCATTTTTTGATAACCAATATACTGCAAATGACTTTCAACTCATAAATGAATTATTTTACGTAAGGATTCTGCATTCAAATATTATGAAATGGTTTATTCAAAAATTTAAAAAAGAAGGTTAACCGGCATCCTCTCTTTAATTTTTACAAACAGCTTTCTTGTCGTGTAAAGTTTATATTTAAAAATCGAATATTCGCACCTGGTTTCCGAATAGCCGAAGAGGACTGAACGTTTGTCGAGAAGAAAAATTGTGTTTCAAACAGGAACCACTGCTTATATGTAATTTGGTCGTTTCGTGTAGTGATTTTCGTAGTCATAATAAAACATTGTCAATTGCAATGCTATGTAAATTATGATAATTACATAAATGGTACCAATTTTTCTGCACCAGATTCGCATTTCGACAATCAATGTTTCTTCAGTGATGCTCAGGTCCAAAATATATGAAAATCCAAAGCTTATTAAAACATGAAGAGCTATAACCCAATCAGGACAAAAAAGTATACCCAAAGCTGATAAAGGATATTAAATTGAATACAGGTTGAGTGAGCTTTTATTTCTTATCATGATGGATCTGAGTAATGTATCGAAACTCATTTACAAAGCAAAATAATGTGGGAATTCATTAAAGTAAAGGCGTGCACATAAAATATAACATTCATGTAGTTTCCAATATCCATAAACTGATATGCTTCTCTTGAAGTACAATAAAAATGATCATAAACATAAGATGGAGCTACACAACGAACAAATACAACAAAACTTTCGTGCTGTTTAACCCTCCGTAAAACTACTGTGTTATATTTGAATTTGAAGTCAAATGGTTATTTTCCGTTAATTATCTAAATTCTTAATTGCTAGGACCGGCAAAGACGACGAATATTTGTTGACACAAATGAAAAAAGGGTTATAAGTAAGAACTTACCATCCTTAGAATTCGCATCATTCCAAAAAGGTTCTCGAAAATTCAATATTTTATTTCAGATATGTCCAACAAACATAATGTGTGAAACGTAGATCATAATAAGCACAACTTGTCGTATGATCTAATAAAGACAATAGTAGTATACCGCTGTTCAATAGTCATAACTCGATTTAACTGAAACAAATACGTAAATTGTAAACCCACTTCACGATATAAAAAATACGCTGCACTTTTGTTCAGATATTTGGTTATTGTGTAGGACCTTTAAAATTTCAAAAGCTGTATAAAAGGTTGTGATACTTAATACACGTTGTTTTGGTTTTGTTTTTGAAATATGTGATTTTCTGTTGTTGACCTTATATCAAACGTAATAATTTTTTGTTTCTAATCAAATGCATTAGCTTGTATCTAACTTTCCGTTATTCAATATTGTTCGTGCAGTTTTTAAAGTTTTCTATAATACTATACAAAAGTTAAACCTCTTTTTAGTTTTTAATCTCCATCTTAAGCCTTCAATATTGCAGTGTTTTCATTTGAGTATGTAATTACATATACGCATAACACGCCCTTAAAAAATACAGATAAATAATATTGATTTACATATGAATAAAAAGATATTTGGAATATAGATGAATGAAACAACAATCCAAAGACACGAAAAAAAAAACTAAATTTAGCATTAGAGGATACTCCTTTCTTCTAGTTTTTACATGTAGATATATAAATTGTAAGGTATTTTCTTATATTTGAATATTAAGACATGAATCTAAAATTTAAGATATGTGGGACTTTTCATACAGATACGATAACTGTGTAAAATGATTGAAAGTTTGAACTCATATGATCGATAAGGTTCAAGTGGAAATTAACAAAACTCATTACGTGGTCAAATGAAAAGATGACTCAAAAAAGCTTCATTTTATATTGAAGCCTTAATTATGCGTTATTTTCAATTAATATAACGCATTCGATTTAAATATCTCCTTGGTCTTGACAGTATAAAGAGTCAAAAATACGTATATTAGAGTTGGTTGGTTAAAGGATTGTGGCTTGTTAAAGGTCAGTGGCAAATATTTCATGCATACATCTATCAAAGACTATAACAAATAAATGCTAAAAGTAGTCTCTGTAAAGGAGGTCTTTCGGGATGAAAGGCGAAAAATCTAGATTGCCAATAACAATTAGGTCATGTTAAATAGAAGCAGACATTTTGCTTTGAAACAGGCAATCTACGTAACTCACAATGAGTTGTCACAAGGATTCATTAACGTGCGTGGCCATTTATCTACACGAGGTATTGGATTTTTGGTTTTCAAACAACAGGACGTGTTTGTGTATTTAAACAATGTTTATGAAAATAAGGAGTTGTGGCATGATTGCCAACGAGAAAACTAAAACAGTCAAACAAACAATCCTTGTGGGTGGCTTTTCCTTAGAACGGAGAATTTGGGACCAGTTCATATATCTCGTATACACACGAGTGTGTAAAGCTAATGAAAAATGTAGAAGCCAGACTGAGTGTTGTCAGGAATACGGTATAATACTCACAATTGCCTAGCTAGCCATATACTATTTGACGTCTATATTTAACTTATATATGAATTGTCTTTCAAATGATATTTTCTCTAGGTTGTTTTTGTTTCTCTTCATTTTTTTAAAAACCTATGTAAGTAAGCTATTTATTTGGTTTGCATATTGTTTTTATTCTTCTCTCTTTTATAGTGACATAAACGCCAAGTGTTCCGTGACAATTTAGGTACCAATATAGTCAGTTTCATGTAATATGTAAGTTTTTTTTTTTTTTAGAATGAGCTACATCAAGTTTATGCGCTATATTATGCTTAATTTGCCTCAAGTTTTATTTTATTTTATTATTTCAATTGTAATTGCAATATAAAATTATGAACAAACGGGAATTGTAATGGCCATTTTAATAAATTAAAAAAAATAAGGAGATATGGTATGATTGAACTACATTAAACCTTTTAATTAGGTAGCCTCTGTAATAGATTGGAAACATGACTGTCAATGAGTACAACAATCTCATAATTTTGTCAAAGTGTTACTTTTCTTGTAACACAATTTTGATTGAAACACACGCAATGAGGCTTAAATATAAAACTAAGGCGTTTCTTCTTTCTTCTTCCTTCAGAGAGTCTTTATTTTTCCAAGTTATATTTTCGCTAACTCATTGCAGACTTGTCTCAAAAGTTTGATTTTCTAATCTTAATATGTTTTTATGGGATTTTTAAAATATGGTCGTGATACAATGGCGTTAAAAAATAAAATTTTCTATTCACACAAACTTTGTCACTTAAAATGACGTAACCACATTTCCGTACTGTTGTGAACAACTGAACATTAAAACAATGTGAATAAAGGAAAATATTGGGTAAACGTCCATGAGACAGCAATCTAACGACAAGAAAAATATAAGGCATCTAGAGTTCCTCAACAAAAGATTAGAGGGCTATACAAAAGTTGTGAATTGATTAAAAAGAAACTATCAAAGATCTGCCCTTAAAGCCAAATTCTACTGAATATACTGGAAGACTATAATAATAATACGATTATTTTCTTTAGTACCAAAACTAGCCTCAAAACTGCAGTATTGAAGCAAGGTTATAACTATCATGGTTTTAATTTAACCAATACAAAAGTTTGCATATATTTTGACATTGTTAGATCAATAATTTTCATTCTTTTCTCCAGAGTTCAAAGCCTCGAAAGAAAACTATGAAAATTAGCAATTATTGTGACAATATTATACCTTTATTCTACTCTATAATGGAAATACATTTTAAGCCTAAAGATCTTTGAAAGTACCTGTATATGATCAACTCATGTCCACCTTGTTTAGACTTGCGGTAAAATGTAAAAACATTTAGCCTAATATTGTAAAACGTTTTTCATAGTTTAGGGGTACAGAACATCTAAGGAAGTTAAATCTTTAAAAATCATCTGAATGTTTAAATCACATATTATTTGTAAAAAATAAATCATGCCTCTCAATGATCAAAATTAGTGTTTGTCAAACTGCTATATATCCAATGAAGCTGTAAATTGTGCGGTTCATTTTCTTGAAATTTTTATGTTTTTGTCAACAGGACAAAGTAAATAATTTTTCACAAAACTTTATGAATATTATTTCTATGTTAGTCAAAGTTTTGGGTACCCCCTTAAATGGGTATTTACAGAATTGTGGAAATTACAGCTTGCGTCAATTCTGTGTTAAATAAGAGGAAACAGTAGTTTGCAGGTCTTCAAATCTCGTCAATTAATTCATCTATACACAAACCAAGGAAAACATTTGACGGATTGACAAAGAGCGAGGCTTGATGCGACGGTAGGATCAGCGTTTCTTGTTAAGCATGTATCCCCAGCCTCAGTCAAAACGTCACAATAGAGAAAAGGAAACAATCATTAAGTTTACATATCAGACTACTTTGCTGGTATATTAGATCTAAGCAGCGGAATTGTGTCTCTTATGACTTGTGACACCAAAACATCGTATTAGTCAACCAAATGGTGATGGTACCCATAATTTTGTGTAGTGTTAATTTTAGTCGTTTTTCCTCATTTTCCCGAATGAACACTCTTTGCGAAAATGCACAACCAAATTAATAAATCCCGTGCAATGTGAATATGGAAGCGCGTAGTTATCAATTTAGATACATCTAACGTCAGAGGGTACTTTTCTACTAAAAAATGAGAAGTTGCCAAGAAGAAATCGTCACGTTTATCGTTGATCCGTTTTTAAAGTTCAAAGTTTTAGTTTGAGTCGAATATTGATACATATAAACACAAGTTCTAGAGAGCGTTTAGCGAGGATTTGTCCATGTACGTCTATTTTTTTAAAAAAAATCCAGATATGAAACAGTCCTAGTTCCAGTGGTACACTTAATGTCAAGTTATAAAGGATATACTAGTATGAGATGCAAGCACTCACTGAAAAATGGATCATTGAAAATCGCATTATTCAAATTGCAATTAAATCAATTAAATCTCGAATGTCACATTTTTGGATTATAAAACATTCAAGTCTTAGGAAAACTCAACATCATTGATCCTGTAGTAAACTCTGTGGACAGTACGGATTGTTTAAACTTATACGCTACAAATACACATAATCTGAACAAAAAAATAAACTTGGTAAACTATATGGCAGTGCTTTGGACTGACATAATTTTGAAGATACATTTGAAAATATCCCGATGATAATTTAGAAATTATCTTTAAAAAAAATAAGGTTCGAACTTACTAAGGCTAATTTCATCTTTGGTTAATTTGGCTATTCGTTTAAGGTCTATTTCGGTCATTGGCTCATCTTGTATCCAAAGAGTTCCAATTCGAGGCTTTCAACATTTGTGCCTGAGCGTTCCTGGTGACGGAGAAGTGAATGTGTTAATGACTTACCAACAATCACTGTAAGATTAGCGTGGCTTCTAATAACTAAATACTTCGTGCAGGAGCTGTGGAACACACGTCACACATAGACCATTAGAACAGGAAGCCTTGAATTGGAAGGAATCACTTCCTATTTAGAGACATGCTTGTCCTAAAGTTAGGAGCAGTTCTGTATTTCACTAAAAACATAAATCCAGAAAAGCGGTTCGAATGCCCCAAACTTATGAAATGTTTTTTTTACAAATTACAACCAATGGTTCGATGCCACTGCTTGTGAACGTTTTGTCCCGATGTAATCACTAGCCTAGAACTTAGCACTCATGTGCTGATATGAAGTATCCTTGATACGGTCATTTTCGTAAATGAAAATAACATTTTATATATTACTTGCGTCCGAAGCACTTTTCTGGATTTACCTTTATCGGGAACGGTAAAAGCAAAAATTTTAATGCTAAGGATTTATAAGTCCTTGAAAACGTGAGGAGCCGAATGACAAAAAAAGACATCAAGAGAATTGCCTTCCATCTAAGGTCTACTTGGTCTGATGGAGTTGTAACGTTAGTATCTTTATAATTCATATTTGTTTTAGTGGACAATTGAAAAGTGGGTATGTTATAAATCATGTCAGCACCGAAGCACTGACTATTGCTCCGATTATACCCTCGGAGACCTCCAACCCACCCGCAGATGTATCAATCCAGTGCTAATAAATGAAAATGACACTTTTAAACACTTTACATTTTTGTTAATTTACTGTTTTTTAAAAAAACTATAAAATCGTTCGAAACACTTAGGCATTGTTCTCTCCAGACTAGGGCCGCCATAGTTAGATTTGCCTAAAAGAAATTTTTATTTTTATCATTCATCAACTTTCCTTTTGGTTTGCTTTCCAGTGGTTTGATTCTAGCGCAAATGATGATTCTAGTGAAAACGAAATGCGTCTCTTGCGTGCCAAACTATCTTTAACGAGTATTTACACCAGTTCAGTTTATTATGTAATATATCCACAGTGTGCAAATTATCATCAGATGTGTGCTTGTCATGGGCATAACGACGGTAACACCCAAGTGCTTGGTTGGGTTGCTTAATTTTTACTTTTATGTGTTTTCTGAACTTTTTTTTGTCTTTTGGGATTTTTTTCTTTTGGCCATGGTATTTCCTTCTCTTTCTTCGACTGATTCTTTTAAGTTGACCCTTTGTATCCTCTTCATATGTCTATATAGATGATTCATGCTATTTGAAGACTTCATGGAAAATGTAACCTATCAAGCAATATTTATTCTTGATAAGTGTTCAATACTTTTGTAAATCAACTGGTTGACCCAACTTGTGTACTATCTCTTGCATAAGTTGGTGGTCCGTGTTTGAAAAATCCATGGCATAACCTAATCGAAGAAATGCTTTCATATTTCTTTGCTTAACATATCCACTTTCCATGATATCGTAGTTTATTATGGCGATTCGCTTGGATCTGTCATATTTATAATTATTCCAAATTAGTTTCCATTCGAGGTTCGCAAAATGATCTTCCAAATATTCATCCGACAATAGAACAATAAAAGACTTGCATTTTGAAATTACTCCTCGAATTTCTTCTTCTCGTATCATGCCTGCATCAAAATCGCGACATGGTAAACAAAGTTTATAACCTTTGCTCTCTAAATGTTTTATCAAGTCTTCCACAATCCATTTCCGAATAATTTCATTGTTTTCATCAAAGGATAGATATGCATCGTACGATATAGTTTTGTCGTCCATTTGAACCAGTTCATTGTTTCCACTTCTGTAGTGAAAGGATATGCCAATTTGTCTTTTACATCTTAGTTTCCTGAATAATATCAATATTTCATATTTGAACTGAGAACACAGGAATGTCCCTATTGCTACACTTATGATTGTAACTCCCAGCAAGACATAACTCATAAAGCTTCGTTCTATGTCTTGATCTTCGCATAAATCAGATTTCGAAACAAGAGCAGCATTAACGAAGCTTTCGTGTGTTTCACATGTTATTTGGTTGTATGAACAGTTAACTGCATGCTGTTTATGTAACCAAAGCTTTATCCATATCATGTCGCACGTACATTTTACAGTAATTTTTCCGAATCCTATTGCACAAGGATCTCTTAACAGGAGTTCTCTGTGCAGCGTTTGGATTTGATTATTTCTTAGATCAGTAAAGAGTATATTTTGTATTCTGTATATTGTAGGATCTACATTTACAATAAAGTTGAAGGATAAATTAATGCTAATTGTTCTTTCGAGGTATTCGTGTTTTTGGAAAAATGTTATTTTGTTGTGTCTAAGATCAATGTCTAGGCCAGATAGGTCAGGAACGACATGGGGCATGCTAATATAAAGTTGTGATGTGCAATTCACCACAACTCTATTTTTTGAAGGTTGATCAAAACAGTTACATCTTACAGGACATTTTTCTTTTTCTGTTATGTTGCAAATCAATAGGTCTGCAGTATGATTTTTCATCCTGAAATATCCTAGGCTGTAGCCCTTCAAATGAGGTGGGTAAACACATTTGGGCATACCCAATGTATAGTACTGATCCATAGCTTGAGAAGCCATAACCAAGTATCCATCCCACATTTTACAATCACATATCCATTTATTATAGAGTACATCAATTGTGTATCTAAACACAATTTTTAAGGCATCATCAGCAGAAAATCCCAAAGTATTATACATAGGAAGGTTAGTGAATGAGTTATTCATCATCTGAATCAGTCCACCTCCAATTGAACCATTTACGAAACCTGTATTATTTTTCAAATTTGTAATAGTTCTTAAATCGTTATTGAATATTTTTATAAAATCGAAGTAGTGTTTCAAAATTAAATCGCTTATATCAATACTCTTTATGTTGTTGTATTGTAAGTGTATTTTCAGAAGACTTCCTGGTCGGTATGAGAAACATCCGGGTTCTAAATACTCGATTCTGTTATACGAAAAGTCAATTTGCCTCAAATTAGACAGACTAGCGAGAGAGGAAGCGTCGATTCTTTTGATTTTGTTATCAGACAGTATCAAACTATCGAGAGACTGTAGACATTCAAGGCTTGGTAAAAACTGGATTCTATTCCATGACAAATCCATTCTAACTATCGTTGGAAAATTGCAGATATTGTCAGGAAATTCCTTCAAAAACCCATGATGATGCTCAAGATCATATAACTGATATTTGTTTTTACTTACAATTTTTGCGAATCCAATTAAGGAATTGTATTCGATAAACAAATCCCCCTTTAAGTAGGAATATTTTCTAAATTCCCAAAATGGTTTTGATTTGATAGTGGAACAACATGCAGCGCTATCTCTATTATTGTTCATATACATAACAGGAAAACAACTTCCTTTTTCGAAAGGTAACTTTTTGCAGCATTGCATACAAAATAGAAATTTGCTAGCAATGGAAGGATGTTCCCATCTGAAGTATCCTTCAATATGTACATCCTTTTCGTTTACAATTGTGGCAGTTATGGATGTTGAGACTAAACATCCGATAACAAAATACACACATTGTTTATATCCTGTCTGAAATTAATAAAAATAACAGTTATCTAAACTTATTTTTATAATACTATATTATAAACCGATACTAGTATGCTCTATTAATATACACACGCCTTTAAAACAACTCTTGATGCTGAGTGTTAATAAAATTAACAGTTATTGAAACTTAGTTTTCTAAAACTTATGACCCGATACTATGCTCTATTAATATACACACGCCTTTAAAACAACTATTGGTGCTGGGTGTCCATATGTATTGGCTCAATGTATAATTTCAAAGATTCGTAAGATTTAAGACGTAATATACAAGTTACTCCAAATTGCAAAGTGTCTGTACTAATTAAGGCGACAGTGGTTTACCGGTGTTTACATCTTTTAAATCAATCAGAAAGAGAAAAATCAGGGCAACAAACATAAACTGAGGTAATCAATCGCAAAAACTCAAAACGAGGTCCGAGAACGGGTAAAAAGTAAAATAACAAAAATACCGAACTCCAAGGAAAATCCAAATCGGAAAGTCCCTTACCAAATGGCAAAATCAAAACCTCAAACACATCAAACGAATGGTACAGGCATTTCCTTATGTAGAAAATGGTGGATTAGACCTGGTTTTATAGCTAGCTAATCCTCTCACTTGTATGACAGTCGCATAAAATTCCATTATATTGACAATAATGTGTGAGCGTCACCAGATATGCATGCATCAAGCGACATTCGAATTCACACTCAGTCAAATGTCAACATAAACAAATCAGGAATGTCGTTTTCACTTACTAGCTGTTCCAATGACAATCGTCCGAACAGTCATACTGTATATGAAACTTGTAAGTTTCGAATAAATAATTTTGGAATATAGAGGATAACAGGTATCAGATGTTTCCGGAATTTTTGTTTTGTATGAAAGGAAGTGCTGTAAAAATGTCGGCAATACGACCCCTTTTATCGCCAATTCCATAAGCCCCTGTTTCTATGATTTTGTTAAGGAACTACAATATATATGAGCATTTTTTTTTAATTGTACATGTCTGTGTCTCAGCCAAATATCTTACATTTATGTGTTTTATTTGAACAATTTTTATATTCCAATATTTAACAATTGCTTTAAAGAATGTACAGTAGCTGATTTTGGTTTTCGAAACACTATCTGAAGGATTAATTGATTGATTGTTGGTAGCTTAACGTCCAGTTGCAAATATTTCATTCGTGTTCAGGACGAGAACAAATTAACAATAAATCCAATAAGATGGTCCTGTAATAATAGTCGTCCGGGGTGAATGTTGGGAAATTAGGACTGCCACTGGAAAATGAGGGTATATTTGATAGGGACAGTAATTTTGTCTTGCAACAGGACACCTACGATCACCTCAAATGTTGTTGCAAAGATGCTTAACGTGCAGAGAGCATGACACTATCTCTACCCGAAGCATCGGATTTAATCTCCCCATTCTGACCGGATGTGGCTGCATATTTCATACATCCCGCACAGCCAAACAAAAGCTGTACTGCCGGTCGGACGAAGACCGAGAGTGACCATACTGCTATACCCCAGTCACTCTTGGTGGAGTAACTGAAGGAACTGATTGACTCACTGGAACTCCTGATCAATGTAAACTATCACTGATTTAAATTCATATTTTTCCCGTTATGTTAAAGAATCTGTTATCTTTGCTCTTCTATTTTTTTTCTAGTCGTGATGTAGTTTTGCAGAATTAATGTGTATCATTTTTAAAATCATTGACTGTCTCACGAGATTATGTCCACTGAATAACACAGTAGCATTGTTGTTGTATAAATAAAATCACCCATGTACCGAGAAGATACATGTATGTTTGGTTACTTACCACAAACACTACAAACTATTTAAGATATAGGCACCACAAAAAAGGTAACACTATGGAAAATCTATTTAAGTCTTGATGACAACGTATTTTTGCAACACATACACTTTATAACTTGTCAAACCCACATTTTTATATCCTTCAAGCTGGGACATAATATTTTTAGTTAGTATAATAATAGTCCCAGCTTCAAGATAGTATGGGAGTCATCCACCATCTTTGATTGTAAAATACCAGAACACAATTGGTCTATATTTTCAATCAAGTCAGCAAATTTCGATGAAGGAATTAAATTTAGTAGGAAGAATTTCATTCAGATGAATCAATATTTGTGATTTAAGTTTACAATGACCAATATTTTTTACAAAGGTAGAATTGTTTTGTTTGATTTCAAATTGTTTTAAACTAGAATATTAAAGGAAGGTAGCTCATAAATGTATAATTTATACAGATAATTACAGGAAATTTATTTAATACTCACATACTACCCCAAGCAGTATTAGAAGTGATAATTTCTTGAAAATATGCGAATGATTCCACTTCGTAAAAGTCCGCTACATAACATTTCACCAAATACTGTTATTTAGTTGATAAATTCTCTGATATATATAAATATTTATCAACGTAATTACATCCACTTCATTTGAACTTTGGTGGATAGTTGTCTCATTGGCAATACCACATCTCCTTATTTTTATATTCGTTTTGGGGATGATTATTGTACACTTTCTACATTCATTCTGGTATAAATTCGTTTAACTTTTTATTATTAAAGTACATGCTTGCCCCCTATACAACACAGTATATCCCTATGTTACATTAAATCCACTAATTAATTATTACACAGCATAATATACAATAGTAAGTTGAGATTCATGTCGAATTTGTTTTTGCCCAAGTCTAGACATTCTTTCAATACAATCAATCTATAAAAAGAACTACCTCATATTTTAACAATCAAACATCAATACAGTTATGCATATACAAATATTTTCAATTATTTAAAAATGATATGGCTTTTAAAAATAATTTGAAAAGTTAGATTTGTGATAAAGGTGTATCAGCTGTATACAGTTGGATAAAATCGACGAAAATCTATTCACATTTCCCTTTATACTGCAAATGGCTTTCAAATGCTAGTCGTCCTTTGTTAATTTATGTTGATTATAGTCATTTTGCTTAGTTCCTTATGTTACCTATTCTAACATTGGACTTAGACTTCTTTTGATTTGATTTGTATTGTGTGTATTGTTGTGTTTGTTTATTCCACATTGGCCAGAGGTATAGTGGGAGGGGAGATCTCACAAAACATGTTTAACCCCGCCGTATTTTTGCGCCTTATCCAAGTTAAGATCCTCTGTTAGTCTTTTGTGGTTTTTTTTATGCTTGGTTCATTTGTATGTTTCGGATATAGTGTAGCGCCCATTTCGCTGAACTAGTATAAATTATTGTTTATGTGCCCGGTGAAACCCACCTCCGAGTGCGGGATTTTCTCGCTGCGTTGAACCCCCATTTGGGGCCTTGGGCTGTTTTCTGCTCTTTGGTCGGGTTGTTATCTCTTTGACACATTCCCCGTTTCCATTCTTTATCCTATTCAATTCATGAATGGATTATTTCGAGTAAGGACTATCATTCTGCATACAGACAACACGCATATATCATGTACTGTATTATTTAAAAGTAAAAAGAGGTTTACAGACATCATCTCCCCATTTCTTACACGTATTCCATTCCTGTCGTGTAAATTATATATTTAAAAATGGAATGTGTAGGCATTTAAAAGCACACCTGGTTTCGTAAAAACTAAATGTCCAATTTCGTAGAGGATAAACCTTGGTCGAGTAAGGTTTTGCGTTTCAAACAGGAACCACTGCTTATAAGTAATTTGGTCGTTTCAGGACATGATTGTCGTAATTGTAATACAGGTTATCTATTCAAATGCTATTTCAACATGACTTTTTTATATATTAAATGGAATAAAGGTTGAGCACGCTTTAATTTCTTATCAGGTTGGGTCTGATTATTGCATTGAAACTCATTTACAGAGCAAAATAATATCAGAATCCATTACCGCAATGGCTTGCCCATAAAATAAAATATTCATATTGTTTGCATGTGAACATTTTCAATATCCAAAAACCGTTATGTTTCTCTTGAAGTACAATAACCAGAGATGAAGCTAAACAACGCACAAATAAGACAAAACTTTAGTGTTGTTGAACCCCTCCAAAAAATTGCTATCTTATTTTAAATTTATGAAAATTATTTTCCGTTCAACGTTTATATTCGTGTTTGCTAGGAATGGCGAAAACGACGAATATTTGATGACCCAAAAAAATCTGATGTGCATGCATTAATATACGGTAATTAGTAAGAACTTACCATCTTTAACATTCGCATCGTTCCAAAAAACACAGAACGGTGAGATCCCAACTTTGTATTTCAAACATTTCCAACAAACATAATGACTGAAACGTAAATCATTAAAGGTAAAACTTGTCATATGATCTAATAGTTACATACGCAAATTGTAAATCCACTTCACGATATAAGAAATACATTGCACTTTTGTTTAGATATTCAGATATAGTGTTGGACCGTGTAAGTTTCAAAAGCTTCAAAACAGATTGTGTTACATAATACATGTGTTTTTGTTTGGTGTTTTCCTACAATTTTTCAATATCTAATTTCTGTTCTTGATCTCTATATCAATAGTAATATTATTTTGTGTTAATTAACTGCATTAGCTTGTATTCCTTTTTTTCCGTTTTCCGTATTTCAAAACTTTTCGTGTATCATAGCTTTCTGTAATACGATACAAACGTATATAAACATTTAGACTTGTTTATATTTTTTCGTTTGGGCTTGTATTATATATGCCCTCGGGTTTATATGATCCGTTCATCCTATTTTGACTCTTTCAAAATTCAAGAGTCTATCCTAAATTGATGTAAATTATATGGCCTTCCAAATACCGTTTCGATTCCTAACATCACTGAAGAGACATTAATTGTCGAAATCCGGATATGGTTTACAAATTTTTGCACCTCATGTTTGCGGTATACCATCTTTTCCGCAAGTTTATTGTTTTCTGTTTGGTAATAAATTAATAATAAGATCTATTTTGTTACATCTTGTGATCCGTTTATTTGGCAATCGCCAATGGCAGTCAGCAGGGTTTAAGAACATCAGATGTCCGACCTGCTAGTCAAATGCGTTTTGTTAAAATATACTTTTTCACTCATTTGGTCTTTTGGAAAATGTTGTTTGTGCTGTATTTAGACCCCTCTACCAAGAAATTTGTTTTGCATGCACACGTATAAAAATTGCGGTTTTTATCCAACGCAATCATAGGTTTGAACGTTGTTTTCAATTTAGACTTGTTTATATATATATACATGTCTAAACAGCTGATCTGAAAAGTACACCATCCACTATACATCATGTACTGTGTTACAACCATAGATAAAGCCGACGAGGAAAGGTATTACATCGACCACCGAAAGCTATATTTTTATGTAGCCTAGGTGGTCGAGTGGTCTATGGCGCTGGACACGGTGCAGGCGGTGTTGCCACGATGTCACAGAAGCAAGGGTTCGAATCCCGCTGAAGGAAGAACAAAATATTGCTAACGCAAATTTGAAGATCTAACATTGTTGGGCTAAATTTGAGACGAATTATATATACAGATTGTACACAGCCATGTATCACCATCACTGCTGGTGATCCGATGGATAAATCAGTTGAAGAGTTGTCACTGGTTCAGACGTACTTATAAATATAATTATTTCTGTGACTGTATCTTGCATTAATTTGTAGGATCCTTTACAATAGATATTTCAGCTGATCTGTAACAATTCCATCTTCATGCCTTTTATATCATGTACTGTATTACGACGCTAGATTAAAACTGACGAGGAAAGGTAACACCCGGCCACCGAAAGCTTTATTATGTGAAGCCTAGGTGGTCGTGTGGTCTAGAGCGTCGGATACAGTGTAGGCGAATTGGTGTCACGATATCTCAGTAGCATGAGTTCGATTCCCGGCGAAGGAAGAACCAAAAATTTGCGAAAGCAAATTTACAGATCTAACATTGTTAGGCTGATGTTTAGACGAGTTGTATATACAGAGTGTACACATTCATGCATCACCATCACTGCTGGTGATCCGATGGATGAATCTGTTGTAGAGTTGTCACTGGTTCAGACGTACTTATAAATATAATTATTTCTGTGACTGTATCTTGCATTAATTTGTAGGATCCTTTACAATAGATATTTCAGCTGATCTGTAACAATTCCATCTTCATGCCTTATATATCATGTACTGTATTACGACGCTAGATTAAAACTGACGAGGAAAGGTAACACCCGGCCACCGAAAGCTTTATTATGTGAAGCCTAGGTGGTTGTGTGGTCTAGAGCGTCGGATACAGTGCATGAGTTCGAATCCCGGCGAGGGAAGAACTAAAAATTTGCGAAAGCAAATTTACAGATCTAACATTGTTGGGCTGATGTTTAGACGAGTGGCATATATATATATATAAATATGTTGTGTACAAGTTGCGATTTTTTACATGTTATAACTTGTACAATTCAAAAATACAAGTTATAACATGTACAAAAGTACCTCGTACATGTTATAACATGTACAAAATATTGCTTAAAAATGGTTTTAACTTGTACAAAATTTGAAATTAAAGATATGTTTCTATTATTACAACACATGTCATTAACCTCAATACTATTTTCATCATTTTTTTAATTTTTCATTCATGTTAGTGTGTTTTGTCCTTTTTGATACTGTTAATGACCAGATGAATAGTTTTGATAATTACTTTAAAACACACATTTAGTCAACAAACATAATTCAGTATTCTCACCTGATGAATTATAATTGTAAGTTTCCACTCAGAAGGCAACAGTAAAATACTTTCATACTAGTTGAGACTTACGATGCAAGCGGATAGTCAGGATAGATTTTACAATGAAATCCTTGATATGTCGAGGAAAAATTCCTCTGCAAACAATACCTTGTTTTCAAAGGAGAGGATAGAAATTTATAACGTCAGAATGACATTCGACTCATGCAATGATCTTATTGATTATCAAAAAAAAATAATTTGATGCATAAGATTTACATCAGTTATGATCAAGGCTAAAATGTTGAAGAGCAGATTCAATAACTCCAAAGTTATTTATAATTAAGCGTGGTGCAATGAAAACCATTTTCTCTCTCTGGCTTTTATAGAGTGTGCATAAGAGATCTTGCTTTAATTTTTGCATGTTAAAAAAAGAAGGGGAGGGGTATAATTCAAATTTTTAAGGCATTATTCTTTAAAATATCAGATGAACCAGTTATTTACTTTGTTGCCATTGAGGAAATGTATGCTATTATTGCTGCTGTAGGCCATGGTGGACTGCATAAAACATACAATAACCTGAAAACGCATTATGCCAACATAAGCCGTGAAGCAATAAAAACATTTCTGAAACTTTGTGATCACTGTGCTATAAAGAAAAAAACTTTCTGAGCTTTTGATTGTTGTTCTTTATTATTCACTAAATTTCAAATGTATATTCTGCTTTATTCTGCTTTATTTTTATATTTTGTACAAGTTAAAACCATCAAGTTTTAAGCAATATTTTGTACATGTTATAACTATTTTTTTTGCATTGTACAATTTATTACATGTACAATATTTCTGTACATGTTATAACATGTATAAAATTGCTTGTACACGACATATATATATATATAAGTCTAAAAATTTGCACAACGGTAATACAAGATGGTAACATACGAAGATGATGTTATAAATCGTGTTGACAAATATTTCGGCTTAACAAATAGCCTTCGTAAGTGTCAATAATTTTAACAATACTCATTGTTTGTGTAAAATAGCTCAATAATACAGGTAAGTTTTGGTCTGTTGATTTAATCTCAAATCTTGAACATCATAAAATAAAACAAAACTCAAAACTCAATAGACGTGACTGTGTATATATACATCCCAAAATGAGTGAAAAATAAAACCGCTAGTATTTCTTATTGATGCCGTTTGGATGATGTACATTTAGTTCCTTTATCCAAAAGCTTTCCCGAACCTGTCATATATATAATATAATATATATATATAATGTCTAAAAATAGCAACAATCAACATCCAATCTATTTAGGCGTGGATCAGCTTGTGAAAATAAACTGATACAGTTACTAAATTAAAATTATATAAATGTCTAAAAATATAACTTAAACGCGCTAATTGATACATTAAAAAAGTTCTATTAGATTTAAAATAGATATAAACAATATTTCGCTAGACAAACTAGCTTCATCAGGCGTGTGCATCTATCCAGGTGAAATCGGATGCATGACAAAAAATATGTTTGTAGCTTAAAATACACACAGCAGTTGGAATAAAACATATTTAATGATGTTGTATGAATTGTACGAATTTCAAGAGGATTGTTTTTATTTGTTTTAAAATCTTTTCTCGTCTCTCTCCATCAAGTTCAAGAGTCCGTAACTAGTGCATCCAAAATCTCTCTCTCTCTTTTTTGTCTTCCTTGCGTGTCCCAATTTTGATTTTTATCATAGATTTGAAATGTGAAGTTTTCAAAATCATGCCCTTCTCTTAAAAGATGTAATTGAACAGTTTCTCTCTTTTGTATAAAATGACCGATGGTTATTTAGTCGGATGTTGAAAGGTGTTTCTGTTTAGAATATAAATACAATTTTGCGTTTTGCAATTGGATGTTATAAATAAGTTGTATTTTTTTTTTTTTACTGTGCTGTCGGTTTTGTTCATCACAACAACTGCACTTCCTTTGTCTGTTTGTTTAATAACAATATCATCTCGGCTTTTTAAGTTGTTCATGACTTGGCTTTCTTATTCTGAGAGATTCCGTATGCGTTTGCCACTGACTAATGATTTTACTTCAGTTTTCAGAACAAGAAAGCCAAGATGATATTGTTATTAAACAAGCAGACAAAGGAAGTGCAGTTGTTGTGATGACCATAACCGACTACATTGAAGAAGGGAATCGTCAGCTCTCAAACACAAATTTTTACAAACAATTAGAATGTGATCCTACAAAAGAAATTAGCAAAAAAATTTAATGAGGTCCTTTCAGATATGAATAGCAAAAAACACATAGATGACGACACGTACGACTATCTACGCCCTGGTGAAACCTGCACAGCCGGTCGTTTTTACTTGCTCCCAAAACCTCATAAAGAAAGGATTCCGGGAAGACCTATAGTATCTGCCAATGGCCACCCAACCGAAAAAATATCTGAATTCGTTGATTACCATCTTAGACCACATGTTAGAACAATGCCATCATACATTCAAGCCTACAACAGATTATTTGAAGAAAATGGATTCATTAAATCCCTTACCAAACAACACAATTTTGGTATCGATGGATGTGTGTTCCCTGTACACTAATATTCCAAAGAATGAAGGAGTAGTCGCTTGTGAAAAAGTATGGAATAATCGTAAAGATAAACATCCCACAACCGACTGTCTGGTTCAGTTGCTGAAACTAGAAACAACAATTTTGTATTCAACAACCAGCACTACTTGCAGACTGACGGTACCAGTATGGGAACCAAAATGGCACCTTCTTTTGCCAACATTTTCATGGGGAATCTCGAAGAACGCATCCTTTCGAATGTGCCATACGAACCCTTGACTTGGCTCCGTTATATTGATAACATCCGACATCAAATGGAACGAAACTGCAGAACATCTACAAGATTTTCTAGATCTTTGTGATAACTTTTATCAATCTATAAAGTTCACATCTGAAGTTTCAAATGAGAAAATTGCGTTTCTCGACACCACCATAACTTTAGAAAACGGAGTCATAACAACCGACCTTCACACAAAAAAAAATGACAAACACCAATTTCTCTCTCCGAAGAGTTGTCACCCAAAACACTGTTCCCAAAGCATTCCGTACAGCCAAGCTATTGGGTTAAAATGAATCAAAATTAAACCACGATGCCCGTTTGGGAAAACTCAGACAGCACCTTAAATCAAGAGGTTATAAGAACAAAAACATTTCAGAAGCTTTCTGGTAAAGCAAAAGAAAAAGACCGAACAAACCTACTTGAATACAAAGAAAAGACGGCCCAGACGAATAAAATTCCGTTTGTTGTCAGCTTTCATCCTGACCTAACAAATCTTTCATCTATTATCCACAAACACTGGCGTCTTATTGAAAATGATCCTTCCTTAAAAGAGATTTTTCCATCACCTCCCGTTATGGCTTACTGTAGACCCAAAAACCCCAAAGATATTCTAGTAACATCTAAAGTATCTAAACAAGAGACATCGACAATAGGAGGTTATAAACCATGCGGAAGAGTCAATTGTAAGTTCTGCAAAGTCGCCAACATTGAAACCCAATTCGTAAGCAGTCACAAAAAATTAAATACAACATATTTATAACATTCAATTGGAAAACGCAAAATTGTATTTATGTTCTAACGTGTGTAACTTGCAAGTTGCAATATGTTGGTGAAACAGAAACACCTTTCAACATCCGACTGAATAACAATCGGTCATTTTATACAAAAGAAAGAAACTGTCCAATTACAAGATATCTTTTAAAAGAAGGGCATGATTTTGAAAACGTCACATTTCAAATCATTGAGAAAAACCAAAATTGGGACACACAAGAAAGACAAAAAAGAGAGAGATTTTGGATGCACCAGTTACGGACTCTTGAAAATTATGGACTCAATGAGAGAGACGAGAAAAGATTTTAAAACAAAGAAAAACAGTAATCTTGAAATTCGTACAATTTATACAATATCATTAAATATGTTAAACTATTATTCCAACTGTTTGTAGTTTAAGCTACAAAAATATTTTTTGTCGTGCATCCAATTTCACACGCCTGATGAAGCTAGTTTGTCTAGTGAAATATTGCGTATATCTATTTTAAATCTAATAGAATATGTATACATATATATATATATATAAGTCTAAATTGAAAACAACGTTCAAACCTATGATTGCGTTGGATAAAAACCGCAATTTTTATACGTGTGCATGCAAAACAAATTTCTTGGTAGAGGGGGCTAAATACAGCACAAACAACAATTTCCAAAAGACCAAATAATCTATATATTATATATAAATTTGTTTTACATGCACACGTATAAAAATTGCGGTTTTTATCCAACGCATTTCATAGGTTTGAACGTTGTTTTCAATTTAGACTTGTATATATATATATATACACACAAGTCAAAATTGAAAACAATGTTCAAACCTATGATTGACAGGCGGTGTTGTCTCGATATCCCAATAGCATGAATTCGAATCCCGGCGAGGGAAGAACAAAAATTTGCTTCCGCAAATTTGCAAATTTAACATTGTTGTGCTGATATTTAGAGTAGTTACGAATATAATATGTGTTTTCAATGGATGGATCTGTCGTAGAGTTGTCACTTTTTCAGACGTGCTTATCATATATATATATATATATATATATATATATATATATATATATATATATATATATATATATATATATATATATATATATATATATCATTTGGTCTTTTGGAAAATGTTGTTTGTGCTGTATTTAGACCCCTCTACCAAGAAATTTGTTTTGCATGCACACGTATAAAAATTGCGGTTTTTATCCAACGCAATCACAGGTTTGAACGTTGTTTTCAATTTAGACTTGTTTATATATATATATATATATATCATTTATAATTGATGTAAAGCTTTCAATTCCGATGTGTCCTTGGTCTAAACAGTATAAATAGTCAAAAAGACGTACATTGGAATTGGTTGGTTTAAGGATTGTGGTTTGCAGAAGTTCAGTGGCAAATATTTCATGCATATCAAAGACTATAACAAATAAATGCTAAAAGTAGTCTCTGTAAAGTTTGTCTTTCGGGATGAAGGGCAGAACATATGGATGGCCAATTAAAATGAGGTCATTTTAGATAGAGGCAGATTGTGTATTTATACATCCCGAAAAGTCAAACGAACAATCCTTGTGGGGTGTCTTTTGCCTAGAACGGAATAATTGGACCAGTTTATATATCAGGTATACACATTTGTGAGTAAAGGTATTGGCAAATATAGAAGCCAGACTGAGTGTTATCTGGAACGCGGTATAATACTCACAAGTGTCTTGGTAAATACATGTACTATATAACTTCTATATTTAACTCTTATATTAGTTTTTTTTTCAAATGATGGTTTCCCTGAACTTGGTGCTTTTCTTCCTTTTTTGTAAACCTATGTTACTAAGCTATTTATTTGGTTTACATATTGATTTTACTCTTCTTTCTTTTCTAGTGACATAAACTGCAAGAGCTCACATTTTAAGGTTCCAATATAGTTCGTTACATGTAACATATAAGTCTGTTAAAATGAGCTACATCAAGATTATGCTCGAAATTGTGCTTATAATTAGCTTCAGGTTTAATATTTAATTTCGTTTGTAATTGCAATGTAGTTTTATAAACAAACGGGGGGGGGGGGGGGGGGTTAAGCGTCCATTTCAAGTAACCATATGAAACATGTTAAAACAGTTAAGTTGGTCCTCTTAACTAATTCATTCGAAAAATTCATGTTCCCCTCTGTAATAGATTATGATTATGATTGTCAATGAGTACAACAATCTTGTAAATTTCCAATGTGTTACTATTCTTATAACAAAATTTTTAGTGAAACGGAAACAATGAGGCTTATATATATCTAACTACGGATTTTCTTCTTTTTTATTCCTGCAAAGGGTCCTTATTTTTTATTGTCAATGATATACAGTGGGATTTTAACGAAATTCTGCGTTAATGGGACTTTTAGAAAAGGTCATGATAGAATGGAGTTACAAAAATAAAATATTCCTATTCACAAAAACTTTGTCACTTAAAATCACGTTATCACATTACGTTACTGCTACATTTTGTACTGAAAACTAAAGGAATGGAATAAAAGGAAACGAATGGTAAAAACTTATCAAAGATTCCAAGTGTTACGATATGCAAAAGCACACATTAAGGTAGAATCATAAAAAAGTGTCACCAATAAAGCATGTGTGCTTTCAATTGGATGACAATCTGCTGGTCGTCTCGAAAACCGCTGCCGCTTTCACAGATTTATGAAATGTGTAAATATTGTTTTCATGAAGTAACCGTTCATATCATACAGTTCAAATAATCTGTTCGTATTTTCTTTTCTTTTTTTCTTTTTTATCTTGAATTACGATGCACCCCAGGGTGACTGGGGAATAGAAATATGGATACTTAGGTCTTCTTCCGACCGGCAGTAAAAAAGGGCGTGCGTTCGGCTGTGCTGGATGTACAAATATGCAGCCAATTACGGTTAACTTCGATCTCTCGTGTAGAGCGAGTGTCACGCTCTCTGCACGTTAAGAACCCCTGCAACGCAAGGTAAAATTTCTGTCCCTATCCTATATACCTTCATTTTCTAGTGGCAGCCGAAATTTACATAACCTCCATCCCAGATGGTCTCTATTACATGACCAACCTATTGTATTTATTGTTAATTTGTTTTCGTCCTGAACATGCATGCGATATTTGCCACTGGACGTTAAGCAACCAACAATCAATCAATTTAATTACGATAAATGATATTAGTGATTTATAAATGTTATATTTGAAGCAATACAAACTCACCGAAAAACAACTAACACATCCACTTTATTTGAACTTTGGTGGATAGTTGTCTCATTGGCAATCATACCGCATCTTAATTTTAGATAAGATGCTTACTAACAGACAATATAACTATACGGAGAAGTTGTTGGTGGCATTTATTTGAAACGATAAACTATATTAATAATTCGTTTGCTACAATTTTAAAAATAAAAGTCACATATGTATAACATTTAATTGATTAATGAATAACATTTAATCAATTACAAGCACTTTGAGTTTTCAACAATAACAATATATATCACAGATAAAGGTCAGTAACATAACAAACAGCGTCACATAACAACATGTCAGAATATAACCTTTCTGGATAAGCGTGATCTATCACCTGATGACCAGGACTTGGACTTGGAACGGAAATGACGTACATCTGCTACCCGACGGTAGTGATGGAGGTCTGCAGAGAAATCAGAATGAAGCATTGGTCTGTAGTCAATAGGGTCACACAAATCAGATGATGTTTCAAAGAAAGACTTGTAGCCACTGTCAAGAAGGTAGATTTCTGGATAGTTCAATGCTGGGTAATTCTCGGTGTTCATCTGACGATCTTTACTGCGAAGATGTCGTAACCTACAAAAATGATATCAAATCAATAAATGGAATACGTAAAAAATGGGCACATAATATTTTTTTGAATAATAAAAACCCAATTTCTCTCGTCTTCAGTTTAGAAGATAATTTGGTCATCCAATTGGTCAAACTGGAAAAGACGCAAAGATTTTAACAAAATTATATCCAATCATGAGGAATTTGAAGTCAATGTTAATCCTGATTAACTACACATTCTGATCACATAATAAATTGTTTTATTGTTGTCGTAAAATAGCTGAATCTTGTAGTTTCTGGTATTTTCACAAGATTCAAGTGTCATAGTGGCCTTTCTATATGTAATGTATAATTTTAACTTTTGTGGTATCAGAAAGTTACCTGCTTCTTCAGTAAAACATAATGCGTTCATTATTTTGACGATTTGCTGTACTTTTATCGCTAGTTCAAAGGTAGCTAAATTATTTATTGTGTATCATCTGTTTGATTGAAGTTGAAAATCAAGTATATTTACTTTTTCAGAAACGGCATAAATGTACAGTAAGAACAGTAGTTGTATTTTTTTATTTTTTTTATTTTTTTTTTTGCTTAAAGATCATCGGCATAACAATGAAAATGAGGCATTAGTGTTATTACCGAACATATAATTTCATATAATTAAAATAAATAAGACAAATAAAATTGTAATATGTTGATTTTTTTCGTTGCAATTGTTTATTGTAAATATTAGCCGTTCAGTCTGTTTAACTTTTACCAATGTGCATTATAGCTAACACTGATAAAGGAGATTTTAGATAAACATCAAAATTAAATGCAAAAATATAATTTAACAATAAAGTACAAAAAGACCTCGATCGGTATATGAAATGAATGCATTGTGTTTTTCTTTACTTTAGTTTATTGCTGCATTTCGTGACATCTTACTTTTTACTCTCTCTATCTTAGTTTCTATCGATAACGGTATTGTCTATTCTTAGTCCAACAAAGTCCGTCATTTCAGACTTTCATATTCACTCATGTATTAGTGTTGGGTGATTTGCCTGGCTTTAGCTATTCTTTTTGTCTACACTAGTTTTGATCAGCTTTTCAGTTTTCAAATAAGTTTTGCATTTTCAAGTATGTTAGCCTCGTGCATCACTAAAGAAACATTATTTGTTGAAATGCGTATCTGATGCAGTCAAATTGGTACCGTTAATGTAATTACATGTGTCAATGGTTGATAAATTTCTTAATGTCTATGGGGGTCAGAAAAGAGAAATTTACTACCCCGCTACTGTATGGTGAGTTGACTCGTCAAGGGATTTTAACAGGGGTATATCGACGGGTGTCACTAATGAAACAGGAACTCATGACCTTTCCGGAACACCCAATTTTTATTTGTGGTGTTTTGTGGGCTCGTATAATTGTCCAATCTTAAGGTTTTTGTGTAATGTTTTGTGGACTGTTGTCTGTGTGCTCATTATTATTCTTTCGACAATGATGCAGCCGGTCTTGCTTGACTTATAGCTTTAAGGGAGAGGACGTCACTAATGTTGTTATAACTTGTGTCCTATCCCTTTTTTACTTTTGCAAATAAAACATGTTTAAACTAAACTAAACTATAGCTTTAGATTGTTCTTATGGTAAATGTCCCCCCCCCCCTTTTTTTAAGAAACAATACATTAAAACTTACATTGCAGGACCTCTTTCTTGTGAAAATTCACAGTGAAAGATGAGGACTTGCACAGATGTCTGTTGCAGAAGGTCTTCTATCATCCCATGGAGGTATCTGTTTTCTGCTGACTAAAGGAAAAGAACTCAATGTTACAAATAATTCATATATATTGGTAAAAAAATTATTGCAAGAGTATTTGCATCATATATTTCATTTATAAAATAACATCATTCAAACTAGCTTTGAATTAGCAATAAAATTACTATTATATGAATAACTATTATAAATGATAATTATTAAAGATTTGAAAAAAAAAAAACATTTGTTGCAAACAATTGTGTAAATGATTATGGTGTTATTTGATGACATTTACTGTTCACGTACATTTGTATTGTTTTTGACTTTGTTTTCTTATGCAAGTCTGTTACTCGTTTCTCGTTTTTTTATATAGATTAGACCGTTGGTTTTCCTGTTTGAATGGTTTTACACTAGTCATTTTTGGGGCCCTTTATATAGCTTGCTGTTCGGTGTGAGCCAAGGCTCCTTGTTGAAGGCCGTACTTTGACCTATAATGGTTTACTTTTACAAATTGTGACTTGGATGGAGAGTTGTCTCATTGGCACTCATACCACATCTTCTTATATCTACTTATTATATTCACTTCCATTTGAGGCAATGTTTTAACTTCTATTATTACGACATGTTGCTGCTATCGATATACTAACTGTACAATACGATTATGTAAAACTGATAACCAAATAATGTTTCCCTTTTTTATGGAACTTCAATGTATGAAACATTTGTTTCATAAGAAACCATTGATTCTAGCTAGTTACCGTTTATATTTATTCATACCTGAATATGTCCACCGTCATACTCATAAGGATATCTGCAGTCAATAACACGAAAACTGCTTATGACATAACTGTAACGACCACATAAGACGTCTGACAACTGAAAAAAATTAATTCGTTAATTATTTCAGATATATTGATTGATTAATTGTTGGTTGCTAAACATATAAGCAGTTTTTTTAATAGACAAAGGTTTAACCATCTACGAAATTGGAGTTTTCCAACATGATTACTCCGGTGACCATCCAGTGGCAAATATTTCATGCATTTTCAGGACGAGAATAAACAACAATAACTGCAATAAGTAGGTCCTGTTATAGAGACCGATAAATGAAAAGATGAGAACATGAGAACTGGTGTTGAAAGATTTAGTTTAGTCTACTCTGCAATTGCTTTCATGAAGACTTGTATTTTTTTTCGTGCTGTGACTGTGGATTGGGGGAAATATATACGTTCCATTGTCAAACATAAAGAAAATCTTTAATATATGCTATTTTTATAGCTTAAATTGTACATGTTTGATTTCATATGTGAATATGTTTTTATTCGTAAATCCTCGTCCTTCTTACTTATTGTTCAAAGAGGTACTTACTGTTTCTGGTGAAATGCTCTTGAGGTCTTTATGTTTTCCTGGCACTGTTGGCAAAGAATAACAGCTACTACCATCTGCAATCAAATTAGTGTCACCGGCTAAAACACTGTTGACTTCACAAATAGTCTTTTGTCGTTTTGTTGGGGGTATGTTTACACAGTTGTCGTCGACGAAAACCTGTTCGTTTGGACAAAAAGACATTATCATGTATGAAAAAAGATAAAGACTTGTAATATGTGACGTAATCTATCATTCGTGACGTAATAGTTTACATGTACGTTACAATGTTTGCTGACTTTTTTCTGCAGTTTCGAGTTTGTGTGGCTGATATTTGATTTATGCAAATTTGAATTAGTGCACACAGTCGATGTTGTGTACATTGTATTTGCTGCTTCACTACCAAGCACTGGCATTTTAAGAAGCAAGAGCAACACTTGTTGGCTCAAAGTCAGATATGGCGGAACAATTATGACTTTTGTGTCAAATGTCAGTTCAAAAACATATGCTAAAAAATGGATAATTAAAAACTTAACTTGTTTGGAACATATCAAATACATTACTAACAGGAAAAAAAACTGAAAAGTAGAACCTCAAAATCCTTTTTTAGATATTGAATAACTTTGGCTTCATCTGAAATTTGTTTAATTTGAAAACTTACGTCATCTAAACCGAGACCGGAATCGTCGCTGTCAATGGATAGCCAGCTGTCTTGTAATACTGGACTGGAAGGTGTGTCTGTATTCTCTTCTAAGACAGAAAAGGCACGTTTACCAAATGTTGGTCTGAAAAAACCCAGATTAACAGTTTGTTAACAAATGTATTAAATCAACATTATTTTGATTTTAAACGTAAATGAAATTAACTAAACTTACGACTTGTATTTTAGGATGTGTAATCTTGTATTTCGACTCTCCTTTGAATCTTGAATTAAGTCGTTTGCTTAAACTTATTTTACGCAATAATGATCCTGATTTATTCATAGATCTAACAATTATCATTTTAATAAAAAAAAAAACAAAGGATATGGGGTATCCATTCAGAAAATATCCCTCAGTTAAGTAATATTTATTCATTTGCGTAATTATTTCCAAGTTGTCGGCATTTGTCCATCCAGTTAAAGACACCCCTGCATACTGTTATTGGCGACCTAACTCATTAAAGGACAGAAAATTAACAACAGTATAAAGAAATTTAGGATAAGGCAACATTGATACTTTTTTATATGTATATGGATAAGATAAAGACAGAAGATACTGAAAGGAACATTTAAAAGTCGAAGAGAAACTGACAACGCTATGGCACAAAAGAAAAGACGACAACAGATCACAAATAAACAATCAAGTCCACAAGACTAAAGACTAAGAAACACGAACCCCACAAAAAACTGGTGGTGATCTATACATTCTATTATAGAAGTATGCTACTCTCACAAGGAGAGCTCATTTCTGATACATGTGTTGGTTTGTATTGTGTAATTCATATGTTCGTTTAAGCCTGGCGAACTAGAACATAGCAGAAGAAAATATAACTGACAGCCAAAAAAAACGAAGACATCATTTTCCACTGAAGAATGGTGTTACGACGGTAAACCATGCCAAATGACAACTTTTCGTCCTTTAAAGGAACAGTGCATGGATACTTATGTTTGGGCTAGCTACCTTCAGTGGTTTTGAATCTCCATGCATTTCATCAACTGAAAGTTTATATACTTACAAAATCATAAAATCCTACAGCAATTGCCAACCATTTGTTTGCATATTAGCGGAATTAATTAACAAAATTCTTTTTTGTTCATACATATATGACATTATTGCTTACAAATAACTTAAACGTTCCCCTCACCCGCAATATGAAATATGAGCAAATGTTTCAAATAAAAATAATATATTTTGTAGGACGTTAACTCGTTTTGCTAACAGAAATTGTTCCATGTCCCAAGTTATGAACGTCGTCAGTGGTTGTCGTTTGTCATGCCTAAATTTTGTTTTGTTTTTTGAAGAATCAACTTTAAAAGTATAGAATAGAATAGAATAGAATATCTTTTATTTCCATAAAAGGTACCTTCAAGGGGCAAAGTGCATATACATATATGACAATAAAGCTACATTTACAAATACAATAAAGTAGAGTATAAACACGAAGCTATACTACTATAAATTGAAGTAAGATCGGAAGACATTAAAATGTTCCTCATATGAAATAATTACGGGGTATATTGGCCCGGGCCTACTTTTAGATGTTGATTTACTTATTTCGATGTTGTCACCTTTAGTGTTCATTTTCATAAGTCAACTCAGTCATTATGACTTTAAATGTATAAACAATATATAAAAATTTATTAATGCAGCATCATATGAAAACAAAACGATCACAACAGAACAGAGAAAGGAAATAAAGATCAAACTGAAAATAAATGATTAAACCACATTGGACAAATCCGATCTATCAAACATCGATCTTGGTGTTGGACGTCGATAAGACGGTATAAAGATTCTAGACCTTGATTTGAGAATGTGACGTCAGACCGGACATCGGTCAGAAGAAAAGGACGTAGATTAGATAGAGAAATAAGAAGATATGGTATGATTGCCAATGAGACAACTCTCCAACAGAGACCAAATGACTTAGAAGTTAACATCTACAGGTCACCGTACGGCCTTCAGCAATGAGCAAAACCAATTCCGCATATAGTCAGCTATAAAAGGCCTCGAAATGACAAATGTAAAATAATTCAAAGAGAAAACTAACAGCGTGATTCATGTACAAAATGACTTAGGACAGGCACATACAGAATGTGGCGGGGTTAAACTATTGATAAGTATAAAATTTCACCGAACGAATTTAGAGTGACCTAAACGACATTATCATTTAAGAAAGGTATGGCATTTTGTAAACCAAACTGAAAGTTAGGGTTGTACCATTTTAAACATATTTCTATATTCTCGTTTTTCTAAGTAAAATAGCAAAATATTTTTGTTGAATTATTCATGTTCATGGAATCCAAAATTTTCCCGCAAATAACAAGAACCTTAAGGTAGACGCACAGAATAATCTCCCTCTAGAAAAGAAAAATAGATAAAAGTACCCAAAACTTTTTTTCTGTCCAAATGATGTTAGCAAAAAAATATTTCCATAAAAATCATGTCTGATGTTTGCAATATGCATTAAAGGAGATGTTGAAAATGTGTCAATGTGAAAGCAGACTAAAGATACAGTCAGTACCGATAGAAAATTAATTTGATTTCTACTAGTCTAGTATTCAAATTTCGTATTTAGGTTTCATAAAATTGTAAATGATATCTATGAAATGATATGTTCAAAGTTCTGAGATTTAACCAAATACAAAATCGTATTTGTTTGCTTAGATTCGTAGCTAGAAAATCATTTTGTTCGTAGTGAGAAAATCATTTTGCTCGTAGCTAGAAAATCATTTTGCATGCACCACATAATTATACTACAGTAATAGTGCAGAATAAATGACATTTTACTGTTAAATTCTGCTTTTCGTTACAATTTTCTTCTGCAAAAGGTTTTAGGCCAACGGACCCGTGTACGGTCAGAATGGGGACGTTAAATCCGATGACTCGCGTAAAGAGAGTGCCACGCTCTTTGCACATATTGTTAATTTGTTCTCGTCCTGAACATGCACGAAATATTTGCCACTGGACGTTAAGCAACCAACAATCAATCAATAAATCTCTTGTACAATAAATGGGTAAAATCAGTGTTAAAAGAAAAGGATTAATATGACCACTTATTTGTTCCCTTGAATTCGTATATAAAAAAGTATAATTACATCAAATGAAATCTTTAAAATTTTCACAAGATATTAGAATGATGGTCATAAGTACAATGTATTTACATTTTTTTGAATTGTGTCTTACAAGAATTTAAGCTTCTTTGCATTTACTCCAAAACTGCAAAAATAGTCCCTTTTTAAGATTGTCGTCAATATCTACACGTGAGTCGAGAACTTACCCAAAAAGACATTTGGGTACAGTTTGTCGTTAACGGACGATGTTAATGTTGGTTGGATATCTTTTTGGTGAGATCTTGGTTCATATCTAACTTTGCTAAAACAACTATGTGTAAAATTGTAATTTAAATTCAGATATTTCAATTTCAGCATGTTTCGACGACATATTGACATTCCAACTGACATTTCTGACATGAATTGTCCAGATTATATCATTCTAATAGATGTAACATATTGTTTCGGATTTTAAGGGCAAAGATTATATGGCTCTTTTATAACTTTACCTTTGCCTGATGCGGCGCGGGACGTTTGTGCTTTTTGTTAGGACAATTGCACTTTTTTAGTGGACATTTTCGCTTTTTTAATGGACATTTGCGCTTTTTTAAAAAGAACTTTTGCTCTTTTTTTTAAAAGAACATTTGCGCTTTCTTAGTACATTTGCGCGTTTTCTACAGAACATTAGCGCTTTTTTACAGGACATGTGAGCTGTATAAACACAATTAACAGTTGAGTTATCATGGTTAAGAATTTTTAAATCATTTTATATCCAAAACACAGTACATTTATTTACAGCTTAAAGTTTTCCTTTTCTTCATTTAGTTGACGAGTCCATAAGAATTTTGAAAATTTCATGTTATTCAGTAAGTTAAAAGACAATGATGGAAGAGATCCCCAGACTTTCCAGACAATAAAATGAACATAAAGGGAATATAGATTCCAGTTTTAATCCACTAATGGTATAAAGCTGCTTAAAATTTTGAGTGCAAATTTTCAAATGTTCCATCAATAAAAAATTCGTTTTAATTATGTTTCACATATATACATTTTTTTGTGATTGTTTGATCGGTACGGGTTATAACTTAAAAATTGGTGAAAAGGTGCAAAAGTCCTGCGCCCGCATGATCTTATAATAATAATAGTAATATTATTGCCAATCAAGAAGCTACAGTCTCAGTACAGTATAGAAAGTAAATTGTTGGGAAAATATAACATTTACTTGTCGGATAATATAGATTCACTACGGAACCTCGTTTTAAAAATCTTACAAATAAATGTTATATTTACCAACAATGTACCTAATATATTGTATATTTAGTGTATTTGGTAACAAACACATGGGACTTATGTATACATGAAAGCTTAAATCATTTATTATCTTTTCTTTTATTTATTTATTGGTTCCAGAAATATTAGCTTATTCTATCGATATGTTGTAAGACGTTAAGTTATATAATTACTGTATTTTCCACTAGATACAAGCATAGGTACTTGGGGACAGGACAATTTTTTTAGCCCTCCCCTTTTTTTTCCAAAATCCGGGTTTTTTCTGATATGACCGCTGTAGATAGTAAACTTGAAATTGATAGTAAATAGCAAATACAATTAATTTCTAGTATATTTATGTTCATACAAAACAGAAAAACGCGAAACTAATTGAAATAGATAGAAGAAGAAAAAACTGATTTTGGAAAAAGGGTGAGGGTTAAAAAAAATTGTCTTGTACCCAAGTACCTATGGATACAAGTACATCATAACAGCAAAATAGGAGCTAGTCTCAATACTGACGGGATCATGATATTTCTATACTCAATAGAATAGATGTATGAGCTTTAAATTCTTGCGAAAAAGTTAGAATAGTTATTGGAGTCGCCACATGTACATTGTGAGCTCTCAAATAGACAAGACTGAAAAGGGTGATGATATAAGTTAGTAACTTCGTTTCTATGCTTAGAATAGAAAATATTTGTTTGTGGTTGCCTTTATACCGGCAATAGCGGTTTGGATGATCGAACATACATACAATGAATAACCACAACAACAAGGGAAAAATGAAAAAAACTTACAATATCGTTGAGATGTCTTCTTCAGATACCGAACTGAAAAGTCTTTTTGCTGGCATTGTGTGTAGAAGATAGAACCATTTATAAAACTGAAAATTCAGATGTGAAAACACGAGTTTTTTATTTCCTGTCAGTCGGTCGTGTTTGAAATTTGAGTTGTGATGATAACTTTTCTCATTTTTTTAAAGAAATGTGTTCAAAGTGCTATTTCTAATGCACCCAGCGTGGGTCATGTTTCTTTTAATCTAATTAAAGCATATTTACTACACCCCATTAACTTTGATGATCGTTTATCAATAAGATTAATTCTAAAAACAACACACCAATCAAGAACTAATTATACAAATGAACTGAAACGAGAAAATTTTGCATAATTATTTAATTGCCAAGGATTGATTGATTGTGAACTGTTTAACGTCAATGACTGATTTAATTGTAAAACGATGTTTATGTTCATGTCATGCCAATATTCCTAATGATTTTTATGGTTTTACAATACAAAAAGAAATAATTTGACATGAGAACATGTTGCACATTTGGAGAAGATACATTTATAAATCCGTTAATCTTAATACATAAATTTTGAAAATAATTCTGTGGAACGATAACATTTTTTGTTGTTGAGAACAGATGCAATTAATCATGTTAATAGCGAACAAATGATGAATGCGGGACAACTCGGTGCAGAGATAACTGGGACCGAGTCAAATCGGACTGACTAATAAGTTAACTCGGACCGTCTATAAAGTCAACTCGGATCGATTATAATGACAACTCAGAAAAAGTATTAAAAAAGGATTTGAACTATATAAATGATTATGAATTATCAAATGTTATATTTTACATGACAATATCATTTGCATCTTACTGATTTTGCAAAACATAATAAAAAAAAATGTTAAAAAATGAATTCAAATGTTTACTTATCTTTATCAGAGACATATTCTACGATTGTATCATATGTCTCTGCCTTTGTCAATTTATTATAAAACTTAATGCATCCAAAAAAAATAAGTTGAATTTGCTTAATTTTATTTGTTTGTTGGATTCTTTGTTTATCATTTTAAAGTCAACTCAGACCGCCTTTAATGCCAATTCTAACAAAGTATAAACATAGAGTTTTGGCTATTTTTAGGATAAAATATTATATTTTACATAAATTAAGTCACGGGTCTTGTATGGTGTTTGCAAGCTTCCGCCAGAGACATATATACACAGAGACTGGCAAATCTCTGTGTGTATATGTCTGTGCTACCGCCTACCAAAGGATATCTCTGATTGTCTATAAGATCAAAATGAATATTAATTCAACACAATGCAATGTTAAATCTTATAACGCGAAGAAAGATAGAAAATTATTTTTATTGTTTATATCTGAGACTACTTTATCACAACAGTAGTCTCAGTTTAAACCAAGGAATATATATATACTAGTTACAATAAAGTTACCGTATACAAATGCTTGCTTAAAATCGGCGGTTTCTTCTATCTGAAGTGAAACTATCAAGACTTTGTATGCTATATATATATATAATATTTTAGAACTATACAAATGCTTGTAACTATCTGTACTATAATTAGAGACATATACATGTAATACAATTTGTATTATTCTGGTATTATATGTCTATGCGGTAACATGTGTATTTAAATAAATGTAACAGGTTGGTTCCGTTCAACAAAAATTAAATATTTGCATGATTTTTTTTTTTTTTTTTTTTTGTATTTTGAGATATAAAAAAAGACCCCTATTCTCACCCAATAAAATATGAATGGTAAATGAGGACAGGAAAAGTCAGATTTTTAGAAGTGATTACGGAGCAAGTCCGAATTAAGTTTTAAATTTAGAAAGAATTGACAGGGTTATCTCCCATTTAGCTACACATGTGAAAATGGCAAAAGTTGAACAATCAAGATTTGCTCTCTTAAAAATTGAAGATGATGATGATGAAGATAATGCCAAACCCAAAGACAATGCTAACAAATCAAATAATCAACAGAGCTCAAACAAAAAGAAAAACAAAAAGAAGAAAAAGGCAGAACAACAGCAAGAAAATGACGAGGTCAAAAAATTTACCATATTTTCATATAGTCGAGATAGTTAAGACGCCTTGAAAAGCTATGTTTTGTGTTTCTTATCGGCTCTACACTAAAATCGTCAAAATCGTACGTTAATCATGAAATATCCCCAGAAGGCCTCATGACTATTTCAGTATCGAGACTAATCCATTTGGGTTTCTTTTTATGACCTATTATGGAGTAATTTTCTGATTTGGCAGCGGTCAAAATCAAGCTTCCAAATCAGAAAATTGCTCCAATTCAGAATCCAAAACGGTAATATATCTTGACTGATTTTCATTTAAGCTTTGCATCCAAGAACTCTTTTTCCATCCATTTGGAGTTCTGAAACCATACCGATGTTCTGAACTGGCTGACACTCGAATCAAGCAGCCAAATTAGAAAGGTGCCAATTAGAAAACCACTCCTGATTCAGAATCTCAAAGTGCATGTGATCAAGATTACTTTCAGTCAAGCAATCAAATTCTTTGACAATAGGGGCATAGACACTATCAGATTCTTTATGTGAAAAAGTCAGGTCAGTCATGTCAGTCAGAAATTTTTTTTTTTTTAAATCTTACAAGACATTAACAATGATTAATATGTATAGAATAAATATATATTTCATTTTACTAACAATATTTTTTGGTATGCTTATTTGTCATAACTTCCTAGATTTTATTTCCAAATTATTGCTCAGCTATTTTAAACATACAATGCATGCCATCGTCATATAAGTTTGAAAAATGGGGGGGGGGGGGGGGGGGAGGTTCACAGACAAACAGGAAATAAAAGGTAATTTCACAAAAGAAAAAACAGTTACAGGTAGCTTTTTATCCACTTTCAGGAAACATGGTGAATAATGAGCTTCAAGCAGGAAAGCATGTGAAATAAAAAATTGCAAACATTTGGTAGAAAATAGCACATGATGATAACAATCCGTTCTTAAATGAAGTAGACCGGTCCAATGGAAAGACGAGGATATATCAATTTCATTTTTTGGCTGGCAATTACAATTTTGAAATTAAAATGGATGAACATTTAATCTATGAAACAAGAAAATTTCAAATTGTTTGTGGTAAACTGTTTCTTTTAACTTGACGTCTTTCACTTTTGGACGTGTCAATTTCATTTATGAAAAATCTTATTGAATTACGACAAAAAAAGGAAAACAAACTTAATGTAATGGGCTTTTAATATAGATTTCATTTCGCAAACATGCTGTGTATGTACTGATTTTGCGTCATAGATGGATACCCATTATCCTTTATTTTTCTATTAAAAAATCATTTGCCCAGTATACATATAACCAATTTCTGATAGTATTGCCCAGCATGGGAAAACCTTGACCTTAGTTTCCCATCAGGGTTATACTTTGCCTGCCCTGATCACATGCACTTGCATTTTGAAATAACATTAATGGTACCAATTTTACTGCACCAGGTGCATATTTCAACAATTAATATCTCTTCAGTGATGCTAGCTAGGCCAAAATATTTGAAAGTCCAAAACCTAATATAAAACATTGAAGAGCTGGTTTAATATTTAGTAGATAAAGAACAATTAATATAATACTGAAATAATTTGAAATGAAGGAAAATATTGTGATAGGCATACAAATAATTGAAATCAGTGTGAATTGTTTTTCCTTTATTAGCTGGTTCTTTGATTAAATGCTGTTTGCAAATGCAATTTTTTTTTACTCACAGCTCAAACATTTAGCCTTTGCTAAACCAGGATCTAATAAGCAAAGAAATAAACAGAATGGTCACTCTGAAGTATCTGATAACCAGTGGAAGGACTGGAAGAAAGCAGACCAAAATGTAAGTTGTTTCAAGTATTATTAGTTAAGTAATTAACTATAAACTTATTTTCATATTATGTTTTTATCTTGTATGGTTAAATGTGCATGTACATTGTGTATTCCGAAGTTGAAATATAAAAGTTATACTTTAATAATGAAGGATAATAAACATGATAAACATGTATGAAGCAATGATTTAATTTGTTTGTTTGTATTTCCTTCATATTTGCATTATTTGCTGTTTTCAAGGTTGTAATGCTTTATTAAATAAATCCCCAGGACAAAGGAGGGGGTATGCAGATTAACCTATAAAGGTCCATCATAAATTTTTGATAGATGACACCAAGCTTTATTTAGTTATGCCATACTGTGTGACTGTTTTCAGTTCATTTGATAGTCTAATTGTCTTCTTTATGACATAAAACCCTACAGCTTTTATTAAAGATATAAAAGTTAACACGTCATCAGTCTGACTAAAGCCAGTCCCCAATATACAATATTTTTCTCAAAAAGGTACTGTTATTAAATAGTAAATTTTTTTAAATGTTCCTGCAACTCAACTTAATTTAATATTTAGTTAATTAATTTAGCTAATTTTTGTTATTGCATTGTAGAGAACTGAAGATAAAATGCATATGACTAAGTTTTTTAACAAGTATTTATATTTCAGTATGCAGCAGAATCGTATGAAAAAGATCTGGAACAGGCTTTACTTATGAGTAAAATGGAGTTTGAACAAAAGAAAGAGGTAATGTGTGTAAGGGATGCTGTCAGTTCCACTCTGATTGGGAACATTAAATCAAGGGCATACAATACAGTTTTGATCACACGGTGAATTTTTGACAAAAGTTTGCATACAAGCTATTTTTCACCTTGTCAATTCAGATATGTAATAATAAATATACCTTCATGTGCTACTTTTAGAGATAAATGGGGTTGAAATTTTAGACATTTACTGGAAATTTCGGTTTCTTGGACATTTCTATCCTTTAGAAAGACATACCTAACTTTTTTGTTTTAAAAGGTAAACGCAAGCGGATTTTTGCAAATGCATCTGGAATATCTTCTCTATATAGGTGTGCTTTGAATCGTGAAACAATTCTTTGGAAATTATTCATTTTTATCACATTTTCATGATTTTTGTCAAAGAACAGCATTTTTTGCTGTATATTAATGAAATTTTTTTTAAAAATCACCGGTGATTAGTTCATAAAAATTGACACAAATTATCCTCATACATAATCAAGCCTAATGACATTTTTAAAAGATGGGTCCATGATAAAAATCAGTCGAAAATGCATCTTTTCCCGATATATCACAGTTTGATGTTGTGAAGAATAACATTTTACGTTAGCAACGTCATTTACTCCCCTGTGACTGTATCATATGCCCTTAAGTTCATGTGTGGGAGTATACAATGTTTTTTGAGGCACTAGATCCCTTACAAAAACTCTTGTTGAGGAAGTATCAGTTTATAAATGAGCATGATATTTAGCTTCCATATCTAAAAACAAGTGGGGCTGTCCCAAGTCAGGAGCCTCTGGCCTTTGTTAGTCTTGTATGATTTTTAATATTAGTTCATTTATATGTTTTGGAGTTTAGTGTGACGTCCATTTTCACTGAACTAGTACACACTTTTATTTAGGGGCCAGCTGAGGACCACCTCCGGATGCGGATTTTTTTTTCAGCACTGAAGACCCATTGGTGGCCTTCAGCTGTTGTCTGCTCTTTGGTCGGGTTGTTGTCTCTTTGACAAATTCCCCATTTCCATTCTCAATTTTATACTTTGTAATTTTTATTTTACTTTGTCTTTCTAGAGTAAGGTCCCTTAATTATACAGAAAATAATCAGTTTTGTTGTGTAATGTCACAAACATACACCAAAACGTTGTGATTGGCTTACAACATCCTAAAAAAAGGGAATTCAACCAATGATGTGACATAATTGTCACTTTGGGGTATGAACAATAAAATTACCCACAATCCTTTAGATTCTGAAACAGTGAAATTTAAGAACAACAAAACACAGGTTAAGGATGTACTTAGGTGAAATTAAAAAAATCTAGAATTTAGAATTGATACAATATGTCAGAAGAGCATTAGTTAAAGAACAAAATAAGCTAAAAATATTGATAAGTTATGAAGCTCCTTTTCCAGATATTTTTTTTTTTTTTAAATAGCGGGAAAAGGCTGACTCAGACTTTTACCTTATATTTGCATTGGTAATATTTGGGTCTCAAATTGGAAGAAAAGAAATCTAGAACCTTTATGAGCTATTGAATAGATATAAGAAGATGTGGTATGAGAGCCAATGAGACAACTCTCCATCCAAGTCAAAATTTATAAAAGTAAACCATTATAGGTCACAGTACGGTCTTCAACACGGAGCCTTGGCTCACACCAAACAGTAAGCTATAAAGGGCCCCCAAAATTACTAGTGTAAAACCATTCAAATGGGAAAACCAACGGTCTAATCTATATAAAAAACGAAAAACAAGAAACACTTATGAACCACATCAACAAACGACAACTACTGAACATCAGATTCCTGACTTAGGACAGGTGCTGAAGTCTTTAATGAAAAGAAAAATGGGTGTTATGGGGCAAAATATTTTACCCTGTATCGTAGGAAAAAACCAAGGAGTCCGAACATTTGACAAAAATTCCTAAACCTCACCCAAGTACATCCTTAAGTTTAAATTTGATACTTTTCATTTTGTCCCTGCAGACAATCAAATTGCTTGACATTTGCTTACTTCGTATGTACTGAAAAATTAATCCAAAATTTACTTGCTTCTTTTTTGTTTTTAATGAGACTCTAGGGACATATTTCATGGCCTCTTCATTTGCTCTTTTGAATAATTAACTTGATTTTATTTCAGGTAACAAAGTCATTTAAAGATGCTGGTATAAATATAGATGAAGAAAGCACAAAGGAAAAGAAGAAGAAAAAGAAGGACAAACCACAGACAATGAGTCTAGAAGAATTCAATGCAGGAGGAAAAATGACACATTCAGATGGTAAAGCTAAAATTTGATGTTATACAATTAATGAAATGAAAAAATGACATGCAAATTATTTCATTATGAACAGTATATGTGAAAAATTTACAAAACGTGAAATAACCCTGACATTTTAGGGACAAAATATATGTATATTGACAGAAGTTATGATAAATATATAGAAGGAGATATGGGGTATATGTTCATGAGACCTACCCAGTAACACAAAAATGGAAAGATATTTCAATTTATTGGGTTCAAAATTTCACCATATGCTTGAATAGCATTAGGAGAAATATTTGATATTACTTCTTGTGAAAATATCATGTAAAAAAAAATTACCAGGTACAATTTTTGCCATCTTGAATTATTATTATTGATTTCCTGAATTTTGATTTTATATTTTCTCATCATTACAGAATTAGAACATTTATCAGTACACCCATCCAGTAAACCAGAAACACCTGTTACAGAGGCAGACCCAAAATTCTTCAGTCATGTGGAGGGAGATGTAGAAAGAATTCTTAGAAAAGAAAAAATGCAAGAAGAATATCAAAAAGTAAAGAAAATGTACTTGGCTCATTCTCTTTCATTTTTGTGCATCCACAATTCAGTGGCTGGGGCAGAAATGAATCCCATATTCACACTTGGCTCATTTTGTCCTGCAGTGGTGGATCAAGGGGGGATTCCAGGGGTTGGAACCCCCCTTTTTTTTTTGACGATCAATGCTTTTGAATGAGGACATATGGTTGGAACCCCCTTTTAAAAATGGCTGGATCCGCCCCTGTCCTGTCTGACACTTTGAAATCCAACAGCTGTTTCGAATGGATTTCATTATTGTCTCACCTGCAAGGAATGTCAGGAATGAGAGACATGGGGATGGTAATTAGGCCCTGAAAATGAAACTATTTGTATATGCTTTTTGTTTCATATGGTAGAATACTGAAGTTTTAATCTGGCATATGTTCATTGTCTTTGAGCACATTTTCATGGTTCAGTGACTGCTTAAATGACTATAATTTTATTATTACATGATTTTTTTCCAGTTTTTATGAGTAAAAGGACAACTATATTTGGTATATAGAATCATTGCAATGCATGCATTATCAGACAAATTCTTGCAATTCTTGCTGTAAATGCAATACGTTTGAGGACCAACCAAGTTGACAGAGGAAATTTACACAAATTTGATATTTACTATACTAATGTCTTATTACAATGTGTCAGAGATATGAAAGATTTGTACCACTATGTTTGGGGTAAGCATCGGCCTTATCAAACCTTCTTCTCTTTTAACATTATCTAAAAAAAAAACAGATAGTTTAAAATATAATTTGAACTTTACTTGATTGACAAAGGAGGATCAGCTTTTTCTCCACTTACATATCACTGTCAAAGTAAACGATTGAAGACCAACAGTATATACATGGTACATGTAATTCATTATGATATGATAATTGTTATAAAATATATGTAAACTTTCTCTGATATCATGTGTAGTACAATTATTTTACTGTGTTTTTTTTTTTTTTTGGATGACAGCAATATGCAGCAGAAAAAGTAATGACAGCTAAGCATCAGTCAGAAACAGCCAAAAAAGATAAAGAAATTGAATTTCTAAAAGCAACAGTTAAAAAATTAGAGGTTAGAATGTTTTTTTATTACAACCAAGTTGTATTCATCTACACTTACTGTAAACCTACTTATTTTTGCAGATACTGTATTTCTCATTTAGCCCCTTCCAGACGATTTTGTGGAGAATTAAATTTTGGGATTTTCTAGTTTCCTGATATATAATTTAAGGGAAGACCAAAGTTTTTTTTATGTATTTACAACGATTTATGTTTTCATTAGTGTTTAACTCGCAACAGTTGCAAAAATTAGTTGATTTTCAGTATGTTTAAAGTGTTTTCTGTAAAGTCTTCATCTGGTAGACAGTCAGTATAGATATTTAAACAAGCAATTATATTTCAATATGTAAATTCCTGTATAATGAACACTAACTAATTTTTTCAAGCAATTTATTTTCACAACTTTTGGGAGTAGAAAAATAACATGTATATAAATTGTCGCAAATATGTACAACTTGGATCTTTTCTTATTTAATTTCATTAAGTAAATAGTGAATTTAATTTGCCGCGAAGTGTGCTAGAAAAGGCTAAATGGGAAATAAATTTTCCATGAAAATAAGTTGTTTTACAGTATTATGATGAGATTGTAATTGGAACAGTATACTATAGAAGGTCACAAATCATGTTTACCTGTTAGAACCATTAAAAGGAGTTGTAACTTGTGGTACATTTCCAATGATTCTAATCTGTCAGAATTAATGACCATTCAGATGAATTTTAACATTATTGCCTTCTTTTTGGTTAAACAAATTCTTAAAGAACAATACAGAAGAGGTAATAAAAAATATTAGGGAAATTCTCAGTTTGGTCTGCATGACAATTTCCAAAAGGATAACAAAAAAGTTGTATCATAAAAAGTAAAGCTTTTCATATGCTTTAAAAAAATTGCTTTTATTGCACATGTATCAGAATATTTGTTTTCATTTACAGGAAGAATTTAAACAAGTAAAGAAACGTAATAAACAACTGTGTGTTATATTAGCCCAGGGTGAAAGTAAGTTTAATTACTTGTAAAAATGGTTAACATAGAGAAGTGTATGCTTCTAAAAAATAAATGCTAGTCAAATGCGTTTTGTCAAAATATACTTTTTCACTCATTTGGTCGTTTGGAAAATGTTGTTTGTGCTGTATTTAGACCCCTCTACCAAGAAATTTGTTTTGCATGCACCCGTATAAAAACTGTGGTTTTTATCCAACGCAATCATAGGTTTGGACCTTGTTTTCAATTTAGACTTGCTTCTAAAAATAAGATGTATATATATGTATATCAATCTGCTGACTGTTGCTTCATTAAAGTCGTGGAGAACAGATGTAGTATCCTTAGTGTCCCTGTCTATGTGCTCATCTCCATCCAGTTCATAGAAACTGATTGGTGTACTGACATTTAGTTTGGATGCATGCAGTCTTCGAATTTAGCCACAAGTCCGACGAACATGACTTGTAAATTTGATTGGGGACTTGTAAATATTCTGTTGTGACTAATCCGACTGGCTTGTGGAAAATTTCGACCTGGGGGACTAGTATATATTGTGAAATCACCGGTCCGCCGTGTATTTGTATTTTGTCACTGTCTGCATACCTAAAAATCCAGTCATTTTTAACAGACAGGGCTTAACCTGGTTTCCAAGTGAACTGTTCCTTTACTCTTTATAATGAGGCCGCTTAAAAATATCGCTTACAGTATTGAAGATAAATACGTTTTGTATCGGCTTCTTTGATTGGTCAATATCTAAATGTTGACAAACATGGCATTATGGCATTGTTTTTGAAGTGTAAGGTGCCCAGCCGGGAAAGCCAATTAAAAGACCGGCATCAACTGAAAACAGACATATTTCAAAACACAAATACGATGAGGGGTTAGAGAACGTAATTTTCTCAATGTTTGGAGCAAGGACAGACCGTGGTTGTATTTACAAGAGATTGATTTAATGAATGAAGAAAACATATATTGTGTTAAATATTGGGGACCTGTGGCTAAATTCGAAGACTGAAAGTTCTCAGATATACTGGGTATGTGTGGGTGCGTGGCTCAGTGGTTAAGACCATTGGCTACAGTACTGAAGGTCCTGGGTTCAATCCTGAGTCTGGGCATTGGAAATTTCAGTACATTAGAAGGGTGATTTTTATCCTCCCACACACATCTCTGGTACCTAGACAGGAGTTTAAACTAGCATGGGTACTTTGGGTGCCTTTGTAGGTCAAAGTGGCCCCTGACTTTGACCTGTGATCAATCTGTAGATATCTCTTCTTTTTTTCTGTTTCCGTCGAGGAGCCTGGTATGTACTCAGAGTACTTTGGCTTCCTCCACCATAATAACAGACTTACCAGTGTCCTAACACTCCCTTGGTGTTGGGTTGGGGATTGTCCGTGGTGGTATTTGTATATAAGGTAGTGCCACATCTCCATTAATCCTGATAGGGAGTGTACATGGATTCCACTGTACCCTTGCAGCTCTCTAGGGGTGCTTTGCATATCAGAGTAATTTACGTATATACATACATATTACTATAATACTAATCCTATTGAATTTATATATTTCGTATCTTCCAAACATGACTCTCAAAGCTCTCAGAATGCAGGAACTTGCATTTCATTTTTCAAACCCCCCTAGCTAGTTCGCACCACGTTGCAGCGCTCACCGCTGATAGTAAATTGGTGGGACTTGTAGAATTTTCAAGGGACTTGTAAAATCTTATCAACTACAAGTCCCCCTGGCTTGTAGGTTAAAAAGTTTATTGTGTAGACTGTGCATGTCTGCTTTTAGAGACTTAGGCCAAAACTAAAATTCAAATTGTTTGAAGTTGCCTACCTACCCACCTAAAAAGTAGTCTACTGTAAATTCAGAAATTATTGCGAAAAATGTGAAAGGGTTATAATCGCAATAATTTAAACTCGCATTTTGAAATTTTTTATATGAATTAAACAGGATTTTTCTCAATATCGCAAAAATTAAAATCGCATTTTAGTCTAAAATGACAAAGTCGCAATAATAAATGCACGCAATAATTTCTGAATTTACAGTATCTGAAAATTTTATGACACAAATTGTTTCAAATTTTTTTTAAAGATTTTTATCCTGTTCGAACATCGTTTACTTGTCTAAAACATGTTACTTATGTTGTTGGCCCAAAAAATAAATAAAATCACTACCTATACCTACCAAACCCTACATGGCATGGGTAGGCAACATCAAACAAGGAATTTTTAAAAGATGGCCTTAGGATGTCTCTCAGCTGCTTCTCTTTAAAAGTATTGAGCACACACATAAAACAAACCAACATTTTGTTAGAATATCTGAGGGGGTGGACAGGGGGGTACCCTTCTCCCACCTCCCGGGCCCCTATCTCCCACCTCCCACTTTTTAAATATGTAATAAAAATATTCCTTTATGTGCTACTTTAAGAGATAAAAGGGGTCAAATTTTAGACATTTATTCAAAATTTTGTTTTTTTGGACATTTCTATCATTTGGATAGACACACCTAACTTTTTTATTTCAACAGATAAACACAAGTGGATTTTTGTGAAAACATTATGAAAATCTTCTTTACATAAATATGCTCTTAATATGTACAACAATTTTTTGGAAATAATTAATTTTTAACAAAGTTTCAGGATTTTAGGAAGAAAACAGCATTTTTTGCGGTATATTTCTCCAATTTAAAAAAAAATCGTTGACTTTTTCATTAGAATTGGTACAAATAATCTTCATATGTAATCAAACCTTATGCCATTTTAAAAAACAGGGGTCCATGTACTCGTTTTCAAGTTAAATCAGTTTAAATCATAAAAATCAGTCGAAAAGGCATCTTTTCCTGATATGTCACAGTTTGACGTCTCGAAAATAACATTTTACTTTAGCAACTTCATTACCTCCCCTGTAACTACATCGTATGCCCTTAAACCTTACATATTACATAAGGATTTCAGTAATTATTGGCTTGATTTAAGAAGTATTGAATGTTTGGCCCAAACAGAGACCTACCACACCTTGTCTATTTTTATAGAGAAAAATATTCCATTTCTTTTTTTTTTCCACACAGTGAAAGAAAAGGCAGAAGTATTAATGCAGGTGCAGCAGTTGTCAGATGTAAAAGATGAGCTCACACAACAGGTAGGACATTACAGTAGGCTCTAATATGTACACAACTCACTGTGTACAAATCCTGTTGTCATATGTAAAAGATGAGCTCACACAACAGGTAGGACATTACAGTAGGCTTTAATATGTACACAACTAACAGGTAGGACATTACAGTAGGCTTTTACAGTAGGCTTTAATATGTACACAACTCACAGTGTACAAATACAATTGTCAGATGTAAAAGATGAGCTCACACAACAGGTAGGACATTACAGTAGGCTTTAATATGTACACAACTCACAGTGTACAAATACAATTGTCAGATGTAAAAGATGAGCTCACACAACAGGTAGGACATTACAGTAGGCTTTAATATGTACAAAACTCACAGTGTACAAATACAATTGTCAGATGTAAAAGATGAGCTCACACAACAGGTAGGACATTACAGTAGGCTTTAATATGTACACAACTCACAGTGTACAAATACAATTGTCAGATGTAAAAGATGAGCTCACACAACAGGTAGGACATTACAGTAGGCTTTAATATGTACATAACTCACAGTGTACAAATACAATTGCACTTTTATCAATAATAGAAACATCAAAAAATAATTATTTGGACCTTTCTTTTAGGCAAAGCGCATTTTTACTTCTTTATAATGTGACTAGTATGAAAAGTATTTTTGTATATCATCATTATTTATAGATTATGATTTTTAAGTTCTAACATATTTTATATGTTTCATTTCCTAGGTCCAAGAATTAACAGGAGAATTAGAAAAAGAGAGATCAAAAGTACATTCATTGAAGACAGAATTGGATAAAATAAAAGGACATGTAAGTCTTGTTTATTACTCAAAACATAAAATAGAAATTATGAGCTACATGAAAAACATGGTGCTCTATTAAAACTGCTATAATCCAACTGCATGAATTTGCCTGTCCAAGTTAGAATCTAATCAAAAGTCATCTTTTTTGATATTTTAATGTTTATGTTCTTAGGAAACTTTGTGATGATGACCAATCATTGATAGTTTCTTTAAATTTATGCAAAGGGGTTTTAGACTATTTTTATACTTATATTGATTGTAATTGTATATCTAAAGCATGTTATGGATTCGAGATTAGCTATTGTGCCATCATACTTAAAAATGAGAATGGAAATGGGGAATGTGTCAAAGAGACAACAACCCGACCAAAGAGCAGTAAACAGCCCCAGGCCACCAATTGGTCTTCAACACAGCAGGAAAATCCTGTTGGCCATTAAACAAAAATGTGTACTTTTTCAGTGAAAATGGACATCACACTAAACTCAGATTCAGTATTGTTTAAAGACATTGTATAACTTTTAAAAAAAATCTCAAAAATTAATTTCAGTCAGGATTTTGATTAAATTTTTATTGTTATTTGCAATGGAATTTTGGCCTTGGTAGCTGTCAGGTCTAAATGGTTCATCTTCAGTGTTCACTTGCTTGTCAGCACTAAGGTTGTGGGTTATAAATTCGCTGAATGCCTGATCTTTATTGACTAGGATTGCCAGTATTCCAGTCGAAGGTCATTGGTTCTCCCCAGGTACTCAGCTTCCTCCACCAATAAAAACTGGCCACCATTACAAAACTAGGTGTGATGAAAGTGTGTCAAACACCAACAATCAATGCAATCAAATGGAATCTCAGAATTTTTTTTGCAATATATACTACAGTAAAGTGTTAATTAATGTCAGGGAGACAACAACCTAACAAAAAAGTTATCAAAGTAATTAATTAGTCTATTAATTTAAATTTAATTAGTTATGATGCTTAGAGCCTACTTGTAAAGTTTAAAATGACAAATACTTTGCTTATATTTGCAGGGAACCAAACATAGTGGAAAGTAGTAAAAAAAAAAAACAAGACTTGTGATATTGGCATTGATAAGAAAGATAATGACTTTATACCTCATACTGACATAGAATTGGGAGGTAGTCAATGTACTTATTATGACAATTGTGTTGATATTGTATGTTAAAAAGTGTTAAGATGTGAATGAGACTTAAATTGGTGCATTTTATACTTGATTTTGTTAGACCACTAAGAATCTCCCGGCATTGAAAAGGAAATTATAAAGAAATGTGAAATTTGTCAATATCTAATACATGTTTGTTTTAAAAATGGCAAGTGGTAGAATATTTCTTTCCTTTTCTTAAGGTGATGAATGTGTTTTTTTCTTCATGTAAAAAGCATGAAAGAATGTTTTATTCTGTATGTGTACACTACAGTTGAATGTAAACATGCTGTGTAAATACCAGTTATTTGTTATTGGACAATGTTTTTATTAATCATGACTGTACTTTTTGTATAATTTTGTTTTTATAAAAAGCCATTGTTTTGTTTATTTGAAATGTAATTTACAGTTATGGGTGTTCCATTTTTTACATGGCCAGTTTGAACAATAGAGATGGTACTAAAAAATATATACATGTAATATTAATTCAGAACTTTAATTCATAACTTTTGTGAAGTATTTCAAAATGAGAAAAATGTGAGAAAAAGAGTATCACATTAATTCAAGTTCATATTTTTAGTTTTAAAAAGACAATTAGTATTAAAAAATCATATTAATTAACCTTGTGTGTTTGTACAGTGTTTAACAATCACATGAAAATAATTCCCACAAATATTTTCGAGTCGACAGTTAATTGTTATCTTCCCATAAACTGTTTGATATCTCCTTCATTGAAATCAACATTTGCTGTAATACTATTTAGTTACTGTATATAATACACATTCAGTTCAGTTTTTTAAGGCAGATACTGAAAAATGGAAATGATGTGTTACTTTTAAGTTTTCCCGAGAGAAAGTGGTTAAAGCATTCATAAATGGCTTGTCTACCAATAAAGGGTGTTTGTTAACCTCTTGATGTCTTTTTGTGTTTTGTTGGGTTGTTTGGATGCTGTCTGAATGCTGTTTATCAGACATCCCCTACCATTCATACATTTGAATTTTTATTTAGAAAACAAAAGTACACTGTAATTGTTTGAAAATATTCTGTTATTCTATTAACGTTTTATACATATTGAAATAATTTTTTTGAGAATAAGCCATGTAATAATCATTATAAATTGATCAATATTTTTTATGTTTTTATTAATGTTTTCATGAAATGAAAGGAAAGAATTGTGTACTTGTTCTTAGTTTCCTGATAATGTTAAAATTGTTTTCATAAATAAAAAATACATAACGGTTATCTCCCCTTAGATTGAACATAGTTAGCTCCCCTGGTTTATAACATAGATTCATTTAAAAAATAAATAAGTCTGTATTTGTGGTGTATATTTGAATTATGTCATTAAACAAGCTTACTAGGGAAATGATGCTAAATAATCATTTCCTGTATTAAAATCTTTTTAAAACAAAAACATAATGATAAGAAGTTTAAAACTAAGTGGTCAGCAAGTATTTAAGATGGAGGCCTTTTAAAATGTGCTGAAAAGTGCCCAGTTTAACAGAAATAATCAAATAAATTCTTACATCTGTTCAAATGTTGCACCAAAATGATTTTTAGTTTTTTAGATTTCCTTGTACCACTTTTAAGAAAATTGTTTAGAATTGTTTTCAGGGAAAAAATGAAATTCTGATTTCTTACACTTTTACCCCATTATTGTTTCATGAAAATTCAAAGAACTTGAAATAAAAAATAATTGTGGCCTATCCATGTTACATTCATAGCTAACTTGGTCTCTGATAGTGAAATGTCCTTTATTTAATTCAAATATCGTTATGCCATTAATTATGGAGCAAGATAATGATCAGTGATAAGAAAATATTGTAAGAAAGTAAAAAATATCTTCTTCATTTGTTAATTTGTCTTTCTATAGTTTTTTTAAAATTGGTATTTTGAGTCCGATTATGAGGTTGTTTTTGTATTTTCATACATGCATTAAAGATGTTATGTAATTGTTTTTTATTCTGAAATTAAAAAAGAAAGATAAAAGAAAACACACTGGTATATAGTTAAGAAAGATGTCACGTAGAATGAAAAAGAAATATGCCGAGGAATTATTAAAATATCAAGAACAAACCAATAGAAAACCTACCATAAAAAGAAATGTTATTTCATATATAGCAAAAATGTTGCTGAAAGCAAGGCAAAGTTTTGCAGTTTATCGAAAGTTAGTATAACTTTACAAGATCAGTTTCTGAATACTGTATTTGGTCTACAGGTAATTTATGAATGTCCATGCCATTCTTACAAGGTAATTGTTAAAGGATTACTGTTTCCCCCCACCCCTTTTTTGCTAATGAAGTTTTGAGGTTATAAAGACATTTTCAGAGTACTGTAAATTCAGAATTTATTGTGTGCATTGATTATTTTGATTTTTGAAGAAAGGACTAAAATGTGAGGTTAATTATCGCGATTTCTAGAAATTCTGCATACAGGTATATGTTTCTGATATCAGAATGTGGGTTCTTATTATTGTGATACTCACCCAGTCACATTATTCACATTATTAAAAAACTTGCAATAATTTCTGAATTACAGTATTATGTAATATTTGGGTCTACACCAGCATTGCAATACATGCTTGAAACAAATTTAAACATTTACACAATTGTTGTCAAAAACCAAAGTAGTAAAATATTCTTTGCTAATTTCCATGTCCATACATTTTTATGAACCTACATAATGATTTTTTGAATTATTGGTTCTCTTCCTGATTATCTATCAAATGGTTGCCACTAGACAAGAAAGACTGAAATGGGTCAATAGAAATAAGAAGATGTGGTATGAGTGCCAATGAGACAACCTTCCATCAAAGTCACAATGTGTAAAAAGTAAACAATTATAAGTCAAAGTACGGCCTTCAACAGGGAGCCTTGGCTCACACCGAACAGCAAGCTATAAAGTTCCCCAAATCTGGCAGAATTTTTGTACATCTTGAATTTCAGTATTACAACATACTACCAAGAAAGATAAAACAGTAAAAATGAATGTAATGGGTTTGTTAGTCCTAATGTCACTGATTGTCTCAATCATATGTTGTGCCAATTGAATTGGGAGTTAAGCTGAAACGCATATAGATGATTAAACCTTTAAAAAATGTGATATGAGTTCAGATTTTAGATGTTTTAGATTCATGTATACCCCAACTCTACAGTTGTTGAAGCAATAGAAGTATTCAGCTAACAGGAAGTATACATAGAACAGATCTGAATCACGAAATATATTTAGAAAAAAATAAAACAAAACAGGCCAATCAGTACCGATCAATATGAAGCTTCATACCGGTATTTTATTTCAAGCAAGATTTGTAGTTGCAGAGAAAATGTAACAAAAAGGGTTACAGATGACAAATTAGAGCATAAATTGATGGACAGTGGTAAAGAAATTTGAATTTTACAGCCTTTTTTGGGGACTGTCAGAGGACATAAAATGAAGTCTTAGATAAAAGCATATAATACAAAAAATATACACTTTTTAGCTCACCTATGCCAGCTCTTGTAATCTCCCAGTAAAGCTAAAATAGAACATGAAAGTAAAATGCATTATTTTTTTAAACCACAGTATCTTACAAAACCATAATGGGTCGAAAAATGGTGCTCAAAATGTTAAGATTTGCCTACCTCCCATTCCACAAAGATATCGGACATCTTCTAGTGAGTAATTTAGAGTTTGGTGCCTGTTCTCTCAATCTATCCAAATGACCTTGCTATAAAGGATACCCCAGATACAGTTAATCATGCCTCATATCATGACTCTCATCTAGAAACTGACGGGAGGGTCGACTGACAATTACACTTTATGACAAAAGAGATGATTTCAATTTCCCCATTGTGAACATTCCATTTCTGTGATGCAACATTCCAGCAGGACCTGCATATTTCTATGAAGCGATTGATAGACTGTTGTTAACCTTTTCATCAATTTTCTATTTGACCATGGTGTTGTCTGGGGTTTTTTTTCGACTAATGATTTTGCTTGTCCACTTTGGTAACTTCTGCTTTTTTTTTTCTTTTATGTTAGACGGTTCTAGTAGACTGTTCAGGAATTAATCTACAATATTTTATATATTATTGGCCGTTAACTTTTGGTCTTTAGCGTACCTTATATTATGCGTTTTATAACTACCACTGGGTCAGTACAGATGCTTATGGATTATCAGTCCTCGAGAGCACCATCCACTAAGAAGACAGTGGTCCGGCATTTTCATGATTCAAATGATATCAACCTCAAGGATTGACCGGGGTATAAAAATATAGTCCTCCATGGAATTCTCCCGCACGGCAGTTAGTAGTTAAACCTTTACCAAAGTGGGCGTTTGTTTGGCTGTGCTGGGTATATCATTTACGAAGCCACGTCAGCGAAAAGAAGACGTAAAATCTGATGCCCCGTGTAATGCAAGTGTCACGTTCTGTTAGAGAATCCTTGTAAAAACCGACAGGTGTTAGCATAAACACGCGCGTACACAACATTCATATCACTCATTTCTTTGACCTTAGGGTGAGGGAGATTCCAGAATTATCCGCTTTTCATTATTGTCAAACTGCATAGTTTTGAGGTTTTTCACAATTTTTACTGAATTATCTTGAAGCGCTGAACAGTTCTTTGCTTGTATTCAACGCTAAAAAAATTGTGAACAAAGTGTTAGCCGTGAAGTAATTTATTCAAGTGTTTACATTGACATATTTAAAGATATTCCTAAATTCTCCATTGAATTTGCCCTTGTAGTCTTATAGGTTGAAATATTCTGCTGATTTTTTTCGTAGTGTGTTTTTGACAATAATGTTTTCTTTTATTTTCCAGCGACTTTCCCGAAACTGAAATGTCAGACATGGGCTTAGATATTTTCCGCAGTTATCTACCTTTTAATTTGTATTTTGTGAAGATGATAAGATCGAATTGTTAGACCTTCTTTAATTGCCGCATATGCAAGTAGAATTTTACTTCTAATCAAAATAAAGATAGTGCTTTACCCACAGTTGCAAATATTTCATGCATGTTAAGGACGAGATCAAGTTATCAATAAATACAATAGGTTGTTCATGTAATAGGGGACGATCTGGATTAAGGACTGGAATTTTGGACTGCCAATGAAAACTACTTATACTAGTAGTAGATTGTACAGGTACAGAAATTTAGGCATGCAACAGGCCACTTGCGGACCCCTAAATGAGTTGTTGTAAGGGTTCTTAACGCACAGAGACCTTGACACTCTACACGAGGCATCGGATTTGACGTCCCCATTTTAAGTAGAAGTGTCTGCTTATTTATACATCCCGCATAACTAAACGAACGCCCCAAATTCGGAATAGGTTTTACTGTCGGTCGGAAGAAGACCAAAAGTGACCATAATTTCTATTCCCCAGCCACCCTTGGAGATTCAAAATAAAGAAAATAGGTTATACATGTTCACTAATTGAAATTTAAAACTTGACTGTCGTATTTTGTGAGGAAAGAATTAATTATAAAGATGACGTGTTAGATTTTAGGTATTCTACAGAGAAAAGGATATACTATATTGATAGACATAGTTCAAATTAATTATTCTTTAGGGACCAAAAACCCATTTTCAACTGACATTTTATTTCCAGAAGAACTCCTACGCTTTGATTTATGACAGCGTTTACCTTATAGAGAACGGAATTATTCCAGACAATAATTGATTTAATAGAATTGGTTTTTGTGACATTTATCAAAATGATAATACTGTCAATGTGCAAAAGAGAGACAAAAGATACCAAAGAGATATTCAAACTCATCAGTAGAAAACAAACTGAAAATGCCATGACAAAAAACTAAAAACAATCAAAAAACAAAAAAAAGTATACAAAACCTAAAATAGAAACCAAAGACTGAGGAACATGAACCCAACTAAAACACGAGGGTGATCTCAAGTGCTCTGGAAGGTTAAGCAGACCCTGCTCCACGTTTTCATTGCAAGGTTTTTTGCTTTCTTTTTCAAAACCAAATTGCAATATGTCATCATTGCCCACAAAGTTGAAATTGTACAATTTTATATAAATTTATGAAATGTCAAATGAAATAAAAAAAAAAACACTTTATAAATTGTATGCGTCCAACGAGCTATTCTTAATTTACCTTCACCAAAACGCTCAGAGCCAAAAAATGAAAGCCAAGGATGTATAAGTACCGAAACACGTTAAGAGCTACACAACCAAAAGGGATATAAAATAATATCCAACTAAGGTCAATTTTGTCTGATGGAGTTGGAACCTATCTTTCTTAATAATTTCTAAATTTATCAAAGGAAAATTTAGGAAAAGTAGGTTATAAATCATGGTAGTACCAATGCACGGACTACAGAGCTGATGATATCTCGGGAAATGATAGTCTATCATCAGTGGTATCGACTCAGTGCTAGAAAATGAAAACAATACTTTATAAATGAGTTTTAATAAGCGTTTGTATTTATTTACCTTCATCAGGAACGCGCAATCCGAAAAAGTAAAGGATGTTAAAGTACCAGAACACGTTAAGAGCTATATATGAACTAAGAGACCTGCAATAATAGTCAAATCAATCTAAGTTCAACTTTGCCTGAAGAATTTAGAGCCTTATATAGTTACTTAATAATTTCTAAATTGATCTTCGGAGATTTGAAGTAAGGTATTATATAAACATTTACTACTGTCAGCTGATTGTATCCTCTAGCTGCGGTATCGACAAAGTGGTGGAAAATTAAAATAACACTTTCTAAATTGATTGCGTCCAAATGCTTTACCTTAATCAAGAACGTACAAAAATTGAAAGCCATGGATGATAAGTATCGAAACACGTTAAGAGCTACATGTATATGACAAAAACAGGACCTAAAATAATAGCAAAATCAATCTATCCATTTGCATGTGTAATTGACGTCACAAGAGATTGTCTTTACGAGTATGGTAGACAGAAGTTCACACATTTTATACATTTTTGATATTATAATATTATT